AGCTATTGACTATTGCCATGTCTGGGCATCTAGATATTGCCGCACCCTATCAGATCCTTCTGTGAGCACATCCAGGAGTCTTTTGCAAAATTCAAATTATACATAATCATCATAAAATAATATCTGTTTATATAGTTGTCTTATGTACTAAAAAATCATAATATGATTATATAATATTATATACCAATATATACCATATGACCATAGTATCATATCCGCCAAGTTTGGAAAAGCGCACGTACTGCACACCTCACATCGCGTCACCTCAGCCCAGGCACCTTTGCGGCCCCATGGGGATTGCCGAGCTTCGGCTTCCGACATCTGATTCGGCTTCAGCTTGGCAGCACCTGAGACGCTTCGTGCCTTTTAAATCTAATATATATATATATATATATGTTCCTTTAATGTCGTTTATTCTTTGTACCTTTTTCATCCTTTTTCCGTGTAAAACAGTGGCATACAATCCCAAGCCCTTGCAAGCTCAGGGCTCAGGGATAGCTCGGGGCTTCATGGCTTGAAATGTCTTGAAGATGCAAATTGCATTTCCTGGACCGTCCTTGCATGTTATCCTATCAAAGGGGCCCAAAACAAGGCCAAAAACAAAGCAAAACGGTTGCTAGGGACCAAACATGTCGCCTGATTTCCACTATGTGAATGCATGTGAATGCAATCAGTTTGAAACCCTGAATCTCCATCCAATTGCCCAGCAAGTTGCGCAGCTGCAGAACAGGCCTTGCCAGTCCAGCTTTCTTTTGCTTCTCCCGGCCTAGGAATTGCCGTCAACGAGCAAAAGACAGCTAGAAGGCTAGAAACGAAAACCAGATATACGCAAAGAACATCAAAGAACTGAAGGCAAAAACTAAACTGACCATACATCGAAAATAATGATGGCATTATGATGGCAGGAACTAGTCCAGCCACAGCTCCCTGACAAGGCGGCTGCCTTGAAATGGTCTCTCAGTCTCTGAGTGTTTTTTTGCACGCAGCAGCTGTCTTTACCGGGCACAGAGGCCACGAAGGGTACTTCAGAAGTTCCTTCAGAAGTTCCTCCGTGCCGAGCTTGTCACTTTGGGTTCACCTTGGGTTCACCGCCAATCGAAACTGCTCCATGGACCTCTGGGATTGGGCATTCGCCCACCCGGGCCGGAGCCAAGCTCCCGAATTGAATTGCGCCCGTGCCACTTGCAAGCTTCTTCAGCGAAGACTGCGAAGACTTGCTGATCTGGCTGTGAAGGGACTCACGCCCCTGCTGTGATAGGAATGGAATACTGCGCGTCTCCTTGCTTACATCCACAATGTCATAATACTACTTGAGAGGGGGAACACGAAAGGTAGGTAAGCAAGAAAGGAACCGAAGAAAAAATGAAGGGGAGAGGGCAGGGAAAAAAACATAAAGTGGAGTCTGGTAAAAGCGACGCGGCCAGTTTCTTTCCAAAAATATGAAGGGGAGTCTGGTAAAAGCGACTGAAAGGCTTCGGCGATGTGGTTGGGGTTGGTGGCGGTTGTGGGGTTGGTGGTGTTGGTGGTGCTGGTGGTGTTGGTGTTGTTGGTGTTGTTGGTATTGGTGTTGTTGGTGTTGTTGGTGGTGGTAGTGTTTCTGGTGTTGTTGTTGTTGTGTTGTTGTTGTTGTGGTGTTGGTGTTGTTGGTCGTGTTGTTGGTCGTGTTGTTGGTGTTGGTATTGTTCGAGTTTGTGTTGTTGTTGTTGCTGTTGTTGCTGCTGCTGCTGTTGATGGTGTTGTTGTTGTTGTTGTTGTTGTTGTTGTTGTTGTTGTTGTTGTTGTTGTGTGTTGTTGTGTGTTGTTGTGTGTTGTTGTGTGTTGTTGTGTGTTGTTGTGGGTTGTTGTGTGTTGTTGTGTGTTGTTGTGTGTTGTTGTGTGTTGTTGTGTGTTGTTGTGTGTTGTTGTGTGTTGTTGTGTGTTGTTGTGTGTTGTGGTGGGTTGTGGTGTGTTGTTGTGTGTTGTTGTGTGTTGTTGTGTGTTGTTGTGTGTTGTTGTGTGTTTTTGTGTGTGTTGTGGTGTGTTGTGGTGTGTTGTTGTGTGTTGTTGTGTGTTGTTGTGTGTTGTTGTGTGTTGTTGTGTGTGTTGTGGTGTGTTGTGGTGTGTTGTTGTGTGTTGTTTGTGTTGTTGTTGTGTGTGTGTGTGTTGTTGTGTGTTGTTGTGTGTTGTTGTGTGTTGTTGTGTGTTGTTGTTGTTGTTGTTGTTGTTGTTGTTGTTGTTGTTGTTGTTGTTGTTGTTGTTGTTGTTGTTGTTGTTGTTGTTGTTGTTGTTATTGTTGTCATTCGTTGTTGTTGTAGTTGTTGTGGTTGTTGTGGTTGTTGTGGTTGTTGTGGTTGTTGTGGTTGTTGTGGTTGTTGTGTGTTGTTGTGTGTTGTTGTGTGTTGTGGTGTGTTGTGGTGTGTTGTTGTGTGTTGTGTGTGTGTTGTGTGTGTGTTGTGTGTGTGTATTGTGTGTGTGTGTTGTGTGTGTGTTGTGTGTGTTGTGTGTGTTGTGTGTGTGTGTTGTGTGTGTTGCGTGTGTTGCGTGTGTTGTGTGTGTGTGTTGTGTGTGTGTTGTGTGTGTTGTATGTGTGTTGTGTGTGTGTTGTGTGTGTTGTGTGTTGTGTGTTGTGTGTGTGTTGTGTCTGTTGTGTGTTGTGTGTTGTGTGTTGTGTGTTGTGTGTGTGTTGTGTGTGTGTGTTGTGTGTGTTGTGTGTGTTTTGTGTGTTTTGTGTGTTGTGTGATGTGCGTTGTGCGTTGTGCGTTGTGCGTTGTGCTTTGTGCGTTGTGCGTTGTGTGTTGGTGTTGTTGTTGTTGTTGTTGTTGTGGTTGTTGTGGTTGTTGTGTGTTGTTGTGTGTTGTGGTGTGTTGTTGTGCGTTGTGGTGTGTTGTTATGTGTTGTTGTGTGTTGTGTGTGTTGTGTGTGTTGTGTGTGTGTTGTGTGTGTTGTGTGTGTTGTGTGTGTGTGTATTGTGTGTGTTGTGTGTGTGTGTGTTGTGTGTGTTGTGTGTGTGTGTGTTGTGTGTGTTGCGTGTGTTGCGTGTGTTGTGTGTGTTGTGTGTGTGTGTTGTGTGTGTTGTATGTGTGTTGTATGTGTGTTGTGTGTGTGTTGTGTGTGTTGTGTGTTGTGTGTTGCGTGTTGTGTGTTGTGTGTTGTGTGTGTGTGTTGTGTGTGTTGTGTGTTTTGTGTGTTTTGTGTGTTGTGTGATGTGCGTTGTGCGTTGTGCGTTGTGCGTTGTGCTTTGTGCGTTGTGCGTTGTGCGTTGTGCGTTGTGTGCTGGTGTTGTTGTTGTTGTTGTCGTCGTCGTCGTTGTTGTTGTTGTTGTTGCTATTGCTGTTGCTGTTGGTGTTGTTCTTGTCGGTGTTGGTGTTACCCCTGCAGCGTTTTTGCTCGGTTCCGTAGTGGCCGAAAATCGTCAAATCGGTGGTGTTTTCGCGTGTTTTTGCATCGCTCGGAGCAAAAAACACCGTAAATACCAATGTTTTTGGCGGGTCGGAAGCCCAAAACCACGGTATTTACGATGTTTTTTGCCTCTGGTAGTAAAAAGCACGGTATTTACAGTGTTTTTTGGCCAGCACCTAGCAAAAACACTGGTATTTACGGAGGTTTCACCATGTAGCAAAATGTGGTTTCTTGATCCGAAAAGAACAAAAATACTGTAAATTACAATGTTTTGAGTCTGCTCTTAGGGTGCGTGGGAGGTGTGGAGGGGGGGGGGGTACTAAAATGACTAGCAATCTCCTGAAGAATCAGGTAACGGGGCTGGCCGCCCTCCCCTTTACTTCGTAAAGTAAAACTCAAGGTAGCCCCTCTGGAGCTACCTTTCGTGATATAATATTTAAAACATATCATATAATAAAATTATATTTAATATTTGTTTCCAAAATATAAATATTTACAATATATCTTTTTTATCCTATTCAATTTCCGTTCAATCAATGTGTTCTTAACATTGCAAATATTAAATTTTCAATATTAGAATATTAAAAATAAAATTAAATAATATAACATAATAATTTTCGATATTATTTCCCATATTTATATCAATCCATCCTAAATCAAAATCCCAAAAATATACCACTAAATTTTAAATCCTTAGGCCTTAGATTTTCATCTCACACATTCCTTTTTTGATTTTTGCCGGCACAACTCTCCTGTTAGACCACATATTTATGCAAACCCATCCTAAACCTACCTTCCAAAAATACATCACAAAACCTCAGACCGTAAAATTTTCATCTCACATCCCTATTTTGAATTTTGCCGGAACAAATTACACCACACATATATGCCAATCCATCCTGAATCATTATACCAAAAACACACCACAAATCCTCAGACCCCAAAATTTTCATCTCACACATCCCTCTTTTGAACTTTGCCGGAGCAACTCACACATCTGTTTTGAATTTTGCCTGAACAATTCCCCATATTATACCCCATATATATGTCAACCCATCCTGAATCAACAATCCAAAGAAAAACCACAAAACCTCAGACCCCAAGATTTTCATCTCACACATCCATCTTTTGAACTTTACCGGAGCAGCTCTACATATTACACCACATATATAAATCAACCCGTCCTGAACCAATGTCCCCCAAGACAGACTACAAATTTCAGATCCAATTTTTTTCATCTCATACATCTATTTTGAACTTTGCCGGAACAATTCCCCATGTTATACCATATATGTGAGCCAACCCATCCTGTACCAAGGTCCCAAGATTTACCACAAACGACTCATGACCCAATTTGAGCAGTCACTCAGCCACTCTGGCAGAATGGCTGAATGGCTGGGGTGAAAATTTCCGCCATTGCGCGCTCAATCTCATAGATAATAAATATTTTTATAATTCTTTATATTATTTATTTTCAAAATAAAATAGTTAGATCAGGGGCAATCCTCTGACTATTTTCAAATATCTATCGTATATTATCGTATCAACAAAAACAATTTTCAATATTTCAATATATTTCAATAATTTTTGCTCTTTGTCGTCAAGGTGAGTCAGCGCGCGGATCAGTTCCGACTCGTGTCGGGGCCCTGCGCTGATCATGCAATCAACAGGTAGGTGTTAAACATCATGAAACACCTCTAAGGTGTTCACCCATACCACAGGTTTTAGCTGCTTTTAGTATTTGGGGGTACCTAATTTTGACCAATACGCAATTAATGTTGCTTTTGAATACCTCACGTTTGTATACTTTTGCATATTGTTGCTGGGTAAAACCCGGATCTTTTGTCAGTTGAACCGCCTTGGAACAAGGACGGCGTTGATATTCAAACTTGCCCTGCCTGACTGTGGCCGTGGCCGATTCGAATTCCTGTTGCCGCAAATGACGCAACTCGTGTGATGTTTTTTCAATCATCAAAAACTTGGGGAGGTTGGGACATTATCTTAAAAAGGACTAATGGATACTCATGGATACTGGTGGCGATTTTCGACCAGTTAGATTCATGATTTGGGATCATTTGTTTTTTTTTGGGTGATACAAGGGAAGATGAAACCTTTTTCACTTTTGGGAGGTTCAACAAGGTCCAACAAAAATCACACAACTGGAAGGACCACCAAAAGGAGATCTGTTCATTTGGGGTCCCACATTTGTGGTCCATATCATGTGGAAGTGACTAGTAGGGGGATGAGATGATCATATATACTGTGCCAGCAGGAACTGCCATAGAAATCCATGCGGGGTGCAGACGCCACATTTCAAGGCGAGCAAAATAAACATGGCAAGTGGCACGTGTCAGAAACCTGTAACAAAACACAATGCTGATTCCAATTTGGTTGTTCCCCCAAACAACCCATTCCTACAGGGAGAATCTTCATGCCATCTCATGCTAGGAATATTCCCCAATGGATGGTTATGTCCCTAATCATTGGCCCTGTCTACACACTATATTTGCCGTGCTCCATTGGCGACATCCCCAAGTTTGGCGGGTGAACTCCGAAACATTTCATCTGAACAATTTCCAACTCTTTAGAGTTGATCGGTCTTACCCGTTGTTGATTCATTTTGTCATCACCGGTAGTTGCTTATGATGATGAAGCATGTAGATGGGTATAAAACCAACTTTCGATCAACCATCACTGCTGGAAATTCATATTTCGGTTTGTCCGAGAAAACACCCTTTCAATCCATTGGTGAATGATTTCCCCCACTGAAATAAGTATTGGGGGATATTGGGGGGTAGGGGCCCCATTCCCAGACACCTCTAGCTGAAGTTCTGGCGATTCCGCCCTCAGAAATCAGCAGTGAGATCCACAACCAAACCATAAAGTGTGGGAATTCTGCAAAATTTTGGCTTATCATGTGCTTACCCTGGTGTAAAAATGCGGATATATGCAGCATTCTGCAGTTACTCATGTTAATAAACAGAAAACTGTATGATATGTACCAGAACCACAACGAACTGTGAAAACTAGTGGGGCAACGCCACATTTGAGCCTTGGACATGTTGAGACACCAAAAACTACCAGGGCACATTGACGCACGTGGCAAATATATGTGAACATGACAGGACTGAAGCGTTCCATGCCTATGTTTACGTTTATGCACGGGGACTTTCAATGTCTGGGCACTGACAGAAGCAGAGTTGACCTGAGTCGAACACTGCCCCTCCACAGTCATCGCCGCCTCAGAATGAAGGAGTGCTATTTGTTTGCCTATCCCAATGCGTGAATATAACCATAAGAACAAATTAGTTCCATTGTGTTGAGGGTCAACGACCGCATCTCACATCAACCGGAATTAAAAAAGGCTGGGACACGTCAACGCACCTGAAGAATCTTCGCTAGTTGGGTAAAATCACAGAGGGATGGAGCAGAAGACCCTTATTGAAACCACCAGCCACTTGCGGGATTGCAAGGCTGACAGCCTTGATGAATCACAAACTAATTACAAATCAAACGTCTTTAAAACAAACATCTTTGGCGCAGGGCCTTGCAATTTGTATGTTGACCAGGTCACTCGGCACCAATTTCCAGCACCCGTCCTCCACCACCCTCAGGGCACGAACGTTGGGCGACGTGCTCTGGATAGGGTTTCCCACCACCTTGGGGCGCCAAGGTTGCAAGCTCCATCAAGATCAAGAAGAGCTACGTTCACAAATGGGCACATTATCTATGGGCCATTGAAGCTCCCTTTCTGCCGAAAGAATGCGCCAATAGAGAGCGCCAAAGAAGAAGTGGAAACATGTTCACCGGGCAGCTATGCGTTGTTTCTTTTTGCTTCGCCACCCACATGCCTGTTTCCGTCACCCACATGCCATCCGGCAAGGTGCAAATTCAAGCAGGTCGTTGCGATTTGCGGGATCGAGCATTGGATCCATGTTGCTCATGAGACTCCGTGTATGTCATTTAGGGAATATTCGGAATATTTGATATTGTGGGGAAAAATCTATATGACTATGTGTATCTTATGTGCATAATATAATGTATATATATATATACATATGATATTGCTAGGAATTTGTAGAATAACGCGTGTTGAACTCTATTGGCGATACAACTGGGTGCCAAATAGCTGGATGCTTGACTCCCCAACTTTTTTCCAACTAGTTCCCAAGGCCCTCACTGATTGTACATATAAATCAATAGACATCGTCAATCACAACATGTTGCAGTTATCAAACATGGCACTGGGGCCATAGAAATACCCCATTAAAGAATATTATGATGCTAAATTCAACGAATTTTGTGTGAGATATTCCAGGTGCCAAGGTTGGAAAAACATGGAAAAACCGGAGAGACTTCCGTGCCCCTGTGCCGCCGGACATAGGAAAGGCTACCTGCAAAACGGCCCCGGGGATACATCCGTGTGAACTGGCTCCGAAAATGTGAGTCAAATCAACCATCAGCAGCTCACGTATAAAAAGTCATAATAGTTCAACTACACATTCAAATATCATCAAATACTGGTTGGTGGTTAGAAAACCATCTTGAAAAATGATGGAGTTCGTCAATGGGAAGGATGACATCCCATATATGAAATGGAAAATAATCCACGTGTTTGAAACCACCACATTTTCCCACATTTTCGGACACTGCGCATGCTCAGTTGGAGGGAGCGATGCACCTCAGCCAATGTGAACCGCCTCTGCATCTTTAGCCGAGGTCAACCTGCATGGACCTGTCCTGTGTCGCGATCGGAAGCGAGGACAAAATCTCTGCTCCACGCACACAAGGCCCTTTAAGCTGACGCATCAGCCACACGTCCACAGTTTGCAATGCCTGCGCATCCCATGGTACCGATGCAGCTGGCAAATAGGCTTGGACCACCTGCGAATGCGGCTTGGTCTGGTCTAATCCAATCCGGAGTCCAGCCTCCTGCCAAAAGTTTTTGAGAAAACGTCTGAACCATCTCACACGCTGTCTGAATGCAAAACGCTCTGCTTCCAGATATGGCCTTTGTTCGATGTCAACCCATTGCTGTTGTACTGAAAGTGGACCAGGGTTACCAAATGTTAACTGAAAGTCGACATACAATTGAGCGAAGGACACCCAAACCAAAGATGTTGCATCGGCAGGAACCAGTCTCGCCATCAACCAGCGTGCTGCACGGTGAGCATGACTGTAGCCAAACAATCTTGCAATCTTTGGGGGAATTTGTCCCGCCCACTGTCCTTTGTCGAAACACATGGTGAAAGCCCTGGTTTCCTTGGGCGGCGCAAATGGAGCCGCTGGAATGGGCACCCCTTTCACATGTCGCCTTCCAACTTCCAATTGCAAAGCATGAACCTGTTGAAACAACCTGTCTGCTGCATGCGTGGCCTGGACGTGCTCCTCCCACTGTTGCCAGAAACACGGCGGCCGCGCCTGATTGGCAAGCCTTGCCGCACGGTCAGCCATGTCATTGTGAAAACTCTTCCAAGCTTCCACCACTGATTTCGCCTGAGCCGGATCTCGATGGGCTGGGACCTTCCTCAGCCGAATCCTCTCAACACCCAGAGCTGAAACCGAGCTTGCAATCCACTGCCACAAGTCTGAATGAGGTCTGTTCACACTGATGCGACGGTTGCCCCAAAAATAGTTGCAAAACCTCAGTATGACACTGCGACAGTCTGTCCAAATGACCACCGGCGCTTGGAACACAGCAGCCCAATGTAACACATAAGCCACAGCAAAGAGTTCTGAGCGGTAGGCAGTTTGACACAACCCCGGAAGGAACGAGGCACACAGGACAGAGGCATGGCCAGGAGACCAAAGTCGATCACAGTCAGGAGCCAGAACAGCGGACCAGGCGGCAAGACGATACCTCGGCTCGGCAGAATGCAGACAGGAGCCATCAGTGAAAACATGATTCCACGTGCCCGGCAAAAGTCCACAAGTGGGCGGAGGAAGATCTGACGGCAAACGGAGTAGGGTACGGATCCAGCCAGCCCAAGTAGGTGGTAACAACGCCCAACCACGCAAGGCCAGCGCAGGGGGAATGGAGTCCAACAGTGGCAACACATCCGGAGCAAGGGACGCCCTCAAGTCAGCGTGCTGCGGACACTCCCAGTAGCGGTGACTGAGATGGTCTGGCTGACCACACCATGGGCAGTCAGCAGTTTGGTCTGCCCATTTCGATTTGTAACTTTCAGTGAACAATGACCCAGCCAAACTGAGACGGCAAAGAGCTTGGTCATCTCGGCTAAGTTTGGCAAGGGCACGGCGAGTAGTCGCGACATCAACCTGCCACAATCCATGGAACTCACGGCGGTGCAGAACTTTGGAGGCAACAAAGCTTGACCAAGCCCAATGCAGACGGAATTCAACCTCAGAAAAGTTGGTCGAATGGACACTGAAGCACACAAATTGGTCAGTCACACAGCCATCAGGACGCACAGACAACCCAACTTGCATGAGGCGTGACTGCACAATGACGGCAAGGGCATTAGGGGGCAAATCCAATTCCCCAGCAGCATAGGGCGCAACACAAGACGACCAAAAGTCTTCGGAACACTGCTGACGCACTGCACGGCAAGTCCACAAAAGGGCAACAAGCTGCGGATCAGCTTCAGGCTCAAGCAATCCAAGCAACAGGTAAGAGTTGACCCCAGGCCGCTGATACCCAATGGCCTTGGTGGCCTTGCGACGCAACTCCACCCAGTGGTGATCACCAATTGGGGCACTCGACACCGCATGCAATCCCCGGGGCCAGGCAACAGAACGGAGCATCCACACTTTGGCAGCATACTTGGCTTTGCTGGCAGCCAACTTCGGCCAGAAGTCTTCAAGAGCCCCAAATCTTTGAACAAGGGTGCGGTTGGACCAACGTCTGGAAATTCCAAGGTGGCCTCCAAGCTCCCGCGCCTGATGTAGGACTTGCAGGCCCGCAGCACGCATGGTTTGGCGCACATCGCCATCAGTGGACCATCCAAAAGTTTTCTTGCGGTCAACAGTCAAGTCCAACAGAGCCGCAAACCTTTCCATAGCATCCAACTGCTGCACAGCATGGTCTGGGTTCCAGGAGTACGTCTGCCAGTCATCAACATAGGACAGCACTCTGATTGCTGGCAGTTGGGCACGCATCCAACAAGAGAAGACATGGTCCACCAGCAACATGCCAAAGACGCTCAGCCCACACCCTTCGGCCAGACCCGTGGAGGTACAGAAACCAGCAGAATAGGAGTCACGCACCTTGAAATGCCTGCACATACCAGCCAGGGCCCCAGCCCAAGCATTTGTCACCTGATGTGGAACTCCAACAAGGACTGCAAGACACAACGCAGGGTAACGTGGAATGCAGTTGAAGCACTTCTCAATGTCAGCCGACACACCACACAAAACTTGACCAGCAGCGTAGGCTTGCTCGATCTGGAGGATCAAATGGTGCCAAAGGTCAGCAGCCTGGCGTCCCTGTCTGTTTCCAAACACTCCATCATCCGCCCAGGCTTCAGCGTGTTTAAGCAGGTGCCTTGACTGGACACTGGACCAAATGCGATAGGGCAAACCAAAGACAGTAATAGGCCTGAAGTCCCCAACGCCCGCCGCTCCTTCAACTTTAGCAAGGGAGTGGCCCTTGCCCGCCAAAAGTTGCTGTGGCCAGCAGCCATCAGTTTCCGCCCGCTGAAAGACAGAGGTGAGGCTTTGAGTGGTACAAACATCCCCATGCAGCAAATCCACCCTACTAACGCCATCAAGTCCAGTGGCGGATCTCTTCTTCTTTCTCTGGCATTCAGAAAGAAACAAGTCAGGTCCGATGGACAGGTGTGGCACAACATGAGGACGCAGGACACTCCGGGCAAACCCAATCAGCTCATTCCAGTGCGTGAACGGGACTTGGTCATGACGACACCAACGGGTTTTCCACTGGTCATGGAACGCATCAAAGATGTCCTGAAGGTCACCCACAAGCTGCCGCTGAACCAAAACAGACCCAGCTTGACACGACTTGACATCGTCGACCCAAATTTTGTCATGTTCAGCATGAATGACTTGCGTAGCCTGGCCAGCAATCCAAACAGGATGAGAGGGCAAGAAGTCCAAAGGTTTGTCAAGCACAACCGCACATTCATGGTCATCAACCTCTTCAACAGTAGCAGTAAGGGAATGCACAAGGGACTCCACCGGTGCAGCACCAGGTCTAGCCACTTCCCGAAAGATGAGTGTACGATCCTGCTCATGTTGAGATGTGCGGTGGGCACTTCTGGCAGCATTCAACCTGCTTTCGAACAAGCGCACTTCAGCCAGCACCGCATCAAAGATCTGATGGGCCACATTAGATGGCGGACAAAACTGCGGGATGTCATAAGGATCCAAAGGGCTGGTGAACTGTCGGTTGTGCCACCAGCCAGCAAAAGAAGGCGAAAATCCAGGTGCCTTGAGGATAGAAGTCCAAAGTCCAAATCCATGCAGGGGGTCATTGGATCCAAGACGCACCTTATTGTCTACCCACCGGCAGTAGTTCTGAAGGCGTCTCAGCTGACGGAACTGTTTGGCATGAAGGGCTGAAAATCCAAAGAAAGAAGGTTGAACTTCGGAACTCTTACCATGCCTCAAGGGTGCCTGGTGACCGGACACTTTGAACGGCTTGGTCTGCTGTCCGCGGCCTTGCATAGAGGGAATCCAATCTGGGGCCAACGCAGCTTTGGCTTGTTCTTCCCGTTGGCGCCACAGTTCGGCGTACTGGATGGTTGGGTCAGCAGGCGCCGCAAAGGACACAGAAGAGGTCAACGGTGGTACTTGACTCCAGTCAATGGGCTTGGGGCACGGCCAAGGAAAACGCTCAAGCTGCTTGGCACCACCAGCAAAGTCGGCCAGGAGCAAGGAGTGGTCAGCAAAAGTTTCATCACAGAACCGAAGGCCACGGAACGCAAGGACCAATTCAGGAGACAGCCACAGGAAGTCTTTGCGAGAAACCTGCTTGCACGTGGGTCGGATGGGCGCCCCAGTGCGCATGTGTTGCAAATCCTGTACCTCCACCCAGCCGGAGTTCAGAAGGCGTGATGACACCGACAGAGAATCCAAAGTGAAATTCCAATCACCACACATGAACCGAGGACCAGGAAACGACTGCATATGGTCAAAGGCAAAATCCAGCATCTGTTCGGTCTGTTCAAACGCACGCGGGTGCGTCTTGCCTTCAGGAAATCCATAGACGACCGACCCAGTGACCCAAGACGACGACGTACAAAAAGAGGCAAACTGGATACGGCCGGACTCGTAAAGGTCAGGTGGCCATGGCGTGGCCATGGTTCGGCTAGGCACCGCAGAGAGGTAGGCAACCCCCGCCCACCCTCCGGCATCACTTGTTGTCCTAGGAGACATGGGAGCTCCTGTCAAAACTTGTTTAAAGTCGGAACGCATCGACCGCAGGCTAGATTGCAAGTGGCGCTTGGAGCCTTTGGTCAGGTGAGTTTCGCTGACGGCCAGAACTGTGGACTTGATGTCGCCGACAATGTGGTGCTTTGCTTGCAATCCGGACGGATTGCAGATCCCGATCGACCATGTTGGCGCAACTTCAGGTCCTGGCACACTTGCTTCCCCAATTCTGAACATCAGCGAGACAAAAATGAGGTAAAAGAAAGCCCTGAGAGGTTTGCACAACCTCGGGGACGCCCTACGCTCGGGCTCAGCAGTAAGGCCCCCTCCCCATCATTCGGTCCGGGGTTTCTTCGACAAGATGCTCTCCAGCCGAATCATTTGATCCGAGAGCATAGCCTGCATCTGCTTTGACTGGGTGTCCATCTGCACCAGCATCTGTTGTTGCAAGGACTGAACCTGTGCAGCGGATTGCGCGTGGTTTTCATTGACAGTGGTCTCAAGGGCTGTTTGACGTCCTGAGAGCGCCTGCATCTGCTGCTCAAGTGCCTGAAAGCGGTGCTCCTGGCTGTCCACCTCCATGTCTGATGCGACCGGGAGCTTGGCCAAGATGGTCTGCTCCAGACGCTGCTCCAGCTCGTGGATCACATGGGCAGCCGGTTGTGCGGTCTGCGGCACTGGAGTGGCGGCCACAGCACGTGACCATGGATCGTGAGTCAACCATGGGTCCTGGGCAGCATCGGAGGCCAAACAGAGCTGCACCGTCTTGGCCTGTCCAACCACACAAGGTGCTGGTTCAGAGGTCGCTGACTTGTCATCCTGCGCAGTGATCACCACCTGGCCATGCTGCATCGACAAAACGTTGGACGGAGGGTCCAACACAGCTTGAATAGCCCACATGAGGCCTCCAGGAACATGGTATTGCGGTTGGAGTGGACGACATTCCCATCCTCCAGCTTTCAGGATTTTTGCCAAGTTGCGACGTTCACTGCCAAAAGGCCAAGGACCACAGACAAACAGACGTCGACTTCCAGGAGTGAGGAACACAGCTTCTGGTTTGAGCCGAGTGAAAGTTTCCTGGAACTGCTCCACACGGACACGAATTCCATATCTCCGACCTGTGCGGGCAAGTCCAAGGCAGTGGACCTCACATTTGGCAGCATGGGTGGCGCTAGGAAAATCCATCTGTGGGAGCCAAATCACCTGAAAGTCAGCGTTAGGCTTCAAAGCATCTTCCGTCTTGGGCTCAAGGTACAATCCATGCTGGCCACTAAGTCCAAGGACCGCTGCCTCAAGCTCCTTGATGTACCGGATCATGACTCCGAAGTAAGCCGCTTTGTCCCACTTCACTGGTCGGCCTGCTTCCGTGAAGAACTGCCTCCGAAAGACGTCCAACAAAGCATCATGCGTCTGATCAGGCTTCGGATGCCATCCAGTGCAGGTGCAGTCAGAACCATTTCGGCAGGTCTGCAGACAGGGCAAGTGCTGGAGGATGTGCTTGACTGGCTTGGCAGCGAAATCTTCCCAGGAGCCTTCCCACTGATCTTGGTAGACCGTGATCCTGGCACAGGCAACATCAACCGCCAAAATGGCCGGAGTGTTCTTGGCACGGTATGGCGAAATCATCCGATGACCAAGTTGCACCAGGACACCTGACAGGAGCATCGGTTCTTGATTTGCAGAACATCGAGCAGCAAAGCGGATGGTGGCCCAGGGGAGGGCAGTGTGAAAGTCCACAGGCGGTTGCAAGACCAACAGCGCAAGTCCATGTTGAGTGACAAAACGACCTGATTGCAGAAATGGAGCCGCCTCAGAGTAACTGGCAAGCGCAATCCCTGTGGTCAGAGGTCCAACCGAGGAGAACTGAATCTGGCCAACTGGTGAATCATCTTCCAAGCAAAAGGTGCCATGCTCAAGAACCAACTTGGATGGGTCAAGATCAGCGGGTTTGGTCGGCATGAGGCGTCTGACATCGGATGCTTGGCGCTTGGGCTTAGGCCCGGTCTTGGCGGCTGATTGCTGGGCCTGCTCATCAGGCAACACAAGCTGAAGCGGAGGTGACTGCTGGTTGGCTAACGCTTTGAGGGACTTCCAAGGGGCAAAACCAATTTGGCACGCAAAGCAACCTGAGCAGGAGGGACGCCATGGGTTTGCAGCAAAGCACTTACCAACGTGTGGGCGTCAGGTTGCCCAAGACCCCAACACCACGGCTTAGGGACAACGGAGGTCGCACGCAAGGCTGCTTCAAAACTGGTCTTGAGTTCTTGATGGAGTTCCACAAGCTCCTCACTAGACCTGGGCAGATCGCGGTTCAGAAACCGATGGGCGAAAAAGGCAACTGCAGCACTTCCACAGCACTCCTTAGAAAAGGTCCTGCGAGAACATGCGATGGAGAACCTCGGCTTGCCCCATGCCTGACTGACAAGACCATGCAACGGACAGAGAAAATCCACATCACAGTCTTGATGTTCCCACAGCGTGACATGCACTTCAGTCATCCCATCCGTCCAAACCACAGGAATCCAATGACCCTCATGCAGCACCGCGGTGGCAATAGCAGTGAGCGCAGGAAACTGAGCCAACCATGCACCAACCTTTTCACGTGACCCAACTTGCAACCAGCCAGTGGCCAACAACGGATCCAGAAATTGGGCATCAAGGCGGCCGGACATGCGCAAAATCGACTCAGCGTGCAGAGTGAGTTCATCATCACCCATAGCTGGACCTTCATTCTGCAAGATAGCAAGCCGCGAGCCAAGTCTGGCCACGGTCTGATGGATCATGGTGCTGGTGTGAACTTCAGAAACCAAAGGTGGAATCAAAGCAGCAAGACGAGCACCGGACAATTGCTGCATGCCATACAAGGTATCAGGGACTGGGTCCACAGAGTGTGTTTCCACAGAATCCAAGGCAGAGTCCAAAGCAGACAACACGGCAGGGTCAGCTGTCAAGTCCAGAAAGTCCACATCACCTGCCGGGTGTGAAGGAGCCGCAAATCCAGTTGGCTCTGGGATGGCTTCAGGCATTCGGGAATCAACATCGACCTGAAAGCGCAGGCAACGACCAGCAACCAGATCCGTGTCTTCCAGGGGAATGCCAGTGGATGCATCGATCCAACTACCTTCCACATGCTGCTGAGTCAAATTGGCTTCAGCCTGGGTCAAATCTCCAAGGGTAGCCTGGGCCTGCACAAGTGCTCGAACTTCTGTGCCATCTGGGTATTGCAAATGCACCCAGCTGGTCGCAGACAAGCTACCCTGCACATTGGGGAACATCTCACGGGCACACGCAAACAGATCACGCTTGAAGGTCTGAATCAAGTCCAATGGCACAACCTCCGGAAGCTGGAGCACAGCATGGAGTTGACGCATGACACAGGCACCAACCCACAAGGATTGCAACGGACTGGCAAGTTGGCCAATAGCCGCAAGACACAACTTCAGGGAAGGTCGGTCAGCAGACATCCAAGCAGAGGGAGGTGGCATGGCATTCAACAAGGCAAGCTCACATGGGTGAAAGTGCCGAAAACATGGTTGGCCCTCAGTGACATGGACTGGCAACAACTGGGCATAAATTCCACGCTGCTGGATCAAGTGGTCGCTGAACTGAGACCTACAACCACAGGGACACTCAGAAGCCTGGGAACCCCAAGAGTGCAAACATGTCGCCAATTTGCCATCCAATTGAGTCACATATTTCCTCAGCGCAGAGCCATCCAACGTGAACTGCTGGACTTCATGTTGAGACAATTGCAGTTCTTGAAGAACATCCGATGGCCATTGCTTGACAAACGGCATCAAGTCACGGATCGTGAGGCTGGGGCTCTTTGGCCACTCCGGCAACTGCACTGCACCAATGCTCGAATGCATTGCAACCAGCCACCACCGATACCTACGTGCTGCCCATTGGTCTTCGAGCTTCAAAGACACCTCAGACAAGGAGTAGCCAAGGGTTTCAAGCATCTGGACCTGTGCACGGACAAATTTGTTGGAACGAGCCTGGGTCACGCACTCAATGATCAGCACTGGTGCTTGGCACAAGTAACAGGCTTTGATTGTCGCTGGGAGGGTGTTGGACCTGACATCTTCTGAACCATGCTGACTGCCCCCTGAGGAGTAGGGCTGGCATGCAATACCAGACATCAGACAAAAAGGAGGCTCCACTTGTTGCAAAAGACGACGGATGCAGTCAGGATCATTGATGTCACCCTCAATGACAGGGACCTTAGGGTGTAGGGAGCGATGCAACTGCACAAACGGAGCACGCCACTCAACACTGGCCACATGAGAGAACCCAGCAGACGAAAGTCCAACGCTCGAACAAGCAACCCCTGCACACAATTCCACGACACGACCCAGGTCACCAACCGGTCTAAGTCCATGAGCAAAGACATAGGTGGAGTCAGTCAGCAGCAAATCAATGACCCCAGGCAGTTCCTTAGGAAAGTCCAACAGGGCACCAAAAACCGAAAGCCGACGACACCCCTGTATGCTATGATTGACTGCACCAACAAGCCTGATGCGCTGCCCATCAGGGACCGACAAGGCCAAGACGACTTCCGGGGAGTGTGTCAAACAGTCTACCACTACAGAAACCTTTGTTCCGCTCTCCGTCTCAAACCAGCGAGGGTGAAAGAGATGGGTAGCATCGACAGCATTGTCCCAGCCTACGTCCATGGTCAAAACACGAGTGACAAACGACGCTCAAAATCTGCAAGGTCAGCCCACCACCGACCTGGAAGGTTTTTTGAGCCAGGGCTCACTTGAGCCAGCCAGAATATCATCATTCCAGGATTGAAACAAAGCAAAAAGATCAGCCCCAGGGCCCCAGGGCCCCAGGGCCCCAGGGCTTGTTGGACAGAGACCCCCATGACCCCCGCTGTATCCTGGTGCCTGTGGTATCTCTTGCATCTGGATCTTTTCTGCTGGGCGATCCTGCAAGGCCAGTGACCGGTGGCAAGGTGGTGTCAGGGTGTGTCAGCCAAGAAAAATCATCTGGGTGTGTCTGAAAATTGGGTATCCCCGAAATAAATCTGACATGTTTATACCATTTTTTCAGGATTTCCCTCATCAAAACTGCCATTTCTTACACCCCATTTCCAGACAAAGCCATCTTCAAAGAGCACCACCACATCTATCGCCTTGGGAAAGTGGATCTGGTCGACCAATGACATAGCCTGGAGATCTCACGCTGCGACTGTCCAGAAAATGTGGTCAATCTTTTTTGATCGTCCACAACAAAAATGTGTAAAAACGTTATCTTTTGCTGCTTGCTGGTTAATCTTTCAATTTATCAATGGGAATTTCAGGATCCTAAAATGGAGGTACTGTACCATATAAGGCCATATTTTGGGGGGATATCCCCTTACATAGGCCTTATATAGGCCTTATATATGGTAGGTACCTCCAATTTAGGTTCCTGAAAATCCCATTGAATTTATAGCAAAAAACTAAAGGATTGGTTGATTAGTGTCTACCTATCCACTTGGTCAGGGCTGAAGATGAAATATCTCCCATGCTTCAGCACCGTTTTCCCCATCTGATATCTGAGCAGTCGGCCTGTTGCATTTGCCACTGGAGCATTGCCCATCTGCGAAGATGGAAGGGCGATCGTTCAACAGGTGCTGTTCGTGTTTTTTCTTCAGGTGCCTTTTTGGAGGTTCTTTCAATACTAAATTGATTGTAAATCTTGGACTATCTCGGGTACTCCCATTTTGAGAACCTTCATATTATGTACTATTAGGATCTGTTCGGTAATTTTCTGACCCTCAGGTGTTAAGGTGCTTCAAGAAGACAATATATACCACTGTGGATACGGAAATGGCTGGTCGTTGGTCTGATTCAACCATTACAATGCTGAGAATGCGTTTACCTTACAGTAATTTACCAATGACTCCCATGGTTCATGGTCAGTTTAGTGAGCTGGGTATGCTTCAAACCATATCCAGATGACCATCCACAGACTGGCAATTTTAAGGGCCTGATGCCCAGCATCTTGAATTCCGGTGACCCGCCCCACATGTTCCACCTGCTAGACCATGTGTTTTCTGGGGGTAGTTGGTAACTACGAGTGTTATACTTATAACTCATATTAACATATATTAACAAGATTTAACAATAGTAAATGGATGCAAATGGCTTAGCGGTAAACCACTTTGTTAATATATAAAAATCACCGTTTCTTCACCCAAAATTTGCCAGGATCGGTGTTTTCCATCCTATTGGAGCTACACCACGGACACAAAATGACTCCAATCAGCCAAGAAATGCATACTTAACATATTGTCAAAAAATACATGCCAGATAAAACAGCAACTCTTGATTGTTAGATATTACATAACATCAACTTTCAGAATGATGTTTGTGGTAAAAAAAATGAACAAAACACACGCTCATCTTCTGATCTTGTACTTAATAGCTATACGATTGTACGATAGTTGATCTTAGCAGCCTTAGGATTCAAGAGTATCACTCAGTTCCCAGTTGAGTATGGTATCAACATGTATCAACATGTATCAACATGTACCCTCTGGTAATTTAACATAACTATTGAACATCACAATTTTTAATGGGTAAATCAACTATAAATGGGCCATTTTCAATAGCTATGTGAGTCATAACCAGAGGGTATCAATTATCAACTCACTGATATGTTCAACCATTGATTTCAACCAATCTCTGGAGCTGGATCCAGCGTACCATCTCCCTGTGCCGCAGTTCAGCATCACGAAGGCGACCTCCGTAGTGGGAAATCTTCGGGGAAAGCTGCGGTGAAAATCTGCCGGAGATTTTCGACTTTGGGATGAAAAAACCATGAAAAACACATGAAAAACGTCGATTTCATGCACGACTTTGGACATGAAACGAAGAACGTTAAGAACGTTCGATGTTTTTTTTTGAAATGCGAATGGATTGGAAGTTTTTTCGAAGCAGGTCGAAGCAGTGAACATGATTTTTGGCATTCTTGGGGATGATTCACCATAGATGAACCATATATGGTCATGGTGACGTTGTGAGGATTTGTGAGGTTGCTTTAATTTAACCAGCTTAGTTTGTAACAAGTACATTAAACTGGCAGTGTGTCAAAATAGCTGGTAAATGGATGTTCATTACCCTAAAAATGGTATTACTAGGTATTGATCCATAGCCAACTATGAATGAAAAACCTGATGGATTTTTATGGCTGGCAAAAGTGGTGGATATTTTATGCTTTGCCTGGACTTCACCTGTAAACTTTTCTCAACTGATCTGAATTTTGATAGCAATGAAGACAACATATTCCCAACACAAACGTGAAGATAGAACATTCAAAACGAATGTCCAAGCTATTTCTGGTCGATTCTTTTCACACTATCCTTCATTTTCTATCATAATCTACTAAACTATATTAACGGTAAAAAAACGTCTTGACACCGCGAAGAGCGCTTCTTTCACTTCGACAGGTCGAATCTTCGAATCTTCGGTCCACCAGGTCTTACCGGTCCACACTGTGCCAAGGCTCGGTTTTCCTCTTTCAGCTTCTTCAAGGAATTCTTGGATCGAACCTCAAAAAAAGCTTCCACGAAGTGGTGGCCTTTTAAAAGTACCCGAAAAAAACCTATCTGCCCCCTTGGGGTTTTGGGCTTCTAAGATCGAAGTTGTGGGCTGTTACAAGAATTGCAAAGAATTGTTACACGTATTATGATGTTCTTTGCTGGCCAGAGATTGGACATCTTTATTCAATTTATTTGTAACAAATACTGGCAGGTATGACTCTCTGTTTTGTCCAGAGTCCGCCACGTGATCAGCTCAGGCGAATTCGTGGAGTAGAAGCGAACCAGGTCAACTTCCAAACCAGCTGGGGTAAACATGGATCACAGCTGGATCAATCCGATACGATCATAATTACGTCACCATTCTTAACTGTCTGGTGAACCATAACCAGCTTTCGAACTGGCTGATTGGCTTGTGGGGTGGGCTGGCTACATTGGCGGAAAACTCCATAAATCTTCTGGTGAAGTCCCGGGAAATTCCATGGTTCCCAAGGCTGGAACAGGCCACCATATGCCACCGTCATGTGTGAGTTGTGCATCTCCTCATTTGTTTTGTTTTGTGTAACATGTTTGTGTGTCATGATTGTAAGCATCTGTTTCTATATATGAATGAAGAATAATGAAGATAATTAAATTCCTGGCTGCTTGGCCTTGCCAACGACAGCAAGCTCTAGTTTTCAGACAGCGTTGTACAAGAATTTGAGGTGCTCGGTTCCAATCGCAATCATGGTTTTCTGGGTCTGTATCCACTTCCTGCTATCTTGAGAATTTGAGGTATCCTAATTTTTTAGAGGCCAAATTCTGGAAATGTACTAGGACCATGATGATAGCAATGACGATGACGATGACTACGATAATGGATGACGATGTCGACCATAACGATGGAACTAACCTCGAAACGACAAGGACAATGATCCCATGATAATAACAACGAGCCCCAACCAACCTTTGAGGGCCGTGCTGGAATACCAATTGAGAAACAGACACAACCAGCAAGGCATAATCCCAACACCCAATCCATTGGAGTCAAAAATTCCTGCAACATTTGTTGGCTGATGCTTCACAGCTCGGCGACGGACCCTGCGACCCTGGGGATTTAGTTTTGTTTGAGCACTTGGAATGTAGATTGTCCATCAATACGTCCGCGTGGTGCGGATGTAACGATACATTATAATTCATCAAGGAACTCAACAAACGTATATCTGGCCGTAAAAAAGAACAGCACGGATGTCAAATTTGTCACTGGGTGCCCCTGGCGAAAAAGCAAAGGCTGCAACTTGCAAGTAGCACGAAGGCCCTCAGGCGCCCAGAGCTGGCAAAATCATACAAAATCCACCATTTCTGGTGAAGAAGTTGAGCGACATCCACCATGATATGGGAATGATGATGCAGAAGTTCGCAACGAGCTAGACCCTGTGATGGGAAGTTGGTGCATGAGGAAAAGGTCACCTTTTTTTTCTAGACTGACGCATGGGTTAAAGTCTATGGACTCAGGCTGAAGAATGACGCATGGACCCTTAAAAAACCCTTTAAATTTAGGAGAACGGAGGGAGTTTTACCAGGTGACCATGACCAAAGGTGCACTGCCGGCGCCTGTGAAGTTTACCCAGCGCTGATGTTTTTATGGCTTTCAACTCATCCCAAGTCACAAGTCAGTGTAGATCACCCTCCCAACGAGGGATGAACATCCCAAAATGAAACCAATCCAACAAATATTTGGGTTTGTGTGAAAATGGGGATTGTACATGGTGTACACCAACAGTTTTTGGGAAAACAGGGGGGTTCACCATCAAGTTTGGGGGTACTCTAATGTCAGACCTTCTGAACATTTGGGAGTTTCTGGAAATTCAGGTACCCCTTTTCACCATTGGTTTCCTATTAAACATGACCCATGAAACAAATAGTTTGGGGTTCACCCTTTCAGGAAACCACCATTTGCAATCACAATTGGTACTGTATCTGCATAAGATTTTACAAGTAGTACGTACCATGAAACTCGGGAAATTTGAAATGGATTGAAATCTGGTTGGTGGTTTCAACCCCTCTGAAAAATATGACTTCGTCAGTTGGGATGATGACATTCCCAATATATGGAAAGTCATAAAAGCCATATTCCAAAGCACCAACCAGAAATGGTGGTTCCTTACAATGGGGACCATTTGATCTTCGGAATTTCAGTTTCTCCCGCATCTCTGGGCGTCTCTGACAGCACCAGCGTCACACGGAAGAAACCATCCTGGGGGCTGACAAAAATGCTTGATCCACCAGGGACGTAGTTGAAATGGGATTCTGGTGGGTCAAAACCTATCTGGTTGGTGGTTGAGCCACCCCTCTGAAAAATATGAAAGTCAGATTGGATCATCATCCCAACTATTGGGGAAAATAGAAAATGTGCCAAACCACCAACCAAAACCGTATTTCCTGATCAATTTGAGTGGGATGAACATCCAGCCATAGCAGCTATTGGGAGTTTCTCCAGGTGGGGATTCCTATCTGTGGATTCAGGGACATCTGGACATATATCGCAATCCCCCCAGTAATAAGTTTAAGTTTAAATAAGTTCAAGTAACATCCTACTGGAATATAGTGATATAAACTACATATTAATATATATATATATATGTATATAGATAGATATAGATAAAGATATAGATATAGATATAGATATACATATAGATATATATATATAGATAGATATATATATATATATAGATAGATATATATATATATAGATAGATATAGATATATAAATATATAGTGATACATCACTTCTCCATCTGTTTTGCTCCACATAAAGAATATAAAGACACTGTTTTTCCTGTAGCCCGATGCGTCGCCACCCCCTCCGCGCCGTGACTGGCGGTGTATGGATGAACCTGCGGGATGAAATCAGGGCTGGCGGCTTCCAGAGTCGCCTTGAATCATTGGATTTTCATGGTTTATTATTGGTTTATTATTGGTTAATGAATGGTTAATGAATGGCTAATGAATGGTTAATGAATGGTTAATGATGGTTAATCATGATGATTCATGGTGATAAATGGTGTTGATAAAAATGATAACTAATGTATACTAATGTTACGAAAACACTAGTAAACTGCCAATATTTTGATGGTTTTGGGGATGGTTTGTGGCATTGGGTTTCTCGCAGTTGAGACGATCCCATTTTTAGGGTTGAAAATAACAACTGTGTTGAAACCTCCAACCAGAAATTGTCCCTTATGTATCCTTATGTCACCTTATGAATCAATTCTGGCAGTTACTCCCACTAATTCTACTCCTCCGAACCATGTCCGAAGCGAAATTGCAGCAAAAAGACGACTGGAGTAGCCAACAATAAAGAAATCTAGCGTAAATGTTGGTAAAACAATGCCATAAACCATCCCCCAGTCATCACTGAATTTTTATAGGTGGTAGTTATAGGTATTCCCACATGGGTAATTTATTATTATTGCTTCTCCCACATTTAGAGGTCTTTAATGCATGTGTTAGTCGAGAACAGGACATTCCGTGGTCACCTTCCAGTCGTCCCAAGTCGTCTGTGGTCGTTCTGATCAAGGTGCCAAAGGGCTATGTATCGATCCAGTGAAATTAATGAAAGGTATATCTACTTATAAGGGTATAGATATACTGTAGAATATTATAGAACGATATAGAATCCTAATATATATATATAGTTATATACAATTCTACAATAGATGTAGAATTATATAGAATCCCATTACATACAGTTATATTAGTTATAAACCAACTTGGCTAACGAACTGGGGCACCACCTCGTATCAGGATCCAAGTCTTCTTGATTGGTGAAACATGCACACATCACAGCGTCGCAGAACAGGCCTGTCTTGATGTTTGATGGATATTGGAACAGGCCTGAGCAAATTCACAGGATCCAATCTTTGGATATGTTTGGCACAGCCATCTTTTTCAGACATGTTTACGACATTTTACGACAGTATGTGACATGTGAAGCTTCAGGGGTTTTTTGACGCTTCTCGAACTTGAGAAATTGGGTGTATATCTGCAAAGTGTGAGAGTTTTCGATAATTCAACCACTCAGGGGTCTCGTTCGGTATTTCTTGAACTTGGATACCCCAAGAGCATCAGCTCTCCCATCAACACAGCAAGGTGGTTCTGGTGAGGTGACTCAAGGCCAAAGAGATGCAGGCAGGGTTTTCATCCCCGGTTGATCTTACTAAACCAAGATAGTTGATCTTGGTTTGATCTAAAGTGACATATTTGAAACTACCAATCAGTAATTATCTATTTATAAAATATTATAAAATAGAGATAAATAGAGTATCTATCTATCTGTCTGTCTGTCTATCTATCTGTCTGTCTGTCTGTCTATCAATTTTTCTACCTATGCAGTGAACATGCGCCTACCAGCATACACCGTAGGCATGGCCCAGAAATGTCGAGCTACTGGCTGGTAGTTTTGGGAATCCCACAATGGACCACAATGAATTCTGGTTGGTGGTTGAGCCACCCCTCTGAAAAATATGAAAGTCAGTTGGGATGATGACATTCCCAATATATGGACAAATATAATTAAATTAATGTTCCAAACCACCAACCAGAATTCTATCATTGAATTCATAGTAATGTGGTAAACCCAATAACAAACCATCCCCAATCTTTGGGCTGCTTGACACAACAAGCCCAAATAGCTATTCCAAACGTCCCCAAACCCCAAAGCCGCACCCGATGCGTTCGATGGTTGCTCCCTCCACCTGCAACAGCAATGGCAGCAGATATATGATATCTCCTCCTTTAAAAAAAGGCGCGAAATCAAATGAACCATTTGCCGAACTTGTCGCAAGGTATCAGGAAACTGGAGTGCTGGCCCCTGCCAAGTCTGCGCTGCCTGACATGTTTCCTGTCTGTTGTTAGTTGAACCATTGCTTTGTTGCTTTGAACCTTTGATGTTTGGGAATAAACCACTAAACTTTCTCACTGACGACTGATTTGGGTTTGAAAGGAGAGGTTAGTGAAATCTTTTGAAAATGGATGATTCATTCAAGAGTACTATGTAATGGCTAAGTGCCAGATGCAAGTGATACCCCCTAGCCCAAATGACTGGTAGACTGAAATGGGCATATCTGCATACATCATCATCCATCTATGAATATTACACATGGCTAATCTTGGAAACCACACCAAGAAAACATTTCAACTGTTAACCAAGCCAACCTTGCTAGGTCCCTTTCAGGGTCTCGCGCAATCCCAGCAGTCCCAGCGGTCGATGAGTCTCCGTTGCCTCGTCTTTGATGAGGCCCTGATGAATGGCACCAAAGACAAACATTACCTGCCTGGGCGAAAGAAAAGACCGAAGCAAAAGACGGCGAGTTTGGGCGAAGAATTGGAGGTGCAATCTTAGATCTATACATGGTATATATATAATAGGTATAATTATTTATGTAGTCATATATATATATACACACTATAGACTATATACATATATATAGTTAGACATATTATATTCAAACTGACAAAATACAAAGATTCTGGGTGAACTTGAAGAATCACCAGCCATGTCTTCACGAGGCCTTGATGTTTATGGCACCTGGGCCTTTTACTAACCACAATTAGACTCCAGGCTCCATACACCACTTACCAAATTGTATCCTATAAAGGGTATCTCAAAAACCAACATATTTTTGCTCCCCAAGGAAAACATGATTTTCACATGATGAACAACGTCAACAACGTCCTGGATTTGCCACATTATTAGATAGTATTCTTTTGTCAAAAAAAATGGTAACCCAAAAAACGACCAACTGGAGGCGAACAAGGGTCCAGCCCCCAGACCCCCAGATTATAAACGGGAACCCTTCGCTACGCATTGGGGAAAAATGGTAACCCAAAAAACTCCAGTTTCGCTGGTTTCTGGATGGAAAAATATTCCCCCAGCACCAGGAGTCCGAGCTGTCATGGATGATGTTTTCTGGCGAAACCAGTCATGGTTGGTTGATACTGCTTGGTTGATATTCACTCTTCACAGATTTTTATGGTTGGTTGATATATGTATATACTGGTTGGTGGTTTAAAAATGACATCCCATGTGTGAAATGGAAAATAAAAAATGTTTGAAACCACCAATCAGTATATATATATGTATATACATATGTCTAGACATCAAACAACTGTTGAACCATCAAACACATCTCGGACTGATCGAGGCCTCGAAATGTTGACACGCTTAGCCATATATATGGTTGGCGTTCATCATCACATTTCTAGTCTTGAACGCAAACCATATGGATGATGATGAACATCTATGATGATGGATAAATATGTTGTCATTTTCTAGAAAATCTATGAATTAAAAAAACAAACACGAACCATTTCTCTTCCAGTCGCATGAATTTAGGTGAAAAATCTTAAGTGGCAACGAGTCAAAACAAAATTCATACACTGGCCCATGTGATTGATAAATTTAGGTACCCAGTCATTTGTTATAGGATGTTATATTGCCATTCATCCTGCCGCTCAACTCCACTTTTTGCTGGGCAAAATGGAACACAAAACACACATTTTGTTCGCCATATCTCCCCATACCTCCCCCCGCATTATGCCTCGAAATTCCCAATTCTTGGCTGGGTCACCTCCTCCAAAATATGTGATGTTCCTGTTTTTTGACACAAGAAATCCTCACTGTTTGCGGGGTCAACTCCCCACACAAGTCTCTAAAGTGTTGATTTGCCACTGGGAAAATACCAAATCGCCTTCCGCAAGTCCTAAGTATATCCATGTATATCCCCATCATATCACCATCCTGCAATCATTATTGTTGGTCCAATCACCATCATGTCCTCAAGTCAAACAAAGTTCCAAGTCTTGTTGCTCAATTCCATCATTTCCCTCCATGATCATTTCAGTTTGGGCTGATAATCTCATCTTTGTCAGCAAGATATCGATCGTTTCTTAGTAATGCCAACAATGTTAGATTCTGAAATCTTAGTAATCTTAGTAATCTTAGTAATCTGAACTAGTAGGACAATATTTAGCAATTCACCAACAGATTCTTTATCCTCAACTTCCCAAGTCCCACGCCTAAAGAGTGCGTCAAGCAAGGTGCTTGGTGCTGGTCCCTCACCTCAACATCGTCAACAACATAGCTATAACTAGGGAGGTGTTGATGGGCCAATTGTTCAAAAAGATCATCTGCTAAAATTGTTTGATTTTAATGGGATAATATGATACTATTATATATATTGTATATGTATTCATATTCATATAGATACAATGGGATGCAATGGAAAATAATCCCATCTCATCCCCCCAACCGTTTGTAGCCGCAGAGGTTTTTTGAATTTTCTGTGCCACCGGGATTGCAGCGATGCACAATGCACAGCTCGGACACAATGGGGACAATGGGTATATAACGGATAGAACGATGTATGATTGGGATGGGGGCAATGGGTGTCGTGTTTATAGTGGTGGTGTATTCGTGTGTGTATATATATACATACACATACACAGTGTACATATATATATATACACATAACACATATTATAATTGTATATATTATATACACACACATCATATATAACTAAATAGCATATGTTTTTTCAAAAAACAAAAAACAACTGCACATGACATGCTATTTATGGATGGTATGCAAAAACATCACGGCTTTGTGCAAGTTCAAGCCGTCACATCCCCTCACAAAAACCAATGTCTCGAACAACCAGCCATTCGGTGATGAATATGTGATGTGTTCACCAACATGGGAGATTTTGGTCCAACAATTGGGTCTAGAGTCTAAGACTCTAGACCCCAACAGCTGCCGTTGAAACTACGGGAACCAATGTTTTTTTGGCTGCAATCCCTTGCCACATTTGGCGATGCGAGGCATGAGCAAATTGAAAACTAGTTACGCGAGGTTGTAAAACAACTTACCCTCTGGTAATTTGTTACATAACTATGGAAAATCACCATTTATAGTGAATTTTCCCATGAAAAATGGTGATTTTCCATAGTTATGTTAAATTACCAGAGGGTATATTTGACGGGCATCACTTTCATATTTTTTCCACGGGGACTGGACACACTTACAATTAGACGAGTTGGATGGGGGAACCAAAACATCTGGAAATCCACCATCTTTCGTAGTCGTACTGAGGTTATCTCTCCATTTTTGAGGGAGTCAACTCCTCACATGTATGTTTGAATGTATGTTTGAACATAACAAAATTGTACATTTCAACTCCAATTCTAGTTGGCTTAAATCCCAATAACTTTTTCTGTTTTCAAGTCCCAAATATGTTTTGTCTAAAAGCGATCCCGTCTTTTAACCTGCAACGAATTTGGATGCTTTCCATTTGCTCGTTGTCTTGTTCTGAACTGTTGAAACCATTCCACACTTGCAGGTTGAATGTCAAGGAAATTTCTAGTTACCCTCTGGTAAATTAACATAGCTATGGAAAATCACCATTTTTAGTGGGAAAACTCACTATAAATTGCCATTTTCAATAGCTATGTTAAATTACCAGAGGGTACCCATACTTGTAGGTATTTTCTGGTTCTTCGTTTTCTGGTTGTTCGACCACAGGGCAGTCATCATTTTCCTGGGCAAAACATCCTGATTTTCTTCGCCAAAGAGCCATCCAGCAGAGTGAATTCCATCCAAACGCCCTCAAGCAGCGCTGTGTTTTGGGCGAAGCGCGATGGAGAGTTCACCCGTTTCCAAGCTGTGGACGTTTGGAAATTGTGGGCTTGAACATGTTGGGAACCAAGGAAAATGAAGACTTCAACCAGCACCATGAACATTTGATATTCAGGTACAAACTACCCTATACAGCTTATACATACATTGTGTTTAGACAGTTTAGACATCAAAAAATTCTGCTGTTCCAAGGCGTCACTAAATAACGCATGCACATAAATTGCCCATTGGATCTCAGATTCTGAAACGAAGATTGCAAATCCATGGAAACCAGTTAATTAATTACCAACATTTGCCCAACAAAAACATTGCACAAATTAAGAGGCATATCCCACGAACACTGTGACGACCGCAAATGAGGGAAATCGGGAAATCCAGAACACTGTTCAAACCGTCCATGTCAGCACAATCAGACGCAGAGCCCTTAAAATCTCACAAATTTCAAACTTTACATACCTTGAAAAAATGGAATTGCTATCTACATGTGATTTCCTTTCAATCTACCCAAATGAACTTTGACAGTCTGATTCTCGGCTGTGGTGCGTTCATCATGGTATCTGATTTTGGTGGCATAGTGGACTATTTGAGTATATCCAATATATTTGGATTTGTCTGAAAGTATATTTGGATTTGTCTGAATATAGGGAACCACAAAAATCTGATAGTTTATCCTTTTCCCTAGTGGAACAACCATAAGTGGGTATACACCATTTTCAGATACACCCATGTGTCATGTTCGTCCTTAAATTCCAAACCGAATGATCGAATCAACTAATGATCCACTGCTCCTGAGGGGCAATTTTGTTCTCTGATGTTCTTTGGCTCTCCATTGAACCAGTAAAATATATGATGATCACCATCCCTTTTTCTGATCCTTAACTCCCCTAATATGGCCAGCCTCTGCTCCTGGCGGGGCCTTCTTGGAATTCAACACCTGTGACAGCTTCAGGGTGGTTTCGTCAATTTGATACATGGTTCGCTTGTGCAAGTTAAAAAGGAGACACAAAAAAAAATGGAAACTGCATGGCGCTGTTTGCCAATTTGATCCGTTAGAAACTCTGTGTCTGCTTTGATTCCACCGGTCCAGTGCAACCAGCCCTGATCGCACCAAGAGTGCTGCGACGCGCCTTGATGCGATCTGGTGCAATGTGCAGCGCCTCCTGTCGAAAAATGAAGACAAATGCTAATCCCAATGTGCAGTTGGACAATGAACTGCGCCCCGCTATATACTTTGGATAAAATCGCAGAAATCATGGTTTGTGTAATATAAATGTTGATGTTCTGACTTCTGAGCCATCCATCATCGATAGCAAACCAGAATAATGAGTCCTTATCAAGCAACCACATCTAACTATTATTGTTGTGTGTTTGCTAGATGATTAGATGATTGTTTCTTAGCCCTCGCAATGCATAGGAAGTGCGCTCAACTTGGCCTGCAGCCCTTTGGACATCTTGGCTTCGAACTCCTCGGGCCTCGCCGACCTTGGCGTGCAGGGGCCCTTGGGGCAGACATAGGATAGCGCGCGCACGTTCAATCTACTGTGTGGGGCCAAATTTCAATCGTTAAGCAGCCTGAGCTCCGGTGATTTTGGGCTGGTTCCCCGTAGCTATCGCAACTCACCAAGAATGTTTTCTTGCAAAGTTGATTCACCCGACGTGCAGCAGTTGAAGCCGGCTACAGGAACTGATGCTAATGTTCACTGTCTGGGAGCAGAATCCGCCATATCCAGCCTGCTGATAGCGCACCTCCGTATATGATATTGATATCGTTGTCACACTTCTCAAACATCTGGGTCAATGACAATAATTCACTAAGCTGCAAAACAGCTATTTTGGGATAGCTACCCTATACATAAACCATGACTCACTGGTGAGTTCGTGCTGAGGTCGTTATAATATGTTATAATTCATCCAGAAACATAGGCTCAATGGGTCAATGACAATCCAGGGTTACCAAGTGCATCTATGAAGGCTCCCCACTGGTTGTGCAATACCTGTGACACAAACCCAGTTTGGATCTGATGGAATGCACTGAGAGCACACTGACTGAAGTTCTTCTCCAACTGCCCAGATGCATTGCACACATTCGTCCGTTTCCGAAAAAAATAGGGGCTATCCCCAGTTCTCATCCATTGTTCTAAGATGTTTTAAGATGATGTTCCATTATAAATGGATAGTTTCCATATTAGTTTCCATCCTAAAACAGGGGTATCCCCAGTTATCTAATGAAAAACGGTATCCAGCTCGTTTTCCAAGCCTCCGTGATTCCTTGACCATGGATTTTCTGTGGGCTCTTGGGGCATTGGTTTTGGGTCAAAACCTTGGTATCCTACCCCAAAATAGTTGATGAATGGATCTGGGTATATTATAATATTTCACTAACCTGAAATAAGGCTAGTGATATAGGTTATAATATATAGGTTAGTGATATATATATATATATATGGGTAAATTATAATTCACTCACCTGAATAGTTCGGCCATTTGGGGATGATTCCTCTTATTAACCATTATTCCAGGGTTCGGGAGAACAGTGAGGTCGTGATGAAATTTACCCAGATGTTTACTCCCCCAAAATATGGTCCCATAGCTTTTGACCCGCATCTAATTCAAAAACCTGAAGGATTTGCTAGTTTGACATGGCATTTCAAGCATGGATAAACAGCCAGTCGCTGTGAAACTTGGAGGGATTTACGCCGTTTTACGCTTCGATGAGGTTTTTTTCTGGTTGTCGATATTCAGCGGATGTGCATCTCATTTGGTTGTTCATTTTGGTTCGTTATATGGAACACCCTCCAGCAACATAAAAAAAAAAAATCGATACGGAAATCCATGGATGTTTCCTATTCGAAAATGATCGAACAAATGGATTAATTACAAATGGTGGGGTTTCCATATAAAATATATCATTAATTTCCAGCTATCTTCAGATATGTTGTTGGAATCTACCCCCATGTCGTCATTGTCAATCTCGGAAACCCTGATTTTTTTTCAAAGCTAATGAGGTTGATCCGTCCGTAACAAAAGGATCTAATCTCCCAACTACCCATCAAGTCGGTTTACCCCGACAACTATGTTGAAACGGCTATGGACCAGCCTGAAAAAAGATCATATATATATAATATTATATATTATATATTATATATTATATATTGTATATTATATATTATATATTATATATTATATATTATATATATAAATATTATATATTATATATTATATATTATATATTATATATTATATATATAAATATTATATATTATATATTATATATTATATATTATAAATTATATATTATATATTATATATATAAATATTAAATATTATATATATATAAATATTATATATTATATATTATATATTATACATTATATATTATATATTATATATTATATATATAGTCTGAATTTTCATGGGTGGATGACAATCCACTGCTGATCAAAAAAATCCACCATGTAGCTTGACCCGTTGGGCAACTGGGAACACCCACACAGCTGCCCAGAGGACTCGGGGCATTTTCAAGACCGCAGTGACCTGGGGCACGGTGAGTAGTAGTGGTGGTTTTTCTTAGTGGAAAAAATATGTCAAATGAAGATCTGGATATATATATATATATCTGGGTAAATTATAATGGTTGATAATCATTAACCATTAATCATCACCATTATTACCATTATTACTTCCAAAAAAAAATATATGATATGATATGATATCTGGGTATAAATTATAATATTTCACTAACCTGAAATAAGGCTAGTGATATAGGTTATAAAATGGTTATAATATATAGGTTAGTGATATATGTATATATATATATATATATATATATATCTGGGTAATGTTAAATTTCACGAGGTCTTGGGGTTTTGGGATTTTTAGGGTATATTGGGTTTCAAAATCAAAATGCATCATTTCGAGCAACCTGCGCGCAGAAGGGTCGTCAGGAAAAGTGTTGAATGTTGTGATTTTTGTTGAATCAGTGGTCCAAAAGGTCCAACTGGCGTTCCAGAGAAACTGAAACAGTCGGAAACAGTCGGAAACGGTCGGAAACAGTCAGAAACTTTCCGACTGTTTCCGACTGTTTCCGACTGTTTCAGTTTCTCTGGAGCGCCAGTTGGACCTGTGGACCACTGATTCAACAAAAATCACAACATTCAACACTTTTCCTGACGACCCTTCTGCGCGCAGGTTGCTCGAAATGATGCATTTTGACTTTGAAACCCAATATACCCTAAAAATCCCAAAACCCCAAGACCTCGTGAAATTCAATACTGGGTAAATTATAACATTTCACTAACCTGAATAGTTCGGCCATTTTGGGATGATTTCCCTTACTAACTATGATTATCGTGAGGTCGCAGTGAGGTCGTTATTCTGTGTTGGTTTTATCTGGGTTTTAATATATATATATATATAATCCCAAATAGGAGGGAAGAGTCAGGCGGGTTTTGATCTTTTTTCAAGCAAACTTTATAGGAAATCAAGGTTTTGACCTTCAAATTTCATGGGGTACTTGTAAATTTTCTGTCACGGACCCATCTATTCTTGGATGACATCAGCATGAGGGGGGTGGAGTGCATCAACGAAACCAACGTCCAAATGGCACCTCCAAAATTACAGAAATCTGGGATGTTCAAATGGTGGATACAAGTGGATGGTCAATACAGGTACAGGTCAGATACCCTCTGGTAATTTAACATAGCTATTGAAAATCACCATTTTTAATGGGAAAATCCACTATAAATAGCCATTTTCAATAGCTATGTAACAAATTACCATAGGGTATCAATACTATCCAGAACCATTCAATCTCTGGGCCGGGCGAAATTCAAACCCCTACCCCTAGCCAGATTCCAGGCCCCAAAGTAGCGACACCAACCAATTTCAAGCCAAGAACTGGTTTGCCAAATTGCAGTTCACCTCCATAGAAGCATCAACAAGCAACTACATTGGGTGATTTGGCAATGTGTCAAAACCTTGTACCCCTGTAGTTCACATCAAAATAGCTGGGATTTATGGATGTGAATAACCCACTAAAAATGGTATTAATAGGTACTGATCCATACCCCTAATCCCTAAACTCTAAAACATGATGAGTAACTGAGTGAAGTCAGTTGGTTACTCACACCTGAATCAACCACCATCCGGTAATCGAACCTGGCTTAGCCTGGCTGGTTTTCTCACATCTCTCAATAAGTTTCTTGATTTGTTCGAAGCAAATTGTTGGAAGCTTATACTGTAGATTATATCATTATATGAATATTTTTACGATGTATCCATTAATAGATGATTTTGCCATTAAGAATATGGATATTTTATATCAATTCACTGACTTGAAAGTTCGGCCTTTTTGGGATAGTTACCCCTTACTAACCATCATTCCAGTGAGGTCGCAGTGAGGTCGTTATAATCTATCCAGATTCATAGATGACTCTACCATTAAGAATGGAAACTTTCAATGGCCAGAGGCTAGTCTGCAATGCAAATTCAAATCCCAGGCTTCCAAACTAAGAACCTTCAACAGCTGAGACAACCTATCATTGAGATTTACTTTCCCTGTTTATTCTGTTCAATCTGTTTCAACCTCAAAAGAACTTGTCAATTCCATCATTCATCCCACATCCTGACAGTGAAAGATACTATATGTGAAAGCAGCAAACCAATAACCAGCCCATCAACAATGGGATTTGGGCCACATACTTCAAGTTTCCAGTGAACAAACATGGCAATCGAAAAATATATATATATAATCATATATATATATAATATAAGTGTATATATATAACTAAATATAACTAAATATAATATAACTAAATATAACTATATATAACTATATATAACTATATATAACTATATATAACTATATATAACTATATATAACTATATATAACTATAAAAAAAAAAAAACTATATAAGACTATTAAAAAAACCGCATAAAACTATGAAGAAATATACACAACTAAATATAACTATCTATAACTATATATAACTATATACAACTATATATAACTATATATAACTATATATAACCATATATAACTATATAGAACTATAAATAACTATATATAACTATATTTAACTATATATAACTATATAAAACTATATAAAAATACATAAAACTATGTATAAGTAAATATAACTATATATAACTAAATATAACTATATATATATATATCTGTAAATAACTTCATACAACTATATATAACTATTTATAACTATATATAATTATATTTGCCTATATATAACTATATATGCCTATATATAACTATATATGCCTATATATAACTATAAATAACTAAATTTAACTATATATAACCAAATATAACTATATATAACTATATATAACTATATATCTATATATAACTATATATAACTATATATAACTATATATAACTATATATAACTATATATAACTATATATAACTATATGTAACTATATATAACTATATATAACTATATATAACTATATATAACTATATATAACTATATATAACTATATTCACTGGATTGGTTTAAGGGAAAATTTACAGGAAACCATGGTTTTTACCATCATCCAATTCTATGAATATAACTATATTTAATTATAAATAACTATATTTAACTATAGATAAATATATATAAAAATATATAACTATATAATACTATATATATAACTATATATAACTATATATAACTATATATAACTATATATATAACTATATATTACTATATATTGCTATATATAACTATATATAACTATATAAAACTATATATATATCTATATATAACTAAATATAACTATATATAACTATATATAACTGTAAATAACTATAAATAACTATATACAACTATATATAACTATATATAACTATATATAACTATACAAAACTATATATATAACTATATATAAATATACATAACTATATATAACTATATATAACTATACAAACTATATATAACTATATATAACTATATAAACTATATTTAACTAGGAACACGGCCTTTAGAAGGCCGTGGTGTTTTTGTGATCAACGGGGTGTCTTGGATGATGTTTGATGTGGTCGTGCCAATAGGATTTTGTTTGATGTGCTTTTAAAGGCGAGAAACCCCTTATTCTGTTGCATAAAATCAAAAACAAGCATTTCTCCTAGGCGAAACTATCATTTTTGATGTTTCTCAGAACTCCCCAACTAATTCGACCTGTAATGGTTTGATATGAGTTTAAAGGCCAGAAACCCCTTATTCTGGTGCATGAAATCAAAAAATAAGCATTTCGCCTAGGCGAAAACACTTTTTTTTGTATTTCCACATGTTATGTCATGATGAAATTGGCACAGCCTGCCAGACGACCTTGCAACCGACCTGGATTTCCACATGCGATGTCACGATGAAGTTGGCACAGCCTGCCAGACGACCTTGCAACGGACCTTGACTTGCATCGAACATCAAAATATAAACAAAGACAGACATTCATACAAGTAAATGATGTTGAAAACAAAAAATCTGATCGCACTTCCAGCCGACATGAGCGTAGCATGACGTATCAGTGAAAAGTACCCGAGAACTTACAGGAGCGTAGCATGACGTATCAGTGAAAAGCACCAGAGAACTTACAGGAGCGTAGCATGACGTATCAGTTAAAAGTACCCGAAAACTTACAGGAGCGTAGCATGACGTATCAGTTAAAAGTGCCCGAGAACTTACAGGAGCGTAGCATGACGTATCAGTGAAAAGCACCAGAGAACTTACAGGAGCGTAGCATGACGTATCAGTTAAAAGTACCCGAAAACTTACAGGAGCGTAGCATGACGTATCAAGAGCAAAGCATGACGTAGCCTCAATGTTAATACATGCCCCTCCCCACCCCACCCCACCCCGTGCATCAATGTACGTATTCGAATCCACCGAGAAGAATGTACTTCCTCCGCAAGTTCACATCAACGTTAATACCTGCCCCACCCCACCCCACCCCACCCCACCCATGTCTGCACGCACATACCTACCCAGCAAGTTCACATGAACGTTATACCTGCCCCACCCCACCCCACCCCACCCATGTCTGCACGCACATACCGGCACACACAGAGACGACTCTACTTACCCAGCAAGTTCACATGAACGTTAATACATGCCCCACCCCACCCCACCCCAACCCCCCGATGTGCACGAAACACCACGGCCTTCTAAAGGCCGTGCTCCAACTATATATAACTATATAAAACTATATATAAAACTATATATATATAACTATATAAAACTATATATACAGCTAAATAAAACTATATATATAACTATATAAAACTATATATATAACTATATATAACTATATATAACTATATATAACTATATATAACTATATATAACTATATATAACTATATATAACTATATATAACTATATGTAACTATATATAACTATATATAACTATATTGAACTATTATAACTATATATAACTATATATAACTATATATAACTATATATAACTATATATAACTATATATAACTGTATATAACTATATATAACTAAATATAATTATATATAACTATATTTAACTAAATATAAATATATATAACTATATATAACTATATAATACTATATAAAACTATATATATAACTATATATAACTATATATATATAACTATATATAACTATATATAACTATATATAACTATATATAACTATATATAACTATATAAAACTATATATAACTATATATAACTATATATAACTATATAACTATATATAACTGTATATAACTATATATAACTATATATAATTATATATAACTATATTTAACTATATATAAATATATATAACTATATATAACTATATAATACTATATATAACTATATATATAACTATATATAACTATATATAACTATCTATAACGATATATAACTATATATAACTATATGTAACTATATATAACTATATATAACTATATTTAACTACTATAACTATATATAACTATATATAACTATATATAACTATATATAACTATATATAACTATATAAAACTATATATAACTATATATAACTATATATAACTATATATAAATATACAATACATGATTAGACAACTGGATCATCTTTCCTTTGGTGGATCCCGTGGATCCCTCAACCAAGGCGCTGCAGGGTCGTAGAGAGGTGGTGCCCCCGAACCAAAGAAGGGTCGAACCTCCGAGGTCCGGCGGGTTATCCGAGGGTTTATTGCTGTGGTGTATCGCTGGGTTTAAAGAAACAGGATGATAATCTTATAAGTATTGCATTACTATTCTTATTTGATTAAATATATATATATATCAGTAATCTTAGTTTGGAAAAAATAGAATATACTGTTTTCATATCATTATTGTATTCATTAGAAATTATAGTATATTCATTATATTGTTGATATATTATCATATCATATCATTTAATTGACATTTGTGTCATTAGGATCATTAGTATCATACCATGTACATGTCCCCAGGATGGGTCAAATTTCTGGGTATCTGGATATGATGAAACTGTCATCCAAATAGGGTACAAAGTCCCTGAGGTAAACTAACATATAGCATAGATGTGGAAAATCAATGGTTTTCCTAGGAGAATGATCAGGACATAGTGGTTCTCCACATCTATGGCAGCGTTTACCAGATGAGCCATTAAAAATACCCCTATCCCATCTCATTATACTAGTTGGTTGATAGGTTTCCCTATTATGGGTTATCATAATCCCCAGTAAATCAGGTAGTATAATCCCCTATAGCAATCAATTCACTAGGTATTTTTAATGGCTCAGATGGTACCAACATCTGTGGTTCCCTTCATGACATCTGGACCACCCAGTGACTTCTACGGCATCAAGGCATCATCATCACTGCTACGTTTCAGGGTTATATATATATATACTGTATACATATCGTATGTATACAGTGTATATACATATATACAATATATACAGTATGTATAGTATAGTATATGTGTATGTATATGTATAGAAAACCCCTCAACGCCTGGGCTTTGCCCCAGTGTTGCAGCGTAGAGGGTTCCCATTCTGAATCAAACGTTGTTGCAACTTTACATTCAATTGGGAAGATTAACAAAGGTATTAGGGAATATTTGAATCCGACCCCCTTTAAACTCTACATTCCATTGGGAAGATCAACAAAGCTATTAGGGAATATTAAAATCCCACCCCCGTTATATAAACTTTACATTCAATTCAATATTAGGGAATACTACTGTAAAAGCCCACCCCCGTTACACTTTAATTATAGACATTCAATTGGGAAAATCAACAAAGGTACTAGGGAAAATTTAAATCCCACCCCCGTTAAACTTTACATTCAATTGGGAAGATCAATAAAGGTATTAGGGAATATTAAAATCCCACCCCGTTAAACTCTACATTCAAATGGGCAGATCAACAAAGGTATTAGGGCATATTGAAATCGCACCCCCTTTAAACTCTAATTTCAATTGGGAATGATGTTGTTGTTGATGATGATGATGATGCTGATGATGATGATGATGCGTTGCCCGTCGTCGTTGCGGTCCGGGGCAAAGCCCACGCATTTGCCGTATAAATATATGTATACAATATACATATATGTATATGTATATGTATATGTGTATGTATATATATAATGTATATACATATAAATATATATATATGTATTTTCTATGTATATAAGCTATATATATATCGTGTGTATGTCTATACATATACATATATATATATTGATCATGTGTATGTATGTGTATATACATATCACATGTAATTATATTAAAACTAAATTATATATATGACTATATGACTATATGTATGTATATATATATACATAGCAACCCTCAAAAAGCTAGAAAGTGAAGTCCTACTAAACAGTTATCAATGTCTTTTCTATCTTTTCGGGAATAAACTATACACCAATCCATTTGGCGATAAATTTGCTGGTCCCCAATGCAAGATGTCCAATGAATCACTAAGACTCTGCGCTGCCGGACGTAGTTGTCGATGTCAACGGCCCAAACACCGTCAAAGCGCAAACCTTGGCAGGCCGACTGCTTGGAACATCAGATGTTCACCAAGTGTAATCCTGGGAAGGGAGAACTACTGAGTAGCTTAAAATGTGATCTGGTTGGTGGTTGAGCCACCCCCCTGAAAAATATGACAGTCAGATTGGATCATCATCCCAACTATTGGGGAAAATAAAAAATGTTTAAAACCACCAACCAGTGATTGCCTTACTGTGTTGAGGAGGTCTGTAGCCAATTACTCTCAATCACCACTTATCGCAAGGTTATCGCAAGGACCGTCCCCATAGTACCCATAGGTACAAATCTTTACAACAGTTTTCCCATGTTTTCCCGATAGATCTAAGTGAATGTTGATTATATAGACTCTACCAGCAGCACAAAGCTGAAGATAGTGAGCTGGTTACCTGAAAATTGAGAGGGACACCTCGAATTGGATGGTTTAAACCTGTTCAAACCCTCATTTTCCATATGTAACGGCCAGAACTGGGAGGTTTCCCGCTTTAAACAAAACAGAGCCATTGGAGAAAATGTTGGTAAAAGTTGGTCCAAGTTGGGCACGACGACACTTCAGTTGGTTCAGTTCTGGCCGTTTACCAATTATAAGTGTTTATAATTGGTTCTAAATGGGATTATACATTCCATAAATGGGGTTATAACGGTATGGATCAATACCTATTAATACCATTTTTAATGGGATGAACATCCATAAATCCCAGCTATTTTGATGTGAACTACAGGGGTACAAGGTTTTGACACACGGCCATAAGATGTTATAAGTACTTATAACTGGTAAATGGCCATAACTGTTGAATATGTTTGGATGTCGAAAAAAGGTTGGATTCGACTGAGTAAACTCAAGTCAATGGATTTAGCCGGCCTGGTAAACTGTCCCATAGCTATGGAAAATCACCATTTTTAATGGGAAAATCCACTATAAATGGCCATTTTCAATAGCTACGTTAAATTACCAGAGGGTAAATGAGTGGTTGGTGGTTGAGCCCTACCCCTCCGAAAAATGATGGACTTAAAGTCAGTTGGGATGTTATTCCATTCCCAATATGATGGGAAAGTCATAATCCAGCCATGTTCCAGTCACCACCAACCAGATGAGTGACCCTCCTTGCATCTGTCTCCGCGCATCTGGGCTCCCCCCACTGTCCATCAGATTGCCCTTCCCACCGTTGGACCTCATCTGCAGGAAACCATGGTCTTAATGGCAAAGTCCGCGACGATGAATGAACATTGGTGATGAAACATGATTAAATCGATTAAATCACCTAGCCGAGCTGATGATATTTCTTCTTTGGATAATTTCGGCATCCATCGAGGATCAAAGCTTCAAATTTATGTAGACGAATCCGCATTTTGATGGTTCCAAATGTGTGTAAACATGATGTGTAAATCCCCTACTCAACATGACTAATGAAACTATCTAAACTATCATTGATCTGGGGTTGTTTCATGGTTGTTTCATATGAACGGGGGGGATGAGATTTCATGGGATTTCTATGTAGACCATGAAAAAAAGGGTACGGGTGCAAGTCCAAATGCTTGAAACAACTTTGACTGCCAAACTTGAGGCCTCACAAATTGGACCTTCTCTGCTCAAAAAGACAAACGTATTACCCTTTGGTTACTTAACTAGCTCTGGAACATTACCCATTTATAGAATTGGAATTTATAGATGATTTTCCCATGAAACCTCCATTTATGAGAGATGTTCACTTCCATTGTTGTCTCAAATAGAGCATATGTATGTTCACCCGTACAATGACATCCTCTTGTGACAGACCAAGGGGTCGGTTTCCGATTATGCAGCATTTTTTTGTTCAATTGGGTGGAACTCTCCCTATAAATCTACCAATGGGCGAAGGACATCGGCGAATGCGGGGAGTCCCTCTGGTACTGAAACGTGACAATCCCATGACGGATCCATGGTGCTGCGAAAAATATGGTAACATGGATCCCATCAATATACCATCTGGTTTATTTAACATAGCCATGGAAAATGGCCCATTTATAGATGGTTCACCTATTAAAAATGGTGATTTTCCATGGCGAACTGTTAGTACTGGTTGGTAAATAGGCTTCCCTATGGAATACAAAAAGTCCCAACCAACCAACCAACCTGTCAATGTACATATTCAACATGTCATATCAACACTGGCCTGTGGTTCAAGGCCTTGAGTCAACTCCTGTTGACAACATACAGATTGAGCGCGTGCAACAGCAAAAGGTGCCGACAGTTGCAGCTTGACAACAGTGCTTGAAACATCTCGCACTTTTACATGGTAGCGGAGCTCTGCCTTACCAGGGGCATCTCCAAGCAACAGCAGTAAACAACAGGCAGAGGGCTTGATCCCAGAACACTGGGGGACTCTCAACAATTACTGTGCACAACATCCAACAAACAACACACCAGACAACAGAGGAAGCAGCAGCTGAACAACAACACTCTGACAACAGGGAGAAGCCTTGATCCCAAGACATTGGAGGAGCTTCAACAAAACTTTACAAAGCAACAATGGCGGCATCACCAACAGCACCACTAGAGGATCAGACAGAAGCGTTGGCAGCAACACACCGACTCAAACTCAAGCCCCCAACATATGATGGCAACTATTCCACATTTGAGGAGTGGAAATACAAATTCACAGCATACATGGGCCTCATGGACCCATTCTACCCCAACATCCTACGACGTGCAGCAACATCCACACAACGACTTACAGAAGCAGACTTGAGAGGAGCAGCACAGAACATGGAGGAAGCCGACAGATGGGTACAACTAGACAACAACTTGAAGTACATACTTGTGAACGTAACAACAGGAGCTGCAGCAACAGTGTGCAGACAGTATCAACATGAGATGGGACTTGAGACCTACAGGCAGCTCAGCAACAGGTTTGCCATACCATTAGGAACAAGAAGCATAGGGTACCTAACAAAGCTGCTCAAGCCAAAATTTGACAGCAACAACTTCGAGGAGTCATTCTCCAACTGGGAATTCGAGCTCTCAAGGTATGAGAGAGACAACAACACAGCACTACCAGACCAAATCAAAATTGCAGTCCTGACGAACGAGACATCAGGCCCACTGCAACAACACCTGCACTTGAATGCAGGAGCAACACCAACATACGTAGAGGTACGTGAAACAATCATGGAATATTACAGAGCCACCACAGCCCTCAGCAGGCTACACCAGCAACCTGGGACATCCAGCGTCTCAACACACGCCCAAGGAGGACCGGCACCTATGGACATTGGAGCTGTCAACAAAGGATACAAAGGAAAGTACAACAAAGGAAAAGGAAAGAAGCCCAACAAAGGAAAAGGAAAGAACAAGAGCAACAAAGGCAAAGGATATGGCTACGGATACAACAAAGGCAAAGGAAAGATTGGGCAAGGAATGCAGCCCAAAGGATCCAACAACAAAGGAGGGTACATAGGCAAAGGCAAAGGCAAGCCAACAGGAAAAGGAAAAGGGGTCCCAACACAAGGATGCTACAGATGTGGCCAACCAGGTCACATAGCAAGAGACTGCCGTGTGGCAGTACACAACCTCAACGAGGTTACAACCAACACATACACTGGCCATTGGCAAGATGATGCAACAACCCAATGGTATCAACAACAACAGTACTATGACGGCCAATGGTGGAATGATGACCAAACACAGGTCAGCGCACTGCCACAGCAACAACTGGCACTCCCACCAACAAGCGCGCAGGAACAGCAAGTTCCACAACTCCACATAGCAGCCATTTCAATACAGCAGTCCAACAAGCAGCAGCCAGCAACTGAGCAACCGGCAAACACCACAGAAGATTTGATGATTGACAGTGGAGCAGCAACACATGTTTGCCCACCATGGTTTGCCCCAACATACAAAACATATGAACTTCACCCAGAACAAGGCCCAAGACTTACAACAGCAACAGAGGAAGACATCACAGTCTATGGCTACAAATGGGTGTACATGAAGAACAGCAAGCAACAACCGATCGTCATACCCTTTTATGTGTGTGACGTGTCACAACCCATTTTGTCAGTAACAAGACTGGCATCACAGGGTTTCAACATCCAGCTTAGCGATAACCCAACAATCACCAACACCAACGGCTTTGAAGCAACACTGAAGCAACAACAAGGACTGTATTTTCTTACAGTCAACATCAGCCCAATGCCAAGCAACATGAAGCTCGACATATGTGAGACGTCACATGGCATTCGAGCAACAGTGTCGCCAGTGACAATTACACCAACAGGACCTGAATGGGTCACACACAACAACGACATTTGGATATACAACAGCACAGGATATCTGGTGAGGGTACACAAGAGAACAAGGAAGGCCCTCTTCACACCAGATGCACAATGTCCAGTTCCAGAAGAACAGCTGGACAACTACAGAAGAACAATAGCATACAAGCCAGATGGAACACTTGAGGACTTTGAGGACAGATACAAAGACCTTCCACAACAACGACAGAACAGAAGACTTCCAGGACCAGCATGGTCAGGAGAAACATGGTTCAGAGTCAAAGAGACAACAAAAGCACCACCGTTGCCCAAGGCATCAACAGCAGCTTCAGCGCCAGCATCAGCAACACCAAAGGCATCGGCAGCCAAGCCAACGACACAGCAACAGCAGCAACAAGCTCAGCAGCCTACAGGATCAGCAGTTCGACACAGAGAGAAGAAGCCAGTGGAACAACCTTTGGTACCACAGCAACAGCAGCCCATGAAGCAACAAGCATATCCAGGAACAGCAGTTCCAGGACCAAAGGACACACCAGCAACAGCAGACTACTGGATCAAAGAAGGACAGTACTGGAAGAGAGTCCATGTACAACAACGGACTCAGCTTTACATCCCACAACAAACAATGGATGGTCCAGATGTCACAAAGCTATTGCCACAAAGACAAACAATAGTTAAGCCAACATCAGGAGCCAGAGGATACAGGATTGATGATGACTGGACAACAAAGACCTCAGCAACAATGAACTTCACATGGACAGGTTCAACAAACTTTGAGGAGAGCACGGCGTTCAAAGAGGAGTACTACAACATCGATGAGGAAGAACATTTAGATGCCAGAACAGCAAAAGGCATCAAAGCACCAGAGCAGCCAACAGCACAAGAGCGTGCTGAACATGAACTCACACACCTTCCCTACAGGAGTTGGTGTCCAACATGTGTTCAAAACAAAGGACGGGCAGACAACCACCCACGACAACACAGCAAACAACCAGTCGTACAATTCGACTTTTGTTTCTTCAAAACACTTGGGGAAAAGGAAACAACACCAATCCTCACAGGCATTGACGTGGAAACAGGCATGAGCATGGCAGTTCTTGTCAACAGCAAGACAGCAGACTTTCAATATCACGTCCAATGCATACAAACATTCCTCATGGAGTGTGGCAGAGTACAAGCTGTACTCAACAGCACAATCCTACAGTCAGATCAGGAGGATCACCTCATAGCACTTCTCAGAGCAACAGCAGCTAAGATGGGAGGAAACATCACAGTTCGACAAGCACCAACATACACATCACAAGCACAAGGCAGCGTCGAACGCTTTCACAGAACACTCATGGGACAAGTCAGAACACTGAAGTCCCAACTGCAGAACAACTACGACATCAGACTTACAAGCAAACATCCCATCGTAGCATGGATGGTGAGACACACAGCTTACCTGCTCAACAGGTATGCCATACATTCAGATGGCAACACAAGCTTCTTCAGGAGATGGCATAAAGAACACAAAACACCACTCTGTGAGTTTGGTGAAACAGTTCTTTATATGTTGCCAAACTCAGCAGTCATTCCAAAGATGGAACAGCGCTTCATGCCAGGCATATGGCTTGGTAAAGACACAACATCCAATGAGAACCTCATTGGGATTTCCAACAAGGTTGTTCGAGCACGAACAATCAGAAGGCTTCCAGCACCAGAAAAGTACAACAAGCAACTGATGGACTTGATCAACAGATCACCAACACTCCCATACACCACTAGTGGACCATACGTTTCAAAACCACCACTGGTCTACAAGCCAATGAGGAGACCAGCAACTGCAGAAACAGGCACACAAGCTTTTGGAACAGACACAACACAACAGCCACAACTTCAAGCACAGCAACCAGCAGCACCGGCAGGTACATCAACACGATGTGCCATTGCAGACTCACCAATGGCAACAGCACCAACAAGCTGTCACACCAGACCATCACTTCCATCACCAAAACGAACAGTTTCAGACGAAGTGGCAGAAGGCAGTCTGCCAAAGCAACATCGAACAGCAGAAGCAGCAACAGGTCCAGCAAGGCCTGACACAGCACAAGAGCCACCAACAAGCAAACTAAGAATCACAAAGGTGACAATTCAAACAAAGAAAGGGGTCGAAATCACAGCATACACTTGTGACGACATCACAGAAGAACAAACAGAGAAGATCCTTTTGGAACCAATGGTCAACAACACAGAAGGATTCGACAAACAGAAGACCATTGAAGGAATGAAGAATGAGATCGATTCCATGAAGAAACAACAGGTATACATGGAAGTCGACATCAACACTCTGACCCCAGAACAAAAGAAGAACATCATACAGTCAAGATGGGTTCTCAGAGACAAAGGCAACAACGTTCGTGCAAGAATTGTAGCAAAGGGCTACACAGAGGCAGTCAACGATCTTGATGACATCTATGCCTCAACACCTATCTTTTGCGTCCTGAGAACACTTCTCACTATCTGCCTCAACAGAGGTTGGATCGCCAGAACAGGAGACATCTCAACAGCTTTCCTACATGCCGCAGCAGCAACAGCAGACTTGTACATGTATCCACCAAAGGAGTTTTACAGACCAGAGGACAACATCATCTGGAAACTCCTCAAAGCAATCTATGGACTGAGAAGCAGTCCAAAAGCTTGGCAAAACCACCTTGCAGAAGTCCTACAACAACTTGGACTTCAACGCAGCACAGCAGAGCCCAACATCTTTATGACACCAACAAGAGATTGCTATATCCTCGTCTACGTCGATGACCTTCTCTTCCTAGGAGAACAACAAGTGGTGGACAAGCTCTTCACAGCAATTCAGCAACACCTTCTTCTTCGACCAACAGGTACACTTGAACCAGGGAAGACAGTCTCCTTCCTTGGACGCAGCATCACCAACAATGGTGATAGCTACGATATTTCACTATCGCAGGACTACGTGGCCAACATCTTGGAGGAGAACAACATGCTGAACTGCAACCCAGCACCGGCACCAGGAACATCAGCCTTGAAGGCACCAACAGCTGATCATGAACAGCCTCTTTCAACAGACGAACATGCAGCCTACAGGAGAACAGTAGGTAAACTACAATGGATGACATACACTCGTCCCGATATCAGCTACGCAACAAAGGAGCTGGCCAGAGCATTACAAGCACCAACGACGGCAGACCAACAAAAGCTGAAGCACCTTCTTAGGTATCTCAAAGGAACACAACACTACAGGCAGGTCATTAGACCAACAGCAAAGATACCTCCAACACAGATTCCAGACCTCAACATCTATGTGGACAGCGACTGGGCAGGTTGCCCAGAAACGAGGAGATCAACAACAGGTTTTCTCATCACACTACTTGGAGCTACAATCAACTACGGCAGCCGAACACAGGCAACAATAGCACTGTCAAGTGCTGAAGCAGAGCTATACGCCATCAACACAGGAGCAACAGAAGCACTTCATTTGCGCAACCTCCTCATGGAGCTCTTCAACGTCCAGAAGGTCAACATCAAGATCCACACAGACTCGTCAAGCGGCAAGAGCATGGCAACAAGGATAGGATCGTCAAGAAAAGCAAAACACATTGACCTGAAACATCTCTTCATACAACAACTGATCTCACATGACATCGTGAGACTCAATAAGATTCACACAAACGAAAACCCAGCAGACATTTTCACCAAATACATCTCAACAGAAACACTCCACAGACACCTGCAGGCAGCTGGGCTCAACACCCAGCACCACATCCACTAGAGAGTGGATACAGCAACAGCAGTTTCACAACACCCGGGCAGCTAATGCACTATGCGCACGCGTGCACAACTGCGTGAGCAAACAATGCACACACAGACACACACACACACGGACGCGTTTGAGCCATGACCGATGTCATCAACAAACGTTGATGAACATCTCCCTTGTTTCGTTTCATCCAGTATTTCAACAAGACCTTTTTTGGAATCCCAACATGGTGATCTATTTCGACTATCAGCATCAACATCATTGACTTAGTCAACATGATTTCCTTTTTTGCAGGATGACTTATTTCAACAAGATCCTTCCCAACGTGAAGGTCAACATGTCTTGTGACGCATGATGATGTCAACACCGTTTGTTGACAACAGTCGTGTATTCAACCTTTTTTTGTGCAGCCATTTTTGTGTCAACAGAACTGGTCACTCAACAGTTGTGGGCACTCAACAGGGAACAAGGGTTCCTCGACATTTTCAACATGCTCAGCTGGTCGAACAACTTCATTTGGAGTTACAACACTCCTGTGAATTTGGCAACAGTTGGAGATGAGATCCCACAACATCTCATCTACATGCTTCAACAAGCCATTCAGTACGGTGGCACTCAACAACTGGAACTCTTGCCAGAGGCAGCAAGGACCAAAATCAGGATGGTCCTCAACAAGTGGCATCCTCTCCTTGAAGGAGGACAACAATTCCAATACTTTGGTGTGAAGACACCAGAGAGGTTGAGGGGATCTTCAACACTGGCAACATGGCTGATGGAGCAATCAACAGATGAGCACCTCCAACAGCACTTCGATGAAGTGAACAAGTATCGTGCGCCAACCGGCATGGAAGACAACATGGAAGAGAACGACGCAGAGTGATCAACAATGATCACAACAGGGATGGAGCTCAGACAACATCCCGGTGCAGAAGCACCAAAACAACAGAGCCCTGCGCGACATGGCGCTCAGCACATGAGAGCTTGAAGTGCGCATAATTAAGCAAGTGTTTTTTCGTCCAACACCTGCGGCTGCAACAGGTGTATAAAGATAACCAAGCCATCGGCATTTGTACAGAGGATGAACCAACACTCATGCATGAGTAGTCAACAAAATGCTGTTTCAGTTTCAACATGTTTATAGTTTCAACATTAGTTGCAACATTTAGTGAACACAGACCCATGTAGAATATATAGTCAACATCTGCTGGCTAACATAGCCAACATCTGAGGGGTCGTGTCAATGTACATATTCAACATGTCATATCAACACTGGCCTGTGGTTCAAGGCCTTGAGTCAACTCCTGTTGACAACATACAGATTGAGTGCGTGCAACAGCAAAAGGTGCCGACAGTTGCAGCTTGACAACAGTGCTTGAAACATCTCGCACTTTTACACAACCAACCAACCAACCAACCAACCAACCAACCTGTCCCAAGAGTAGTATAACCCTCCTATAGCCCATCAATAGATGAGGGATACTTTGGAACGGCTCACGTCTTACAGCCGTTCCAAAGATTGCTTAACTTATAGGTATTACATGGTTAGCAACCATACTTATAGATGTTTTTTATATTTTTTTTTGGCCATGCATTACCCTCTGGTAAACGTTTACATAACGAACTGGAAAATCACCATGCTATTAATGGGCCAAATCAACTATTTCGACTGGGCCCTGGGCCATTTTCAAGAGCAAACTGTTGACATAACCAGAGGGTAATTGGGATCCTCATATCGGGGACTTTCCATCACCCCATCAGCGCCGGGTGCTCCAACCAGCCCGGGAGGTCGAAGGACCATCGCTCGATGTAGAAGCGATTCCGCCGATGCCTGGTGGAACCAGGGGGCATTGCAGGACCCGGTTGAAACACACTAAGGTGAGACCCCAGTGACAAGTTGGTTTATACACTTTCTGGTGGGTGGTTTTAATGGTTTTAACCCCGAAAAATATGAAAGTCAATTGGGATGATGATCCCGTATATTATGGAAAATTAAAAAATGTTTGAAACCACCAACCAGGATAAGTTGGTTTATACACGTTATATCACTTTATAAGCCCATTAAGTATATAGATCTAAGGTAGAATAGAATAGATATGTCTATACTATAAACCACAGTTAACCTCCTTATACTTACAGATCTTACAGTAGCTACTTTGCCACCTACTTACCAACCGACTTTATTAACTATGGGGCACCACCTTGTATGGAACTTAATTATGCTTCATTAACCACGAAGCAAGGGTTCATAATATTATCCGCCAAAGTTCTCCATAATCCCGTTATAAAACTCTGGTATATCGACCCAGTATAGTATATATATTAGGGTTCTATGGGTTATAAAGTGCCAAAAACACCACTTAGCAACTGATCAAGCACATGCAAGTGGGAACCTAATTAGAGCATGGTGTGTCTGGAGATGGTTGAGAACATCATTTACCGCTTCCAACATCATCGTTTTGGTAGGATATCCCATAATCTTCCAACATCTTCCATCACATTATTGGTTGGATATGCCAGATTCTTCCGATTTTCATGATTCGTTCAATTCTGACAATTTCAGAGAGATTTTGGGCTTATCCCCCGTCTATAAGAGCAGAAATATGCCACAACTCTCAGCGTCATGTGGCCACGCCTGCTGGCGACCACTTTCTGTGCACCAACTTCCTCAACGTCATGCAACGGGTGCGCAGCGCTACGCGGTCGATCACGGTTGCTGTCACGTAGTAATCTCGAAACGAAGAAAATCCAAAGGGGGTTATGGCTTTCAATAACCCCTTAGTGGCAAAAATTCGCCGGGGATTACTATCTGCAACTGGTTTTTCGACTTAAATGTCTGACTGGTTCCTCGGTTTGGCGGTGCCAGCCATGACTTTTGCTCAAGGGGATGAACCGCCGGTGATTTCATGATCCCTTCCATGGAGGATTTTTTCAGGTTTTCTCTTCAGGATACCACGATTTAGACGTTGAAAGACCTTAAAACAGGGGTTGTTGAAAAGGTGCCCTGGAAATTTTAGGCCCCTGGAATAAATCATCACTTCCCGGCTCACACTTGCTATCGGGGTATCATTTCTGGATCTCATAGTGACAGTATCTGACAGTACTCAGTGTTATTTAATATGCCATTATATCCACATGTATCAATAATGTGCTCTGAATAGATTAACAGAACCAGTGATGCGATGTAGCCATTCTAATTGCTATTCATATATCTATATCTATATAAATTATGTATATTATATATATATATATGTATATATATATAATCATATATATATATATGTATATTATATAATTAGATATAAACACTTTGATCTGAGTTGAACCATCCCGAGATTCCGTTAGCACCTGGGAGCCCCAACCATGCGGAGGAAATGCTCGTCATCTGCCAGTTCCAACCACTGCGCTGCATCGCTGGAGTTCGTCCCTGCGGAATGACCAACATTTCTAGGTCATTCCACAGGTTTTTTTCGACCAGTTTTCCAAGACCCTGAAGTACCAAAAAAAGACTCATGTCTGAATTGTAATGGTTATTATATGGTTAATGATGTTTGATAATGGTTAATAATAATCTGAAAATCATCGAGCCTTGATATGGCAGTGTGTCAAAACCAATAGTACCCCTCTGGTGAACATCAAAATAGCTGGGTTAAAATGGATGTGAATAACCCTCTAAAAATGGTATTAATAGGTATTGATTCATAGCCATGTGGCTTTTTTCACAATGCCAGCCATAAATAAACCACCCATGACTTCCTGGGAATGGTTGGTTCCTATGGTTAACCTACATGTAATGTTTATACCACCTATTTATGGTGATGACTGGGAGATGGTTTATGCTCCCTCCAAGTACAGGCCATGACAGGCCACATGGCCATCACAAAGAAGCAGGCCATCACATGACCATGATGATTCACATATAATATATATATATAAACTTGAATGGCAAAAAAAAAGAAGACATTTAAAAGTAAGCAAATGTCTTTATTTTTGAAACCAGGGGACAAGAAAAGGCCACTTTGAATGGCTTCTTGAGGTTGCATCCCGCTTACTAAGTGGTCAATGACACCCTAATATGATCTACTTATTTGTCTGATTTTTTTGGACATATCCCCATTTATATAGCAATGCCTCATAAACTAAAACAATTTAATAAACTGAACAGTTCGGTCATTTGGGCGGTAATTACCCCAATCCTAAGTATCTACATTGACATCGCGGCGACAGCAGGCCGCAGCATAGTTAAACCCCCATAAAAATAGCGTTGCTGACTTCTCCCAGATTTATAACTCCGTAATTCCATTACATTCCAGACATTGCATGATTCATATCAGCAGAAACTATATCATTGATATACCAGTGATATACTAACATAACTATGGTTTCCATCACCATGTTCAGTGGGCAAATCCACTAGTTCTATGGTCATTTTCTCATCAGCTATTTTGACATAACCAGAGGATATTAACCACTATGAGCCATTATTAAACACTATTAACCACTATTAACCACCATTATTATTTATCATCCAATGATATCTCCATGATATTCCCATGACATCCCCAAAACATTCCCACGACTCAACGGCGCGCTTTTTACGGCGCCTGAGAAGGTGGCACTGTGCTGAGCAACGACCTTGAACCTGGGATGCGCGCTCGGAGGCTAGGAGTTCATGGGAGTGATGTGGCAAGGCATAACCATAAAATGTCACTATATCAATAATGAATGTATACATATATTATATATTATAACTTTTACACATGGTGACGATCTATGATACGATTTAAGTATCAGATTATCATAGATTATCACCATGTGTAAACTACCACTCTGTTCTTTTGTCAATCATGGCGTATATATGTATATACATAATATATATATATATATATTTATATTTTATAAGTTTAATATATGTTTTAATTCTTTATTATTTGATATATTTTTAAGGATCTTCATGATCCCCATATCGGTGTAGAAAAAAAAAACACGCTTCTCCTTTGTTTGCCCGGGCTGCTGATTTGGCCCTTCGCCCACATCAAGGACCGCCACACCGTCCCAGGAAAGACTCAGCAAGCAGAGATTCCTCGGAGATGGGAATCAGCTGCAGAAAAAACATCTAAAATGGGCCAAAATAGGGATTACACCATCTAAAAGGGGAGGGATTTATAAACAAATGATAACAAATGTGGGTTTCCGTGAGTATATGGCCTTGATTATAGGGGCGCTATATCCCCACTTATGGAAGTTCTTACAAGGGTTTATACGCATTAGGAACCCCTACTGCCAGCCTAAGTACCCTTGCCTAGCCAACTTGCATAAGCCTACCCGCTTAATATGTGTCAGTTCCTAATAGGAATGAACATCAAAGAAGTAGGCCCCACGCCCAAGCGATATGGAGATGGTGTTGGGTTTTGTGGGAATTTGCATAATTAACATGGTGAACGGATTTATATATATACGTGTATATATATATTTATATATAAAGTATTTATACTTTACTTCTCAAAACATTAAAACTGTTGGCTTTGGACCGAGGGCTTAAAAAGAAAGAGGGATGGGTATAAGTACGTTGCATCTGGATGGGTTTGCCTGAAAATTGGGTACATCATCCCCCTGCACATTTACCCCCCTGACCCAAGGCAACCATTTTGTAAGGGACCCAGGAGTTAACCTTACAAACATCCATGGTTAGGGGTTTACAAAATGGGCTGGGCACCAGGCTTGGTGTGATTCCCCAGCAAACACCGGTGAACCCAAAAAAAAATCAAAAATCGGCTCCTTACAAAATGGTTGCCCCAAGTTAATTTCCATGCCCCAAACCCAATCATCTTATAAGCTTGTGTCTTAAAAAATGGTTTGTTTGGAAACATGTCCTGCTTGTACAAGTCCAACTTTCCCCAGGGAACCCCGCAAATTTTTTTCCCAGTCCCCAAAGTTTGGAAAAAATCCCAGACAGTTTGATATCACCTTTTCTGGTTGGTTGACTTAGTGGTGTCTTGCCGGTTCTTCACACATCAATGGTGGAACCCAAACAAAATTAGAGAAGAAACCCTGGTTCCTGGACATGGCCAAGATTTCAATACCCTTTTTTGCACTGCCTGAAATGAACCCCAAATTGCGTTATGAAATGATTGGCCCCGAGTTCATTTTGTAAAGAAAGTTGGCTCTTACAAAATGATTTGCCCAGCAAAAAAACACGCTTTTTACAAAATGGCATGGTTGACCAGAAAAATGTCCTTACAAAATGCATCCTTTTGTTAGAAAAATGCCCCTGGAATGGAACATGGGTCAAGCCATTTCATAATGGAAATGTACACATGGATGGTACATCTAAATCCACTGGTTAATTGTCATTATCCATCCAAATATATTGTTGGAATGATATTATACCGACTATATCCGACTAGACCTACAATATGTATCCCGATGTATATAATTATATCATTATCCCATCACATCATATCAGATTCATCAATGAATTCCCCCCCCCCCCCGCACTTATAGTTGTGGTGTCGTGCAAATCCATTTCTCCACCCCAACCGGCGAAGAACCACAACCTGGGTTTCCAAACTGCTGTGTGCACTGGATATCTCTGATGATGGAACCTACCAAGCACGGAAAATTGCAAAGCCAATCCAAGTTGTTCCTTGAAATCCTCGTGTGTGTATGTGCATGTGTTTGTCATTGTATGTGTGCATCATTCTGCAGATGCTTTACACATCAATCATGTCGTTTTAAACCTTTCTTCACCTACCACAGGGTAAACTGACATAGATGTGGAAAACGCATTAGTAGTACATCACTTTCTTAGAGAAACCATTGGTTTTCCACATCTTTTTGTATGTTTACCCTAGGGTACCATATCATTAATAATCCATTAATATACCATTTAGAGATGATTTTCCATTACTGACCGTTGTGAACAAGTATTAACATCCCATTTTCTTGATTAAATTCACATCCCATTAAAACCATTGAAATCCCATGAAATGTCGAGACCTCATGGATTTTCCTAGTCAAAATGGTGATTTCCCCCACATTCCCGTTATAAAATCCATGGCACCTCGCGACATAGGAATCTTCACCGCCGCCAGCACCGGTGGGGCATAGCCCTTTTCCAAGCCGACGGTGAGGTCCAGGACCTATAGCCAGGGGCAGAACAACTGGGCCGCTAAAAACCTTGGAAAAAATGTCCAGAAAAATGATATACATATAATATATATATATGTATATATATATGATATATATATATATATATATGTATATATAATATACATCTATATCCAGAAATATCATCAGAAAAGAATAAATACAAATCCAGATGTATATGATATATATCCAGATATATGATAGAAGAAAGCGAATCAAAGCAAATAGAAATAGTACAGTAGATCTACCTGCTACAGCATGGATCTCTAAAATAGCGCTAGTTTTTTCGGAACCCATTATTTTTTCCAACTTTATGGGAAGAAAGCAGCAGCGGGAGAGCAACCAAGTGCAGTTGCAGATGCTTGCAACAAGATCAGGATATTTAAAAAAAACATGATAAACCATGATACATCACATTTTGTTGAGTAGATTGAGTAGATGGGCTTTTTTTTCAACAACACATCAGCAACTAAATGATTCTTCGAGGAACCTTCGCTGAAAATATTTTTTATCCATTCCATAGATTTCTAGGTCATCATGGGTCTAAAGCAGTACAAACAGCTGGATGTTCATCTAAATATATATCCTAAATCAGACTTATAATTGGAATTAATTGGAATGATGTATCATTCTGAAAAAATATTTAGGATATGGAGGTTTCTGATTATTGAATCTTTCTTATTACCTCATGGAAATTGTGTGGCATTCTTTAGGATAATATGGCAGTGTGTCAAAACCAATAGTACCCCTTCTGTTCACATCAAAATAGCTGGGATTTATGGATGTTCATCCCACTAAAAAAGGTATTAATAGGTATTGATCCATACCCAACTATGAAATTCGAGGAACATTGAAAACTTATTTAGGATATGGAGGTTTCTGATCATGGAAATTGTGTAGCATTCTTTAGGATATATGGAGGTTTCCTGAGTCATGGGGTACCATCAGTTCTCATCCACTTGAGCAGGATGTAAACCAGATCACCGAGGCCCAGGCATAGAGATGCTCGCCCGGCATGGACGTGTCCGTCCTGCTCCGAAAAAAAACCAGAGAAATGGTGCTGTAACCATCTATAAGTGCTATGAAATGGTGGATTTTCGAGCAAAGCATGTTTCAAAAAACCAGGAGGGCAATGCTTGAAACAAGTGGGAGAGGCTTCTTTTTTGCCCCCAAGGCTTTTTCAACTTCAACTCAACTGAGCACTGTTACAGTTGGAAGCCGTTTGTAACAACCTCATGGTCACAGGCTCTGCCACTATTTCCCTTGATTTGCTTATTAATGCGTCCCCAAAAAAAATTAAAACACCATTTGATTCCGTAAACAGTCATGGAAAATGCCAAGAATCATCAAAAAGGTACCTTAAACAAACCCAATCTTTGTCATAAACTTCCCTGGCAACCCACTATTTCCGCCACCTTTTCTATCGGCCTGCGAGTAGTGCCACAATACAAAGTGGAACATTGCCACGAGACCAGCAGCTTGGTGCCATCCTGCGCAGCACAAGACCTTCCCAGAACAAAATTTCCGATATCTGACCTTCAGTGATGATGATGATGATGATGATGATGATGATGATGATGAGATTGATAAGATTGATAAGATTGATAAGATTGATAAGATTGATAAGATTGATAAGATTAATGTCGGAGTTGCCTTACACAAAAAAAACACCAGGAAGTGCCTGAACCCAAGAGTTTTCCAGCAAATTGCCTTCGCCAGGAGACATGCTACCGGCACCTTTTTGCAGAACCCTCAACAAAACATGGAGGAAACAAGTTCCAATCCTCCACATAATATGGAGTAAGAGGAGGAGACAGATTGACAAAATCAAAACCATTGGCCAAAACCAGCCACTAAGTCACTAAGTCGTCAGAGTTCAAACCAGATGAATTGGCGCCTTGCAAATGAGGTGTCACGTGATGACATGCCACGGCCCATGTTTCCAAACTTCGCAAGACCCGTCAGTTGCGACGTACGCAAGTCATACTGTCCAAGCTTGCAAATGATTGTGGAGTCCCGAAACATCATCCCCATCTGACTCCTGTAGCAAGCAACCAGCCATAGACAAGACTAGGTATTTTCACACCATGGTTGGGGAGGTTGCTGTATGATGTGACTTTCCCTGCAGGCTAGGGGAGTTGTTCCACCAATTTCATGGAGAATGTCAAATTGTTCAAATTGAACGTATCCCAGGTGGTACCCCCAAGTTTTACAGTAAGTTGGTTTATACACTCCATTATAGATATATCACTAAACATCACGAAAAACCATAGTTAAGTCACTCAAACAAAACAACTCATTGTAGAGATAGCTAAGAAATATACCTACCACATTCTACATCACGACAAACCATAGTTATATAACCTAAGGTTTTTCTAAACTATGTAAGTTATATAACCTAAGGTTTTTCTAAGTTAATAACCCGGAAGCCAGTGCATCTCCATATAAGCCACTAACCATAGTCTTATATAGCCAATAAACTTAAACCAAGTTAGCGCGTTGGTGGCATCACCTTGCAGGGGGCGCGTTCCGTCGTCCTGTGTCACCAGCACCTGTCCTAGACCATCAGTTTCCTCGGCGGGGATGGGTCTTTTTTTTGAGCCCAGAAAGGGACCACAGTAATTGATTGTAGTATATGTTTAAAGTATGAACCAGCGAAAATGAACATGGAGAACCAAAGTTTTACCGAAAAAAAAACACATGAGGACTTTTTTTGGGTATTTTTTTTTGTATACTTCCCAGGTGTGGCCATCTAGATTCTAGATCATGATGGTTCTCCAATGGAAAGAACATGGAACGGGGTTCATCCCCAACAAGACGGGCAATTGAAGCAAAACTGGGGGTTCCACCCAAAAATCGAAGTCATAAAACCCGTATCGTTCGATCACGAGAATATATTCAAGACCATTCCAATTATCTCCCCATTCCAAACCCATGAGGTTCCGTGTAAGATTGCAAGGAGCTGGCACTGTTGAAGAAAAAATGAAAAATCTGCATCCGGTCATGGGGATTGACTAGGTGGCTGGCAACTTGGGGACTATTGTCCCGGTCATCGCATCATCTTCTCAACTCCCGCTGTATAGCAGAATGGTTTCCTGCCATGTTTCACTCATTTCTCGTTGGCTAAAATTGAAAAGCATACCATCTCCCTCCATGAAAACTGGAACATCACCCAGCCATACAAACCATTCACCTTGCGGACCTTGCGATTTCATGTTGACCTATGTTGACCTCAGATTTCCTGGACCCCAACGGGTTGTTTTATTTGGGCAGTCCACTTAAAGAGCAATGTGTGCTTTTTGGAATCTGCCACCCAATCAATTAATCAACCATTGTGGAGCCTCCCTAGTGCAGCAGTTTTCGGAAGGTCTAGGCGTATACCCTCTGGTAAACTAACATAGCTATTGAAAATTGCCATTTATAGTGGATTTACCCATTAAAAATAGTGATTTTCCATAGCTATGTTAGTTTACCAGAGGGTATTTCAACCCAAAACTAAGATTCAAATCTGTTCTATTCACTTTGCAGTTGTTGAAATCACGGTTCGGAAAGTCGAAGGTTCGGTTTGTCTAACCATAGAGTTCCGCAAATCTCATGGTTGATCATACCCTCTGGCAAACTAACATAGTGAACTGGAAAATGGCCATTTATAGTGGATGTACCCATTAAAAATGGTGATTTTCAATAGTGATGTTAGTTTACCAGAGTGTAATTTTCTCAATTATTGAACTGGCCATAGGATGGATATGTGTTCCTCCCAAGCTTGACATTGCATTGCAAATCATCTAAGATACCTGTCCCGCCCATGAAAAACAAGCTGCTTACCCAATTTCTGGCCTTGGGGGGTTCAGTTCGAGAGACATGATCACTTTTTTGGGGGCTATATATCCCACGCAAGAATGAATCAACCAGGGGTATACAAATTTGACGCTGATTCATTTCTGGAATGCCCCCCCCCTAGAAAGTGATCCAATCAGAATCACTCACGCCTGTTGAATTTTCTGCATAGCAACTGGTTAGTCACCCTGCTTCATCGGTCTCCTAAGTGGCATTATACAGGATTACCGCATCAAAAGCCTGGGTACACTAAACATCGCGAACACTTCCCATGGGGTTCTCCTCCAAGTATCATAGTAGGGTACAAAAAAATCCCATTGTTCGTCATTTTCGATTTAGCAGCTGGCATCCATTAGGAAATCCAAGCATCTTTTTCCCTATTGGTATCATCATTATCGTCGAACACATAAGTCAAAATTGGGCACCCCAATACTTAGACAGGTTGGTGGTTTTAACCATCTTGAAAAATATGAAAGTCAGTTGGGATGATGACATTCCCAATATGATGGGAAAAATAAAAGTCATGTTCCAAACCACCAACCAGTAGATGGTTGACTAAACTCAATGGATTGGTTTAAGGGAAACTTTTAACCGGAAAACCCAATATTTCATGGGAAAATCTATATTTTCCGGTTAAGATTTTCCCTTAAACCAATCCATTGATAAACATACCCTCTGGTAATTTAACATAGCTATTGAAAATGGCCATTTATAGTGAGTTTTCCCATTAAAAATGGTGATTTTCCATAGCTATGTTAAATTACCAGAGGGTAGACATTCCAGTTCCTGTGGTCCATTTATGGGGTCTTCAACTTTGACCCAGCGTCGTGTTCCCAGTTGGCATGGACCTCTGACAGCCTATGCCAGTCCTGCAGGCGGTGGATGATGAAACATGTGGATAAACAATATGCTTATAGTTATAGCCATCATGTTACATGGGGATAAACTTAATATGTAAACATATATACATAAACTACTGTGGATGGTGGTTGTTGCGAAATCCTGCATCACCAAGTTCGGATGCTTGAGAGCCAAACAAAATCATGGGATTCGGATTTCGCAACGGCCCGGCCCATCCTATGATTCATAGCTCCAATCGTTGGGCCCTAAAAATATGAATGGATCCGTTGATCCAAATCCCATCAAGGCTACCATGACCATCACCATGAATCACCATCTGGTTGGTGGTATACCTACCATTGGTTGGTAATATAATATTCATATCTGGTCCATATATGGTTAATATTAATGGTTATTATATATGGTTAATGATGTTTTCTAATGGTTAATAATAATCTGGTTGGTGGTTGAGCCCTACCCCTCTGAAAAATATGACTTCGTCAGTTGGGATGATGACATTCCCAATATGATGGGAAAAATAAAAGTCATGTTCCAAACCACCAACCAGCCAACCAGTAATCACCCATTGTATATTCATCGAATCTATATCTATCCGATCTATCCCCATTCCTACCAGTTCTCACTGAACAATACAATGTGAGGCCCCCAAGATATCTAAGTTGGCGTATAACTCCAATAACTATGGTTTATGGTACTTATAACTATAGTTACTGGGGCTTATAAACCAACTTATAACTGGTGGGCCTCACATTGTAAACGCTCATCAAGATCGTCGCTCACCTGAACCCCCCGGGCACCAAACTTCGCTGAGGAACGTCTAGATGCGTGGTGTCAAAGAAAACCAAGTGATTCCTGAAACTCTTTGCGCAAACGGCCCTGGTCAACCGTAACATGGCTGGGGTTATGGATGAAATATGGATCTTCGTACCCCACATATGGTATGATAGGTATGTATATTATATATATATATATTCATCTACAGTATATTCAATGGAGTGGTTTGAGGGAAAATCAATCGGAAACCATGGTGTTTTGCCACCAAACAATTGGTGATCCTGAACATTGTCCCATGAAAAATTCTTGCCGGAGACCATTCCCCTTTCATGCACCAATCTCCGTGTGAGAATCCTTGGGTTCAGGAACTTGTAGGCACAAAGGGTCACCGTCCCAGATGTCCCAGTTACTGCCCGACGCTGAAACGTCACACTGGAACTCGTCCCCGCTAGAGGGAACCAACTGCACCAGTAGCAGTGGGAAATCTTTTAATTTGGAATCTTGATGATCATCTCTTGAGTTGGACATGTTTTTCAGACTTTTGGAACACATTGATGATTCGCAAATATGAGCAACCTGCAACATCCTGCAACATCCTGCAACATCCTGCAACATCCTGCAACATCCTGCGCGATGCGCCACGGCGTAGCCACCGGGCCTGTTGCCCTCCACATCAATGTAGACACTGAAGAATTTCCGACCTCGGCGATCCCAGATTTCTGGAGACAGAGACAACCGATCTTGAAGGAAACTGCCATGGCTGGTGGCTATGTTTTTCACAATGACAACTAGGTTAACTAGGTGCTAGGTGCTCTCAAGAAAATTTTCAACAGTCAATTCCTGCTATCTTCATGGTATTTTCTATACTTTCCTAGCAGTTTCATGTTCTATCCTGGGACCTCCGTTTTTTTCCCAATAGATTCCAAGTCTCCATTGTCTCGGAAGGACAGGACTGGACGACTGGCTCAGTATCATTCTGGACATGACCCATGGGTGTCTGAAAAAACGGGCCCATGTTCATCATTTTCAATGGCTCGAAAACGAGGGAAAATTATATATGGCTCGAAAATACTAGGGAAAATGATGGTTGGTAATCCATTGGAAACGGTATAAGGAGGTAGCTTATTTTCAGACACTAGCTAGATCCCAAAGCAGTTTCAAGATCTGAAAACCATGATTTAAAGCGTCTTCCTCTGCATTGAGGTCACCCCAAAACCGAACACAAAAAAAACACGTGAATGTCCGATTTTAAGAAAACACCGGTGTTTAACAGATTTATGGTAGCAAAATGGCAACAAAAAAAGGGCATAACCAAAGCATCACCATGAAAATCATCGTCCATTGCCTTTAATCACCTATTGAATATCATATTGTCTATCATTCTTAATTCCCATGATCCATTATCAACCACTATCTACTATATTCATTAAACCTCCCACAATATATATATATAGGATTGGTAATGGTTGACAAAAGACAATGGGTACAATGATAATGGATGATTATCACTGATTATCCATTGTCTATTATATATCATCAATCTATCCATCTATATTTTCCCATCCATATATCCATTTCCAGATGGCCACCTGCCGCGCCCTGGGTGCAGCAAACTCAACGCTTCACACACTGATGTCAACTCAAGGGGCAAAGCTGGACAGCCTAAGTGGCAAGGCACTGTAGGTCACTGTAGGTGTAAGATGTCCCAGTTGAACCAACAAATCGTTTTTTATTATGGTGATTAAACCATTTGAACCATAATAGATGGGTGATTTGTTGATTCAGTTGATGTCCCAGTTGAACCATAATAATGACCCAGTTGATTAAAAAGGATTTAACATGGGTCATTAAATGTCCCCATTGAACATCACCCAACCATTAGGTATATGGTCAATGCCATGGCTACTGTAAGGTGATGTCCAATATTCCCAAAATGGGACAGTTACCAACCCCTGTTTAACCAACAATAATGGGGATATTGATGGGAATTACCCGCTGGTAATCAAACTTAAATATGGTCTCCACAGCTGATGTTAGTTTACTGGAGGGTATGATGTATTATGAAACATTATGAACATATTCTGTAATATTCTTCAATATTATGGCAATATGGTTTAACTAGTTACTAGTTAGGCAATTACATAGTGATATTCATGATATTGTCATTATGATAATTCGTGGGAATATGGTTTCCATATTCTGGCTGGACCCATCCCCGACCATTTTTTTAATGGTTTGTATACGAATCCTCGCCAAGCGTGGGTGAATTTTGGCTTTTCCACCTCTGAATTTTAGGATCCACCTAGAAATCCCATAGAATTCCAATAGTGAATCAAGGTTCTTGTATGCGGCTGGTAATCTTGCTTCAGCCTGTTGAATTCAAGCAATTGTCATATTCGGGATCAAACAAAAAAAGCCCATGGTGTTTACCAAAGGGACCACAGGACTAGTGAAGTTGGCAAAAAATCAGATGCATTAGGGAAAACAACCTCCACCGATCATTTATGTCGATGATTCGGCCATTAGAACCTCCATCCTTCAGGGATTTCCCATTGCCACGTTTGATCCTTTGATTACCCGTTTGGTCATTTCATGCCTGAATCGCATTTCCCAGGATCAAAAGAATTCTCACCTTCATCTTTCATTCCATCCCAAAGCTTTTCCAAAGAAAACATAATATTCCCCTAATATTCACCGCCCTACTTTTTCTTATCTGGCTGACTTATTACTAGTTGGTGCTTTCTCAAACATGCCAGTGGCTAGCTGGAACAGGGGAAAATAATCGAAGTAAATGGGGGCACTTTCCAGCAAGCCACGTTTCATTACCGGAGGGTAGACAAGTGCTATTATCAATTAGCATCATTGGTATTTTTACTCGTTATCAATGACTATTGTTACCAATAGTAGCATTAGTATTTTTAGATAGTACCAATTACTGGCATTTTTACTTCTTATGAGTACCGATATTATTACTATATCTTCCATACCATCAGTATTAGTATGATAATTCACTCTTACTCATTGTGAATGACTATTCTTAGTAAATTGTATTAGATATAAATAATCATGACATTATGACACAATGTTACCACCACCATATAAATCCTAATCGAATCCTAATCTCGCTACCCTCTGGTAAACGTTTACATAACTATGGAAAATCACCATGCTATCAATGGGTAAATCCACTATAAATCACCATTTTCAATAGCAAACTGTCAGTCATAACCAGAGGGTAAATCACCATTAATTATCATTAATCACCATTAATTATCATTAAACACTATTAACCACTATTAACAGAGGGTAAATAAACATCCATTACCCAGTGGCTAAACCCTAAACAGGACCTCTCCCCAGGGCCTGCTTTGAAATCAATGAGATGTTGATCTCGGGAGCTGGTCGAGCGTCCACATTGCACGTCCTCCGGAGCCTGGAGAACGACGGGACGAAACGCGGCGTTCTTTTTATGGTAAAACCAGGGGAAAACCAACGGAAAACCATGGGAAAACCATAGGAAAACCTTGGAAACCTTGGAAAACCATTGGAAAACTACAGGAAAACTACATATCATAGGAAAACCATGCAAAAAAACACATGAAAGCCACAGGAAACTATCGGCAACCTACAATCGAAACTGCCCAAGTTGCAGAAATGGTGCTGAGAGATTCCCTCAGGATTGAACTAGGGGGTTGGGGGTCCTTGACACACCAATGTTGTGACAATTCCTGCGTCACTTGACACTTGGCTGAAAAACGACGGAGTCCAACCTCGTTAGGGATTCCCAAGGTCTACATGTTAGTTACGGCTGGTTCTGTATGTTCTGGCCAGTTATGGCATCACATGCCATGGCACTCCCAAAAATCCACCAACCCCACCTCTCCCAGCTTCACCAACTGGTAATCCGACCTGCGGATGGAAACTCAGCATTCGGCCACCAATTTCGAGGTTTCCGAAGTCGGGGTACCCCCAAACCATCCAAAATTCCATCTGGTTGGTGGTTTCAGCCCCTCTGAAAAATATTAATCAATGGGAAGGATTATCCCATATATTATGGAAAATAAAAAAATGTTCCAAACCACCAACCAGCCATCATGGTGACTTGGGGATCCCCCATAGCAGATTTCGCCACGCAAGCCACACAAATGTGTCCCACATGCTGGCTGGCAAGCTCATCCCCACAAGCTGGGTCGATAAATCAGCATGGTTGAGCCCCGGGGGATCAACATGGGCCAAGTTGATTTAAATTGCGCTTCCATTGGTGTGTGTTTTATATCTGCTCAGTTTGAGTGTTGGCAAACCGTTCAACTTTGGTTTCTGATTGGTGGCTTCATGTCAAAAAGTGTCGGCTGAGGTTCCTCTTTCCAAGTAAGAATGGAACAATCAATTAGTAAATAAACGTATCCTAAAAATTCACACAAACAAGTATCAGGATGAGCAATGTACATGCATTTACGCAGTATACTCAAAATCACTTTGAATTGGCAACCACAAGTAAGTACAGACATATACCCTCTGGTAATTTGATATACGAGTCCAGTAGCTATTGAAAAAGGCCCATTTATAGTGAAATTTCCCATTAAACATGGAGATTTCCCATAGTTTTGTAAACGTTTACCCGAGGGTATACCCTCTGGTAACCCAACAGGCGGCTGGAGCATCCCCCAGCCCTAGTTCCCTCGGATCTTCCAAGCTAATAAGCTAGAAATCTCGAAATACTTCGACGTTAGCGGCCTACCATGTGACTGATGACATGTTTGATGAGGAAGTCCGAATCACGGAAAAATCACCATCAATCTTCTTCACCATGAAAATCTACGCGAATATCCATGAAAATAACCATGAATCTCCAATGATCTCCATGAAAATAATCATTAAATTATTAACCATTAGGCAACATGATTAACCATTATTAACCATTAACCGTTTTTTAACAATTCCTAATCATTGTTCACCATCTTTATCCATCTTTATCAGTTCTTATCCATGATTAACCATAATTTATTTTCATAGACCATTATCAACCATCAACAGAAGTATTATATGACTCCATTCATAACATTCACCATTATTATACATACTGTTTTCATGGTTGCGACATCTTGCACCACCAAAAGGATGGTTGCAACCCCTATAAATAAATGGGATAAACCACCTATCAACTGAGCCATTAAAAATTACCCCTATCCCATCTCATGATACTAGTTAGTTGAAAATGGTTTCCCTACTATGGGTTATCATAATCCCCAGTACACCAAGTAGTATAATCCCCTATAGCAATCAATTCATCAGGGAATTTTGAATGGCTCAACTGCAGGGTGTCAGATCCGAAAGCCCACCTGGAGGTGTCGAATGCAATGAGCTTCTGCGAAGCCGTGCACACGAAGAGCACCTGGGCGTGTTTTTTGGGGCGGTTTCTTTGGAGCCAAGAAAGGCTGGTCTTCTTGGTGAATGCTGGTTATGAATGGTGGATACTGGTTATATCTGGTTATTAAATTTAAAAACTTTATACTGTATAACTGTTCTTAAATGACAATAATGGTTCTTGATTAATACTGGTTCTCAATGATAATAGTGGTTAATCACACCATTGAGAATTAAAGATTGGCAATTGTGATTGATGGTGATTAATGGTGTTAATAATGATAATGAATGTTGACGTATTCTGTGTATTATTTAGCAGGTTATGACTTCTTATGTGTACGTATGCTTATGGTATGATTTATTTTGTATAATTTTATATGTTGGATTCAGAGAAGACTGATAAAATCATTTTTTGGGTATACTGTATATAGTTTTGAGATGTTTTGAGCCAGTCCTATATTGATGCTGTGACATTTCCTATCAAACAATTGCATGGCCATTCCCAATTTGATAGGTTATATGGAGGTTTCCTGAAATAGGGCCATAGGGCTACCCCCAGTTCTCATCCATTTTAATTAATACAAACACCATCCAGCGAGCTTGGGGTACCCCCATTTATGGACACCCCCATAGATGGTTGTATTGATCCATTGAAGGACGACACACATTCATGGTAACCTGGTATGGTCGAAACATGAATAGGTGCCTCCTGAGTAAATCTGATGCAAGGGAGATGAACATCTCAACAAAAACTTCCCATTTTAAGTGAGATGTTAGTAGTGGTTACTAGTAATGAGAACCATTCTAACCACTAGTAACCACTACTAACCACATTAGTAATTACATTAGTGGTTACCATTAGTTAAATTACATTACTAGACCATGTTAGTAGTGGTTACTAGATCATTAAATGTGGTTAAATATGGTTAATGATCATTCCTAACGTCCTAATGATGATTTCTGGTTGAGCCAATCAGCCAATCCCACAACTCGACCGGAAGATCTCGGTCGAAAATTTTCGGAGCTCAAGGCATGTCGACTGGCAAACGAATCTTCCATTCAATCATTGCTTCCTTTTATTAGGACCCCGTTTAACGGGGATTGCTGAAAAATTATGACAAAGTGCTAATATTAATAAATGCTAATTATAAATACAGTACCCTTTGGTAAACTGTCCCATAACTATGGAAAATCATCATGCTATTCATGGGAAAACTCACTATTTCTATGGCCATGGCTTCAATAGCGTTTTGTATGTTTACCAGAGTGTATATCTTATTAATATCCCATTGAATCACTATAAAATCCCATGAAAATATCCATTCATATCCACTATTTCGAGTGGGCCATGTTCAATAGCTATGTTAGTAACCATTAGTAACCATTATTAACCATTATTAACCATTATTAACCATTATTAACCATGGGAAAACTCACTATTTCTATGGCCATGTTCAATAATAGCTTTTTGTTAGTCATAACCAGGGGGTAACGGGGGTAACTCATACGATGGCCATTATCATCATGATCCACATCTGTGGTCCGTCGAACAACTGAGCAGCCCCACATCCCGCACTTGCGAATGTTCGATCCAGCGTTCAGCGCCAAAGCCACCCCTGGCCATCCAATGTTTATACAATGTTTAATAATGGTTAATGATGGTTAATGATGGGTTTGAAACCACCAACCAGTGATTATTAACCATTGTTAACCATCATTAATCATTAACCATCATTAACGTAAGCCATGAAAAATCATCAACATGTGGCTGATTTACTATTGCTAAAAACTGACACTTACTAACATTCATGGGGATATTGTGGGCATCTAATGATTCTAATGTGGCCTACCACCAACGACATCATACAGAGCATTGTCCAAAAACGATGCATTTATTCCGTTTATGTTGGAGGCTAGTTCAGCCACTTTAATGGGCAACATTGTGATGTGAAGCATGATACAGCATGAGATTTCAGTCTATAGTGTCAGACAAACCCGAACATCAAAAAGTGAACCACTTTATTTTTGAAGTCCTATGAACCTGTTGTCAAAAACACACAAAGCCGTTTGGGATATCTGTGTACCATTTCGACTGTGTGCTCTTCTCAGGTATTCCCAATGCTGGACTACTCTTGTGTTGGGGCGGTGATTTGCAGTCCCCTTCAAATCGGGCTAGGTCATTGGATAATTTCATTACAAATCATTACAAATTACAATAATTTACCAATCTGAGATTCTAAGGCTTTCTTTCTGGATAGTTAACCCCGGCCCCAAGCATCATTCAGCCGTGACGTCGCAGTTCAGCCACCATTCGCGTTCGCTATCGACTTGCCGAGCGACCCTCCAAAGTGCCATTGCCGTGTCCTAAGGGGCACCGCTGCGGCAAAAATGGTCATTCGATATCGACCAGAAAAAAGGCTGTACCCTCTGGTAATTTAACATAGCTATTGAAAATGGCCATTTATAGTGGATTTACCCATTGAAAATGGTGATTTTCCATAGCTATGTTAGTTTACCAGAGGGTAACTACTGGTACAATGTCCAGTCACTTTACCCAGTTATCCCAAAGTTATCCCATAGATATCCATGATTTTATTGGTACCTCCCTATGGAATTGCTGGAAAAAACCGCTTGACTCGCCACCAGATCCTCAGCCGTGCCCGTCCAGTCCGTTTCCCGAAGATAGCACCAGCTTTTCATAGTTCAACAGCCATCTTTTGATGCAAAAATCCCTGTTCTTCTTAAAATCACCTATATATCAGCTATTTTAATTCTTCATAAGTGCTAAATCACCATGGTTTAAATGATGAAAAATCTTGAAAAATCATATTAAATCCCCGTTTTTAATGATTAGATCCCCATTCTTAATGGATAAATCCCCATGATGGTGAAATTGTCGGCCGTGGCGTGCACCAAGGCACATGGCATCATAGATGCGCACGCCGCCTACCGACACCGCGTGAGTGTTGGCCTCAAAATGTCGGTGATGGGGGGTATAGCCCAAGCAGTTTGTAGAATGTTGGTCATATGTGTATATATATATATATATATGTAGTACTTAGTTATACATAATTAATTTTTGGTATTGTAATGTTGGTAATGTAATTATGTATATAATATATATATATATATTAGACATAATCAATTCTTACCATTATCATCATTATTATCACTTTAGCCAGGTACTAGGTTACTAGGACTTGGGATAATCTAAGTATCCACTCAAAAAAATCCAGTCCAAGACATGGCTTGAACGTCCCGGAACCTTCCGAATGTCTGGTGATTTCACAGAGCACATGACTGCGTTAATCCGCCATATCCTCTGCAAAAATGGTGATGAAAATTGGGATTCCCACTTCATGGAGTATGATCATCTCCACTACAATATCTACAATATCTATACATACATATAATATATATATATACATATCATTTCGATTAATATTATATCATACAGTATTGGTGATTTAATTGTCAACTTCTATCTTCCAAAAATATTCCCAAACAGCAATCATTGCATCACCATTTACCCTTTGGTAATTTGTTACATAGCCATGGTTTTTCGATGGTCCGTTTAATCCATTTATAGATGGTTTACCCATTAATAGCATGGTGATTTTCCATGGCGAACTGTTAGTCATAACCAGATGGCTGTTGATCCATATAGAAAAAACTATGATACTAGAATATACTGGTGAAGACCAACAGTTCGCCATGAAAACTAATCATTGAACTGTGATTCAGTCTATGTGAACAGTTTTTTCAATGATTTTGCATTGCCAACATCCCATTGAATCAGCAACTTGGCCATCCCTGCAGGACGCACACCCACATTGGGTCCGGCTTCCAAAAGCACGTCCTCCGGGGAGGGGAGTAGCGTCCCCCTGCTATGAATGGATAGATCTGACCGATCTGACGTAGGGAAAGACATTGAAAAACCAGTGGTTAAAATATGTTTAAGGTTCCTGTATAAAATTTATTAAAATTTCCCTGAAAACCAGTTCCAAGATTCAAAAACGATATATCCTAATTATATAAAGACGAGCATCTAGGACCAGAATGTATGTTCATGGATGTTTTTACAGTCAGAGGAAGAGCCTATCTCACAGTTTTTCGAGATCCAATGGAGCCGACGTATTTTCAACGTGCTTTTACTTCTGGGGAGACAACTCAGCTGTTGCAATCGAAATTACTGTGATATCATATTCAATCTGGGCTATCAGTTGTGTTCCATCACTCAGCACATGCACGAAACATGTGTACGTTGATGCTTAGATTCCAAAATAAATTCAAACATCCATCATAAAAAGGATGTTTCCTAAAATGGTGGTACCCCAAGACCATTGGTTTCAAATACTAAAATATCCTAAAATGCTCTAATTTAAGGGATGATTTGGGGTACCCATGTCACACCATGGGTACCACTACTTTAGGAAACCACCACAAAACACACATCCAACGTTGCACCGTTGCACAGCCCGGCCGCTGGTCCTCGCCATTGAGAAGGGCATTCCAAAGATGTGCATCATAGGCAGAGTACAGCACCGGCACCTCAATTGTACAGCAGACCCATCTTGATGGCTGGCTGGTTTCTCAATACTGGCTTTTACCCTCTGGTAAACGTTTACATAGCTATTGAAAATCACTATCTTTAATAGGTAAATCAGCTATAGATGGGCCATTTTCCATAGCTATGTTAAATTACCAGAGGGTAATGTTTTAGTTTTCCATATTTTTTCAGTAGCGTTGTATCATTTCTACTACATCTATCTATATATATATATATACTAACAAACCAATTAGTGGATTTTCAATGACCTAATATATAATTTTAAAAGCAATTTTTACTTTTTACTATACATATTCATATAGCCATTTAAAAAAAAAAAAAAACAACTAAAGCCATTGATATCCCTTGATTGACGCACGGGCGCACAGCTGGGAGAATCCCATCAGATCAGCGCCATCCCAGTTTTGGGGAAATCTACCATGTAACTTGACTACAGAGTATTAATATTGTATGTAGAGTACTCATGGATATATGAAACCGGTTATATGATATATATATAAGATATATACATATATATGATATATATATATAGTATCAGTGGATCTTATCCCATATGTATGGATTTTATATGCTTCATACATCCCATCATATCCCATATCACCCTCAGCTCCCCACCAAGTCGTTGAGGCTTTCACCAGCCGACAGGTGGACCTGGCCACAGCGAAAATCCACAGGGTTCCCGCTGGTAACATAGTGTAACTGGAAAATTACCTATTTAATCCTATTTAGTCTGATGATTTTACCTATGAAACACGGTGAAGTTCTATAGTTATGTGACAATGTGTATTTAATCTTATTTAGTTTAATGATTTTACAATATGTTACATACCTAGGAAACATGGTGATGTTCTATAGCTAAGTGAGTTTAAATGATGGTAAATGGAGGGTTATAGCTGGGAAACTCAACCATATATGGTGGATGTTTCTATCACCGTGTTGTATTTATTATTTACAGTAGTATTTTAGGTATCTGCTGCTGCAGCAACTGCAATCACCATAAGGGATTTCAGCACAAACTGGGAAAAACAAGTGCCACCAATCACTTCATGTGGGACATGTGACATTGGTAAAAACCTAATTACCCTGCTGTTCATATCCAAAAAAAGGTTCAAAGAATAGCCCATCCAGGGATGCTTTTCTTGTAGTTTAAATATCCCAGTCGGCAAACGGTCAATCCCTGAATCAGACCAAATCAAATGAACCCCTCTTCTGGACCATGTTGGGGTAGTTTCTCGCATCTCAACCACCTCAAATTTCAAACGAAAAAGCTCTGGTCCAAAATTTGATTTCATCAAGCAGGTATGGGAACCTATCATACCACAGTTCGGGGGGACGAACATCCATAAATCCCAGCCCCAGCGAGGATGTAAACTACAGGGTAGTGATCGGGCTTTTACCCACAGCCAAATCACCAGAGGTTGTTTTCACCGTTTTTCACATACAGTCAATTTCCCATGAGTGCCTGTGCCCCTATCAAACAAAAATTACGATCCAAACTTGGAGTATTCATCAAATCAATTCAACGCAATTAAAAGATATTTTCTGAATATGCGATTGTTTCTGAGTATTCATCAATTGCTATAATCTCCGAGCTCAAGTTCCCATGTTCCCCAACTTCTATAGTTCTGATAGTTTTCACATAGATATGTCCTTCCCTTGTTGCGCCCCCTTTTTTGGGCGTTTCGTTTCGATGTTCATCGCACCCGCCTCTCCCTGCTTGTCAGGGATGGGCAACCTGGGATCTGCTGCATGGTCTGGAGCCTGGCGTTTTTTTTGGGAATCATGCGGAGGTGAGGCGATTACTAATAGTAATGGTAAACGTTATAATTATACAGTAATAGTAATCAATAGTTGTAAGTAATAGTAATAGACTATAATATTATATATTATATTATATTATATTATTACTATAGTTATAAGTAATAGTAATTAATGGCCATTTATAGTACTAATTCCATTGAATGGCCATTTTCTATAGTTATAATGACCATGCTATCAATGGCTACCCTCTGGTAAACGTTTACATAACTATAGAAAATGGCCATAGAAATAGCGAATTTTCCCATGAAACATTGCCAACTAAATTTATAGTTGCTATGGTTGATGTAGTTGATAAATTTAACATTAACTGCCATAGTTTTTTTTTAATGGGAAAATCATCTATAAATGGGAAGGGCAATCATCTATAAATGGATGTGTTTAATTAGAAATCATCTATAGATGGTAAATAACTATTAACTAGTTACCATTACTAATTGGTGGTTTCAATCCCCCTGAAAAAATGACAGTCAGATTGGATCATCATCCCAACTATTGGGGAAAATAAAAGCCATGTTCCAAACCAGCAACCAGATGGTTATTTCAGGAACCTAAATTGGAGGTACCTACCATATCATATATATAAGGCCTATTTTTTAGGCCTACGTAAGGGAATATCCCCACAAAATATGGCCGTATATGGTACAGTACCTCCATTTTAGGATCCTGAAATTCCCATTGAATATACTAGAAATGAAAAGAACATGAATAGTGGTATCATAATAACAAAAATAAGTTATAAATACTTTTATACATGATCGAAATATACCATGTGTAAAGATTGGTATTGATTTTAAGGTGGTTAGTTGTAGGAATAGAATACTGTAGGCATGTAACCAGTATTATGGTGGTTATCAAAGTAATGATCGTTTGGGGCTTTTACTGGCATGATTTATTTGGTGAGTATTGGGGGATAGCCGGGAAGACTATCAAATATGGGATATCAATGAGATCCTCCAATCATTGGTTTGACTTAAAGGGAGATCAAGACTGGAAACCATGGTTCTAAATCAAAAAAAACACATTGAATTCAGATGAATTTTCAGTGTGTACATTAAATATATATATAGATACATGAGGTGTTCCTAAAATAGGTCTACCTCCAGTCATCATCCATTTTAGTAGGATTTTCCCTTATAAACCTTATAAACCATCCATTTTGAGTACCTCCATTGATGGAAAGCCCCATGGCCCCATAGTGAAATTGCCAGCCACGAAGCCTGGTCGAATGTTTTGGGGTTCCATGGGATGATCGAAGGATGTGCGTTTTACGAAGGGAAGGGGTTGCTGGGATGATTACCCACCAGTAAATAAACATAGCTATTGAAAATGGCCATTTATAGTGGATTTTCCCATTAAAAATGGTGATTTTCCATAGCTATGTTAGTTTACCAGAGGGTATTGCTAGCGATTCTGCATCATTCCATCATTCCCTGCGTAAAACGCGCCAGTAAGAATTTCTGAAACATACTGAAACAAACTGGTGCGTTTTACCTAGGGAATGAGGGAACAATCCACAAATATCCACAATAACTATGAATCATAATCCAAGCAACCCCCATTCCCATCCATTCTCTACGTTTAGCACCAGTAAGCTGAAAATTCATCAAGTAATATGTTTGCAAAGTCATGGAAATGGAACATCTTCATATTTTTGCAACTCTGGATGTCATGGAAAATTAATCATCAAACTGGTTGCTTGAGCTGTTCACAGTTGTTCACCTTTCAACGAATAATACTCATATGCTTCTTGGGGATCATCAATCTCTGTAAAGATCCCATCTGTCGGATTGAAAAATACAAAGCACCAACCATAATTATGTGTCCAACGTTCTACCGTTTCTTCAATGTTCGTCACCGCGGATCTCTCACTAGATTTACCAAAGGTGACTGAGCGGGTACAACTTCCAGTTGCGATCCTTCTTTACCACTCGGTCAGGAACTCAGTCATGCTTGTCCCCTGCAAAGTTTGAAAGGCAATCTCATTGAGAAGCGATTTAACTCACCTCAGCATACCCATGTGTACATTTATGATACTAATGTGTATATATATACACATACATACACACTACACATATGTCATATGTGTGTTGTTTTCATGTTTTGTTCAATTCACTGATCCATACTGATCCATTTTTTAATACAAAAAAATAACATATGTAGTAACACATATAATATTATATAATAGTGTATAATACTATATAATATTCTAATATTACATATATATATATATTATGTCTTAATACTGTATATGATTTCTGAATGTGTCTTCAATGTCATGTTTCCGATCTCCAAAGTCCCCAGTGCCGTGGCAAACGCCGTGACCTCCATGATCAAAACCCCAGAAGCACCGCCCACGATGCAATACCTCAGGTGCTGCAAGTTGTGTTCACCATTATTATTGCTGGTTAATATACTGTTAATAATGGTTAATATTAATGGTTATTATATGGTTAATGATGGTTAATAATAATCTGCTTGGTGGTTCAAAAAACCATCTCAAAAAATGATGGAGTTCGTCAATGGGAAGGATGACATCCCATATATGAAATGGAAAATAATCCATTCATGTTTGAAGCCAACCAGATAGTTATTTGATGAATATAACTATTATAGTTATTGTATGTTATTGTATGCTATTGTGTTATTCACCATTATTGTCTTACTCACTGTAAATTCATAGTTATTCGCTGAGCTCGGGACATGATGGTATATTTCAATCCGAATGTTCCCAATCTTTAGGGACCCAGTTCACTTAATGTCTGTAGCTGTTCGACAAATTGACCTTGATGACAGGGAGATTCCAGTGTCGGAGGTGTTGGGACATGAAGATTACTCACAATTCTATTCTGATTGTCGGTTTCATCCCCTCAAAAAATGGTATCTCGGAGCATTATACCTGGTATAGACAGGGAAAATTATAGAACGTTTGAAACCAAACAAGTACTGTCAGTCCATCTACCATATTTTTTTTTTTACTTGTGGTATTGCCGACCGACGAAAGCGGTCCCATTGGAAGGCGTCAAGTTTGTTCATCACCGGAGTTGTATATACAAGTTCTATTGCCTCTAGCTAATACAGAGATTATGAAGACAGTGACAAGGGCTTGGCTGGCTTGGAACAAGCCGAAATATCTATATAATGCTTTGGTAAACATACAAAAAAATACGGGAAATCACCATGTTTGATGGGTAAATCGGTAAATCAACTATTTCGACTGGGCCATTTTCAATAGCTAACTGTTAGTTTACCATAGGGTATTCAATGTTCCAAGCCAGATTGAGTCGAATATCAATGTATTGGATATCTTTGGTGCCTCCGCCGGTCCCCTTGCAACCCGTTGGAAAAATTCCAATGGATGGTTGCAGGCTCTTTATGTCCAATCTGGATGGGCAAATTACAATAAGGATGAGATGTTTGCAACGGACCTCGGATTTTCCTCTAATGTGGTATACAGATTAGTGTGGGGATACACAATTGTGTCCACAGACTCCAAAATAATTGTGGGTTTACTATCCTGCAAAAATGAACGGTGATCATACAGTGCGCAAGATTTTCGAATTTGTGGTAAACCCAATCATACAATATCATACAGTCATACACCATCGCCAATTTACGCAATTCTACCATTGGGGCATGCTAAAAACATCTAAAAACTATTCGCCAAGGGGTTGATAAATCCCACCTCCCCAATATCAAACACCCCCTAAATCTCAAATGGACCCAATGATGTGGAAATCCCCTGCATCCACCATGGTTTCTGGGGCGTGGATAAGATTAGAGGGATGGACACATATATCATATTAATTCATATGATATCTACAATACATCATCATTATATCATCACATCATCAATTTATCATCATTATATCATCATATGCCAATTAAATCCCATGAATGATATTCCCGGTATAATCCCATTCTCCCATGATGTCCCTTTATTTCCATTCGCTGTTTCAAACCCGAAACCGCCATTTTTTGACACCGTTCCCGTTCGCCCGGCGCAACGCCGAAGGGCTTTACTTTGGAGGTGATCGAACAACTCCCAGTTTGAACCACACCTGGGCTCCGCGATGCTCCCCAAAACTGGCAAGTCTGGCTGGATGTTCAACCAAATATCTACGATTTAGAACTCTAACTAAAGTACTGGGAAATTCAAGATGTTTTTCTGTACGTTCGAGTTCTGAAACATGGTGTGTTCTCCAAAGATTCGACAGTTTGCCAAACATTCATCGAAGGGGGAACCGCAAGGTGATTCACCAGATCAATGTGTTTTTCCAAGAAAAGGGATGACCACCCACCATTTTCACATCACCTGACCGTATCATTTCGGTGATTCTGGGCATGAGAATCCCCGAGAAAAACTGAAAAATCTGATGACTGTGCTTGGAACTTGGAACTACAGTAGGTCTGCTCGTGATTTGTCTGGCTGTAGGTCTGTCAGCTTATCAGGTAAGAGTTCATCCGATCACCTAATAAACTACCCTCTGGTAATTTAACATAGCTATTAAATATGGCCATTTGTAGTGGATTTACCCATTGAAAATGGTGATTTTCCATAGTTATGTAAACGTTTACCAGAGGGTAGCCTTGAGCAAATCATCAGGATGACATCACCCCACCCTGGGCCCCCAAACACCACCGCAAGGAATAGTCCGCTGCTGGCAGTTCCTGACACTGAAAGATGCAACAAAAAGAATCAACTACCATTTTTGACCACAGCAGGTGAAATGGATTAGAATCAAGTGCACAAAAAACATTTGACATTGACAAATTAAAATTGAAGTATCCCCATAATTTGTCAGATTATTTGTCAAGCGTCATCAATTTCAATTTGATTTGAAATAACAAACAATGAGAAATCATGAAAAATTGTGGTGTCCCCCATTCTGAGACAACCGCCCTAAATGTCATGGTTTTGTATGCAGCTGGTTGATGGTGGTGGTTCGTATTGCTGCTGTTCTTAAACAAATGACCTATTTAAGGACAATTTTGATGTACAGTAGTATCAAGTACAAACAACGGGAGTACAAAGCAACTGTGACTGCATCAAGTTGTGCTCCCAGACACTTTTGCCGTCTGTATCTAAGTTGTTCTCAATTCAAGATTGATTGCTGACAATAAAAAAAACTTTTCTCGCTGGTGCAACCAACTGGGAGTTTGCTTGCTTCCAATGCTGCCCCTTCCTTACTTGCCTTTGAAAAAAAGATGAATGACATTGCCTACAAGCTTTATAAGGCAGTTCTGAACACGTAATGACAAAAGGTACTACATACTTGTACATAGCGACACCAGTATTGAGTATTAATAGTATTGTGACTGGAAACTATGATTACGAATCTGATTAACGTATAAAAACAGTTTCGTTTGAATAGCAATAAACAATATAGACACACTACAAAGAATAAATAAAATAGACAGTCAAATAATCAATCTGAGGAATGACCATCATGACCATAATGACAATTGCTATTTCATGGGTCTTGTCACATACTGTATAGTAATGATATGTTAACCCCGGATTGATAGACCATGGTACCCTCCCAATTCAACGGCAGTTCGGGGTTTATGAAAATCCAGGGTTGACAATATTGATTATGGTCATTATGGTTCATGCTTATTCATTACTATACCCTCTGGTAATTTAACATAGCTATTGAAAATGACCATATATAGTGGAATTTCCCATTAAAAATGGTGATTTTCAATAGCTACGTTAAATTACCAGATGGTACTATATATGACGGTCGACCCATGAAATACCAATTGTCATAATATTAACCATCATGATCATAGGAAAAGACTCGTAGACTTCTCAGAGGCATCACAGATGGCAAGTGCTGTAGAGATATGATGCCAATTCAGCAGATTCATCATCCATATTTGCATAATGATCATCATGACCATATCCAATATTGGCTATGGATCAATACCTATTAATACCATTTTTAGGGGAATGAACATCCATTTACCAGCTATTTTGATGTTCACCAGGGGTACAAGGTTTTGACACACTGCCATATGACAAAACCAATAGAATGTTTGTCCCCAGCCGCACCTTCTTCCCTCGCAGCTCCGCTAAGGAGACGCCGCGGGCCGTGGTCGCCTGCCGTGCGGCGGCCATGGGTCACGGGACATTTTAATGGGGGCGAATGGTGATTAAATAAGGGATTTCATGGGATATCTATGGGATATCTATGGGATATTTATGGGATATTTCATGGGATATTTATGATGGGCTATTTAATGGGATATTTAATGGGAGATAGCCAGTTCTAACAGAAAAAACATGGGATATGTTCTCTTTTTCGCTACGGGATATAACCAACTCGAAACTAACTTTAATGCGGTATATAGCCAACCATGATGGAGACAAAACAATTGGACGCTTTTGGGGATATAATCAACCATAATGAAAGAACCATGGGATATGTATGATTTTTATTACGCAATATTCTTTATGGCTATATCAAAACCAAGTATTTATATGTATTATGTATTTACATCATAGTAAATACTGTACTGTTGTACAATCCCCATAGTGGATCGGAGACGGATATGGTAAATGACTACGATGGATTAATTGAATTAATTAACTGGTCATCATGGGAATATAGCCAACCAACATGGTGTGTGTTTGGTATGTAATGGTACGTTCATTACATGGGGCCAAGTACCACAAGAATACCTATCATTGTTTTCCAACAATGCTCCCTATTGTTGGAGGAAAACCAGGCAGTCCTAGTAGGAAGCAATTGATGTTATTGGACGGACATGTTTTCGTGGTTACTCTTGCTGTTTTGTCCATTTGAGGTTCATCTACTGATATGGTGAGAAAAGCCACATTTTTTTGTCAGTTTCCCATCTATGTTAGCAAATCATCCTCAAGTAGATGGGATTTGTGTACCGCCAAAAGATATAGAAGGCTGATATATACTGATATTTACATTGATTTACTGCTACTTTCTGAGGATCTTAGCTGATCGAGTAGTAACTTCTATCTATTTGGTGCTTATTTTACCCAAATTTTTCATCCTCTTGGGGACGGCTTAAGTAGCGGTTGTGCTCACCAGCCTGCTATGTAAATCAAAAGAAGGGAACATGCCGTCAAACATTGATCTCCAAGCACTCAAGCCATTTTTTTCCAGGAAACTTCGATTTTTCCAGTATCATCCTATCATCCCCATCCAAATTCCTAGCAACAAAGTCAAACCATCATCTGATGACCAGAGAATAATCATCTGGTGATTTAACACTTTGCCATGGAAAGATCCACCATTTTATAGCTAGGTAAACCATCTATTTCGATTAGGGTCATGGAAAAACCATGGCAAACTGTTAGTCACCAGAGAATAATCATCCTGGTTGAGCCGGGGTCCCAAGGGTCTCAATGGCCTGCGTACGTAGTACTCACCAGCATCCCCAACCAAAATGCTATAGGTAGATTTAAAAATCGTTGACTCGGAAAAAATGGTGCTTCCACAGTTCCACATCCGAAATGGAACACTTCAATGGTGGTTATAAAATGTTATAAACACCTCAATTTTAATCCACCAGAAAAAAATGTATAAACCAATGGATTTTGGTGTTTGCCCAACATTTTCAGACAACCTCCATTTCTGCATCCATTTTTGATGCCCAACCCCTGGCCTCCCGTACGGGGCAGCCCTGAATGCTCTCTGCTACGCCTGGGCTGTTTCAGACTATCTATGGATTCAACCACCATTATTCCATTATACTGGATGGTTAGTAGGGATTCCCCTATTGGATTATTGTATTCCCCAATATACGAAGGATAGTATAATCCCCTATAATCATCAACCACCATGGGTTTTGAACACTGCTCATGTAAATCAAACAATGAAACTACTAGTTCTCCAACTAACCAATGGTTGCTCATATGTATATATATATATGTATATATAAATGGGTAAAGTATAATGACCTCACTGCGACCTCGCTGGAATGATGGTTTATGCATAGAGTAATTATCCCAAGATAGCCTTATTTCATCTTATTTGAGGTGAGTTAATTATTAGAATTTACCCATATATATATCATATATATATATATGCATATATACATATACATATACATATACATATCATATCATATCATATCATATCATATGATATCATATCATATGATATGATATGATATGATATATATATATATAATTATATATTTGTGTTTCAACCAGTTGCTCGACGTTCCCAGTTTCCATCTTTCACACCTCAACCGCCCCGCCATCCGCCGCCTGGCTCGGGCTGCGAGAAGCGCGAGTCCACCAGCTTGGCCGGTCGCAACATGTCGCTGCCTCAGATGAGAATTTCCATGGATATCCGTGGAATCATATCATGTAATGTCAACCCCGGATTAATAAACCATGGTTTATTAATTTGGGGGGTACTCCTCCAATAGTCATAATCTGATACTTAAATGGTATCCCCCCAAATAAACAGCCGTTTGGGGTTTATTAATCCAGGGTTGACATTAATATCAAATAGGTTGCAATATGTGCAACGAATTGCAACCAGTAACGAAGCGGGGTCCATCCAATCTCCGGTGTTCCTGATCATGGTGAACCTCAAACAAAATACGTATACGTACCAACATCTTCATGCTGACGTTTACTTGGATATATGTTTTGTCATCTGCATGGCAATATGGTGGTTTGTTGTAGTTACCCTGGTATAGTATGGTATAGTATGGTATAGTATGGTATAGTATGGTATAGTGTAGTGTGGAATGGTATCGTTTGTTACTGTCTTTGCCCGATTCCGCGCAATCACACGCTTGGTGTGAAACCGCCAAATGCTTGGCTTCCCCGGCGCATGGAGTACAAGGACAGCTCATTCCGCAAGGCCTGATTCAGTTGGGAAAATCTACAGCTAACCACCAGGGTTTAAACCCCAAAACAATACCATAAAATATAAGATTTTACTGGAGAAATCTGTAGCATCCATTGTTTTTACCTGGTTTTACCATCAACTACAGGGTGCCATATGGGCAAATCCTGTAGATTTGTTATTCAATCATTTCTGATGCAAAATGTATCAGAATTCGACAAGTCAACTTGCGATCTGGATATGATTCAAAAACATTCAAAAAGCCCATAGACGCTCACAATTGGTCATTGTACTTGTATGGGAGTCAGCCCCGTTTATTGGTACTTTTGAGCCATCTCCATCGGAATGCCTGACCACTGTCCAGGTCATGCAAGATGGACTATCACCAAAGTGATATAGCTGAAAGGTGTCAGTTCCTTCAAAGCATAGAACTTTTCATCTCACGAAAAGAGTCACTCCTGAGACATTTGGACACATTCGGACAGCCTATCTTCCAGTCCCCCAAAAGGGAGACGTAATCACCAAGTATAGCCCCCAACAGCTACAACGTCCTGGTGATGAATCCCACCTGACCATCGCTGTCATAGAAGAAGATGGGATGAAACCTCGCCGTCTCGTGATGCTGACCATGGTTATGATTATTATCTGCTTATGCTGATGGTGGTTATTAGATGTTATTAGTATGTATGATGGATTACTAGTTATAATGGTTTCTAATAATAATAGTATAATCATAACAATGATTGGATGATGTCACTCTTGATTATGGTCATGATGATTATCTGGTTGGTGGTTGAGCCATCCCTCTGAAAAATGATGGAGTTCGTCAGTTGGGATGATGACATTCCCAATATATGGAACAATAGAAAATGTTCTAAACCACCAACCAGTTATTGTTATGATGATTATTATTGTTATGATTATTAGTTAAGATTATGCTTATGATGTTTATTGTGATTGTGATTGTGATCCTAATGCAAATGCTGATTGCGATTCTGCAAATGCAAATGATGATTGTGATGATGATGATGATGATGATGATGATGATGATGATGATGATGATGCAGATGGAGCAATGACATCGACAACACGCAACAGCTCTCCAGAACCGAACATCTTGGCCCCAGTCACCATGCCGACCAGTTCCAAATACTCAGGGGGTCCAGGTTTTCTTCTTTTTGCTTAAGGCTATATAACCAGGCTAAGAATCCCTCCTACTTGGGATATAACCTCTAGAACAATGGTCATAGTTACACGTAGAAATCCCGATCACTTCCAAGTACCGACCTCCCCCTGGCCTCTTGAGAGCTGCTTTGCAAGACGTGCAGTAGCGACCCAAGTGGATCCTGGCCAATGGCTAGCAGCTGATGGTTGGCTTCCAATCATCAACTCTCCCCAATAGAGGTTTATTGGGTATACTTGTGATGTAAAATGACCCCCAGCCATGGTTGATTCATGGGATAGTAACTATTGGAACATGCTTAACCCATGAATCGATCTTCCAAACAAAGGTAGAGTAGCCAGGCGAATCCAAAGCCAAGTCCATGGGGAAAAGGATGAACATGGGGACATTTGGCGAACCCAAAATCACATCAAAATATGCTGGTTAACGATGGTTAATGAAGGTTTATCCAACAAATTCACCGTTCTGTTGGGTTTTTACCCAAATTTTGGTCGAGAATTTGCAGGCCCCAAATGCACTAGGCTGGCTTTCGCAGGAAACAAGGACTTGCTTTTCATAAATTCCAATTTCGCCAAATACTAAAACTAAGTCGAAAACCTAGAGTTGATCTGGATAAATTCTAATAAGTCACTATATAACCTGAAAACTTCGGCTATGGGATAGTTACTGTACCCCTATAGGAATCATCCAGTTCGATCCAGTAAGTCACTGAGAATTTCACCGGGTTTTCCCTTCAGAAGCCCAGGAGTCGACGAACGGTCGCGAAACGAAGCGTCGCCAGGTGCACCGATTTCGCTCCGGCGAGGTCCCCGTGTGAAAGGACTGCAGGACGATCGGCACGTTGATGTCCCTGGGGTGCCGAGCCCGGGTGGTGTGGAAGCCGAAAAAAGGGCCTGAAAACTTACAAAAGGCTAGGGAAAAATGGGAAAATCTATGAACATGTCCCATTTGTAGATGATTTTAGCTATAGAAAATAGGGATTTCCATGGTTGTATTAGTTATTATTAGTTTACCAGGGGGGGTTTGGGGATGAGAACATGGGGGTGAATCACCAACATATGGATTGGTGACAGTGGTTTCAACATGTTTCAAGCAAATTGCAAAATTGAGATTTGAGAACCAACATACATGTAAAATGTCTTGAAATATGACACACATGTAGAAATAAATGTCTTGAAATGTCTTGAAATGTCTTGAAATATGACCCATTTCAACGTGTTTCAACATGTAGAAAAACAACACCAACACACATGTAAAATGTCTTGAAATATGACAGTAGGCACAAATTAATATGGGTGATGCTGGTGATACAACTGACCACAAGAAAAGCATTCCATCAAGCAATTTGAGCCATTGACAATATATGACAATATCATCTCAATTCTCTGGTGTCTAATGAACATGGTTTCCTTGGTACGGTTCCTGTTGTTGTGACTCGAAAAGATGTGACCCTGTGGTTTTTGTCATTCTGCTTGGGATGATATCAGATGTTTTTGGCCACTACGATTGATAAACAAATCAGGATGCTTTTGTAAATCCCAGAAAACGTGTTACCCTCTGGTAATTTGTTACACAGCTATTGAAAATGCCCCATAGAAACAGTTTATGTACTAAAAAAAGACTATGTTTTCCATGTAGCAAACTGTTAGTTTACCGGAGGGTAAGCCCCCATTAATCCCCATTATAATCACCATTAATCACCATTATAATCACCATTAATCACCATTAATCACCATTATAATCACCATTAATCACCATTATAATCACCATTAATCACCATTATAATCACCATTAAGCCCCCGTTTTATCTCACCATCGGAACGGTTGGATGACAACGTGGCCCCCAATCGCTGCCTATGCAGACTGCCACAGGCCGAGATCTCTGCAGATTCACCTGAAGTCCAGGTTTTGGCCAAAAATGCTGCTGCTAAGATGGGGGATCCCAAGTCACCATGGGTTAACATCGGTTAACCTATGCTAACAATGGTCATCCATGACTTGCATGTCATGTTTTGGGGGTAGCCTTATTTGAGGAAACCTCCATTGGTCTAAAAACCACCAAATATGGAGCTACCAAATCATTCCCAAATCATTCCCAAGAATTTCACAGGAGATCACCAGCTTTCGAAAAATCCCCAAGGCTCAAAAAAATCCCCAAGGCCTCTCAGCCAGGTTCTGTTTTGGTGACATCCCCAAGGACAATTCCCTCAGGATCTCCACGGTTGACCCTTCCGGCCCGGGACCAAGCGACATCGCAGGTGCTGCCCATCAAACTTCAATGCCACAGCAGCATCAGCTGGGACCTGCACCTGGATTCTCCAGAGGTTTCGAGAAATTTATTTTCGAGAAATTCGGCAAAATATCACATGGAGGTTTCCTGAAATAGGCATACCCATGCGTATTTGCAGTGATCATGGCATGTTCATGGCATTTGAAAAGCATGTTCCATTGTCAACCAGCCATTGAATGGGGTACCCCCATTTATGGAAAACACCACATCCCACTGGAGAAACATGGAAATGTAGGGGAGTGACTGGAGAATCTATCCCAGTTCATGTAAATATCTGATATCATATGGAAATGTGGGGAAGTGTAAGCCATTTGGGGATGATTCCCCTAATCCAATTCCCATCATTCCAATCATTCCAGTGAAAACAACGTGAGGTAATGATCAAATTCATCCAGACTGCGGGATATCATGGGGAAAATATGGAGCCAAAAACAATGTGGGGCATATAATAAACCATCAATCAAAATAATCGAAACAGGTGGATCATAAAATGGATAACATGAATAAATAAACAATAGTTAACATTAATCAGCCATTTTATGGATTATCATCAATGTTGGATAATCATTAATCATGGATCTTAAAATATTGTTGATAAAATAGAATATATGATTAACATTAATCAATCATAATTCAACATGATTTTCATGGCCTAAATGAGTTACACCCACCTCCTCGATCGCGAAGGAGTCCAGCCGTAGAAACCTGAATCCACGAATCAGTTTTGAAAACCCTTTTTTTCGTGTTGTTTTTCCCATGTCGTATCACTATGAAAATCGGGAGGTTGGCGGGATGTTGATGCATTTTTCATGGGATTTTTCCATGGGATTTTTCATGGAATCTTGATGGATTTTGCAGCTTTTCATCCAACGATTTCCCCATTTTCCATGGGATTTCCATCCGTTTTCCCGGCCGTTTTCTTCACCTCACCGAGGCCCCTGGAGACTCCAGGGTGAAGTTCCCCGTCGTCGTGACCTCAAAAAAAAAAGGATTGGTGGGAGGCTGAAATCGCCAGAAAGATGGGATATCCGTGGATATCATATCATGTCATATCATATATATCATATCTAGTTGGTGGTTGAGCCACCCCTCTGAAAAATATGACAGTCAGCTGGGATGATTCTTCCCAATATATGGAAAAATAGAAAATGTTCCAAACCACCAACCAGATATATATAATCTGGTGAATCACTCAGTGAATCACATGAAATTTGGGTGATATCATCTGGTTGGTGGTTTTAAAAAACTATCTTGAAAAATGATGGAGTTCGTCAATGGGAAGGATGACATCCCATATATGAAATGGAAAATAAAAAATGTTTGAAACCACCAACCAGTAATGAGATGTAATGTGATATACTCTGAGTCACCATCAATTCTCTTAATATCAATATACCATCCCCTCAACTAGCAGCTCGAGCGTGAAAACTATTCCTGGCAGTGTCAGTTGGATGGCAAAATCTGGTGAATTGTATGTTTGCTGCCAATATCTCTCATTTGCTGCAGGAATTCATTGATACTCCATGTAATTGTTGGTGTCCAGTTTTTCCCATAAATATACTTTATATCAATGTTCCCTTCATCCAAGTCTGTGATCAACCTATCCCAAAGATACAGATATACTATATACCTGATATATCTTGATATAAGAATGACTCAAGCAAAATAGGACAACCAGAAGATAACAACAAACAAATACCATAATCGATGGTCAGTGCTTGAGCTATCCATCATACTATCATTTGGAGTTTGTACTATAGGATACTATAGGGATATAAACTGCAAAAACTTCGCAAGGAACAGGGTTTGAACAATTTATAGAGTGAGTTGATCGGCTTTACAAACCCAACTGTATGGGGTTTTCATTATGGTGAAATAAACCCACCATAACCCAGCTTGCAACGGGTTTGTATCAACAGAAATCATAACGGGATTTACCAGATCACCGATCTATTGACGGATAACGGATCACTTCTTTGGATTTAAAAAAAAACACCAAAAAACGTAGGGATGGATCCAGCTGAAGGGTAGGGCCAGTGCCTGGATGTTGCTTGCTTTCCCATGTTGATTGATGTCTATGGTTTGCAAGTCGAAAATTAACAGATTGTATGAAACCTGCTTGCCTGTGGCATACTTCTTGATGTCCAATTGATGCAATCATTTGCCATCAGCAAAACAAAATAAAAACATGCACCAAACTTTGGTCAATGTGTTTGAAACCATTCATGACATGAAACAAAAACTGGCTGAGTTTACACCATCTGCACCAGCTACCCTCTGGTAATTTAACATAGCTATTGAAAATGGCCATATATAGTGTAATTTCCCATTAAAAATTGTCATTTTCCATAGCTACGTTAAATTACCAGAGGGTAATTCTTCCTTCCTGAACCCAAAATCATCCCCCCAAAATTCATCGCCCAATCGCAGCCTTGGCAAAACCCGAACAGTTCTGCAGACCCTGCAGAATGTTCGCCGGCAGAATCTCCTTCAGCCCATTGGGCGCCTCCAGGGTCGATACGCTCAACCCCAACAAGCGAACGAAAAATGGCGTCTGATGATGGGCTATACACCCAAAAATGTCAGTTTTGAATGGGAAACTGAGGATAAATGGATTTAGGTATAGCCTATAGACAAACTCTAAATGGTCTTTTATCATCAATCTAACCTGATAAGAGTTTTAACCGATCCAAAAAACGCGTGCATGATGTCTATGTCCATGTCCACGTCTAGCACTCCATCCTCTCTCAATCTTATCCAAATCCAATCCAATGTCAAACCAATCAAATCTAAAGTGCCTGTGGCTTTTCATTGTGAATTTCACCACCTAACTGGACTTTTCATGGGACTTTCATAGGATTTTTCACTTTTCAAGTCACATCCCAGGTCCGTTCATTTTCATCGCGTCCGAGGTACGCCCGACACGGTGACGTCGTTGCAATAGTCCGGAGGGTCGGGTGCGCGGGATGCCTGGGGCCATGGCCATGGCCAAGGCCTTCGATTTACCAAATTTGATGCTATGGTGACGAGCAGTTAGAATTAATATTCCAAATTTTCATTGAATATACTATGACGTCACCATAGCTATGGTACACTTTTGGAATATTTCGTCACCAGCAGTTTCGATTTACCAAATTTATTCACAACTTTCGTATTTAATGTTAGTGCAAGAAAAAATCAAGTTAGATATGGCTCCAACGTGCTTTAAATTACTTTAAATACAGAATATATGCGGTAGCACAGTAGAATACCTTAGGTTGGTGGGGAAACCGATAAAAACAGCGATGGGGATATAGAGAGAGAGAGAGAGTGAAGGGAGGCTTGGAGTGACGGTTTTTATTGGGATGTATGGTCGGGATGTTGATATTAGTGCATAATTAATTATGTATTCCTTAAGATTACTACCAAAATATTCTATGTGTACCCCCCGGATTTCAATATTCCAAGTGCATTCCGAAATATGTTTCATGCACGCTGACAATTAATTAAATTCACATTCTAAAACTTGTTTCAAGTGGGCTTTTTCATATTCTAAGTGGGTGTCCAACATAGTAAATCCCATCGTCATTTTGACGGATGTATCAATGGGTTACCCAAAGGATCCCAGATGGTGAACATGATGATTCACTATTTAGATGGATTTAGGAAAACCATCTGGCTAATAAGGGAAATCATCCCCAAGTGGCCTTAATTCAGGTTCGTGAAATATAATTTGTCCATATATATATATATATTATATATATAGATACATATATATTATTATATTATATATATAATATTCAATATATTCCATATTTTCAGACATACCTATCTCACTACACCTAAGTGTACACCCAGAAGTTGGGATATGACCGATATGACCTGCAGAAAAACTACACCCCCAAGATCCCCCACCCAAGAAAGGATCATGAACTAGGTCAACTGGCTTAACCTCTGGTAATTTCTTACATAGCTACTGAAAATGGCACCTAGAAACAGTTGATGTACCCAGTAAAGATGGTGATTTTCCAGTTGACAAACTGTTAGTTTACCAGAGGGTATCTGGAACTTCAACAAGAGATCTCTCAACTCAACTATGACAAGACTTTTTTTCTAGCTGGTGGTTTCAATCCCTCTGACAAATATTAGTAAGATTGGCTCATCATCCCAGCTATTGGGGAAAATAAAATTCATGTTTGAAACCACCAACCAGATAGTTATTCGATGAATATAACTATTATAGTTATTGTATATGTTATTGTGTTATTCACCATTATTGTGTTATCACAACTATGACAATGGATAACATTATTGTGTTATCACAACTATTGTGTTATCACAACTATTGTATTATTGTGTTATCACAACTATGACAATACTTTTTAGTGGTCTCTGACTACTTGGTGGCTCATCCCACTTAGTAAGTGGGTTATAACCCCAGTTATAAGTGGATTAACCCTACTTATCCCATTTATAACTGGGGTTATAACCCACTTACTAAGTGGGATGAGCCACCAAGTATGGAAAGCCATAGCCATGGCTTCTGTAACCATAGCCGGCGAAAGATCAAGGCGCCACGAAGTATCCGGCTCCGCGAGGGCAGCGTCCGCCAGACTCACCCAGGATGCAGCTGCACCTAGAGCCACAACGTTTAGGGAAAACTCAAGGGAGACACGGAGAAATGATCGGAAAATCCATGGAAAAATCATGGGAAATCAATGGAAATCATGGACATGTCACGGAAAGTAGGGGGAAAAACTTAGATGGATGGAAAACTACTCTAGATGGTGAATTTCAATGTCAGGTAAAATACATTATAAAATACGACAAATTATCTGATAAAACAATACTGCAACAAAGGGAATGAACGTTGGAATGCATCAGTTCTTGCGCCACCAACATTGCCGCCGGCACTCAGAATGTTTCTGCGACATCTCCATCTCGTCCATATAGCGCCGTGCCTGGCAAAACGGCAAGAAGTCCCGGTTTCGAAATGGAGGTTTTTCTCTGGAAAATCGTCTGTAAATGGATTTAATGGATTTTGGGTGATTTTTTGATGAATAGATGTTTGACTATCAGATATCCAATCATCATCAATCATCATTTTTGAAAGAAACGGCTGTTTAATCTGAAGAATGTCATGACCTCAATTTTTTGACCCAGGAAAGTATTTTTAAAGTGGAGTTGCTGGCCATGGGATTCAAGCACAGCACACACCCGTCCCCAGAGCGGCAAACGAACGGCTTTTTGTTCCCCCGCATTGCGGTAGCACAATGCCCAAAGCCTACAGCAACCTGCCTCAGTCATCCTTTTGAGTGCTCAAATGAATCCTAGGGGTCGTGGTTCCGCCCAAATATATCCAAATATACACCAATTTGGGCAATGAATATATTATAAAGATATAATATGATATATATATATAATTGAAAAACAGCCAGTCAATTCTGTTGGTGAGACCTTATTAGACCCTCATCTTTAGTGGTGAAATCAAACATGTGTTCATGTCATTGCTTACCTTCTGGTTATTTAACTATGGAACATGGCCCATTTTGTTCGATGATCTATGATGATTAATGCGTTAAAACTGCAGATGTTCCAGTTCTCTACGTTAAATCACCAGAGGGTACAGGGAAAATTACCATCTCCTGCGTGTGCTGCTCCGGAAAATGCTCGGGTTACTGCACTGCCGCCCCGGATGCTGATGGTCGCCCCACAGGTTGCTCAAATCTCAGGAAGCGTCTCTGCCTCATGAGGCAGGTGAGTAAGATAAGTCTCGACGGATCATTGCTGAAAAAAGGACCAGCAAACCAGGGATGGCGATCTGCATCCTGAATCTCACCATGATTGATTTTTTTCCAGATCTACAATATACTGCCTCCAAGTTTTGTGATCTACTGTATATTACAGTATACAGTATACTACCCTCTGGTAATTTGTTACATAGCTATTGAAAAAACAAAAAATATTAGTTGATTTACCTATTGAAGATGGTGATTTTCCAGTTCGCTATGTTAGTTTACCAGAGTCTGTACCTCCATTTCTAAATGGAAAAAAAACATCTCAACATATCTCAACCACCCAAAAAACTGCCGGGCCACTCTCCTTTTGCGGAGTCGTCTTGGTGAAGAAGGCCGAGAGACTGCGTGTGGCCTGGCGAAAAAAGCGATGCATTGTGGCTGGATTGATGTGAAGCAACTGGTGAGTTGCAACTGGGGAACATCCTGGATCCGTGGTTTTTCAGAAACACTTCCATTCCATATGGATCCGTGTGTCAAAACCAATAGTACCCCTTCTGTTCACATCAAAATAGCTGGGATTTATGGATGTTCCCATGAAAATTGATACTAGTAGGTTTTGACCCATCCCCATATCTTAGTGCAAGTAAATGACTATTAAAGTCAATCGGAATCATCATCCCAAGTGTCAGACCTGGCCAAAGTTTCGATGTTCCCTGATCTCTTCACCCGAAGAAGAGACGACCGGAAGCAGCAATCAAAAGGAAATTTAAGTGGTTCTACAGTCTTAAGATTTTATTCATCTCCCAATGAAATTTGGGGTTCTATAAAAAGATTTCGTAAGATTTCGTAAGATTTTTGTCCCAATCCCATGCTTTTTCTCCACTACCATCTGGTTATTTAACATAGCCATGGAAAATCACCATTTTTAACAGGTAAACCATCTATAAATGGGTCATTTTCCATGGCTATGTTAATTTACCAGAGGGTAACTCTCTGATTTTTCTTCTGCCTTCTTTGGCTTCTCCTTGGTCTCCGCATCGTCCTGACGCTACAAAGCAGCCAGCTGAGGAGTTTTTTTGGCTGGGAAAATTAAGTGTAAGTGTAAGTGCGTTATAGGCGTCAATGGGTTATAAATAATGGGTTGTAAACAGGTACTGGTTGGTGGTTTCAACCCCTCTGAAAAATATGAAAGTCAGTTGGGATGATTATTCCCAATATATGGAAAGAAAAGTTCCAAACCACCAAACAGTATATAGTATGACCATCTATAACCTACTGATTAGTTGAGCCTGGCAGATACAACATGATACAACCCATGCAACGCATGCAGATTGGCTGCAAATAGGTTGTTAAAATTTATTCAATATCATTCAGGTAGAGATGATGCTGCAAACGATATATATATATATAGAGGTGATGCTGAAAATCAGCAAAATAGAACATCTGCCACTCCCTGTTGCAGTCAACAGAAATCGGGGCAGACAACCATGATAGAACTGGAAGCCTGCCGAAGAACGGAATCATCCGAAACAGCCAACGGCCGAAACCGCGGAAACAATGGGACTATTCACTTACCAAGAGCACCAGCCATGGAGAAATCAGCGATGGGTCTGTCTGAAAATGATCATGAAGCAATTTCTTTGGGGTATTCCATGGTATTCCACATTGTTAACCATATATTAACCATGTGGTACCATATATTACCTATTTCCGAAAACAAATCCACATGTTGGATCGAAAGTGCACCAGCCTTGGAACGAGATCATCTACGAGATCATCAAACCAAACATCTACAAACTGAAATTGGAGGATTAACCATATATTAACCATATATTAATGGATATGTTCTCTACTTAGTCATGGTACCTCGTGCACGTAGCTCTGTCTTTCTGTGGACATCTGTGGGCATCTGATCAATCCAAAGATCTCATGACAGCCTGGATAAATGATTGTTTCATGAAATCCCCCTACCCTCTGATTATTGACTAACATAATCTAACATAGCCATGGTATAGATGGGCCATAGAAATAGATGCTTTACCTATTAATAGCATGGTGGATCTTTCCATGGCTATCCCCATCAGTCACTTCTTACGGGCTCAACTTCTCTCCTGCGCTTCCGCGGCTTTTCGCTTCTTGACTCCTGGGGAGCTTTTCTTCAACGGAAGTTCATGTGGGGTCTTTGATCAACAAACATGGCGGGATCACCATAAATCCATCATAAATCCATCATAAATCCATCATAAATCCATCATAAATCCATCATAAATCCATCATAAATCCATCATAAATCCATCCTAAATCCATCATAAATCCAAATAAATCCATCATAAATCCAAATAAATCCACCATAAATCCATATATATATATATATAAAAATCCACCATAAATCCACCATACATCCACCATAAATCTATCATAAATCTACCATAAATCCATCATAAATCCATCATAAATCCCCATAAATCACCATAGATTATCAGATGATCAAGGTGAATCAATGGGATTTCACCCAACAGAATGGGCTGCTCACCAGCTAAGACAGGGATACAATAAATTTGGCAATTCGGCAAGAAATTGGGCGGCTCATCCAAAAGGAATAAGGAATTCACCAACACAAATGGGTGTCTAATTCGATCTTTCCAAACAAAACAAGATTGGAAACCATCAATTGAGTGACTTATCTAGCAAACATGCGGCATAAAGATTTATCTAACAAACGTTGACAAACACATGATAATCATGGCACCAGCAAAAATTGTAACTCCTCACCCAACAGCTTAATTCATAGATTGGGATGATCCTTCCATCGAAATGAACACGCAGAATATCACACAAATATGAAGGGATTGATTGGTTTGGGCTGGCTATTTTTTGAGGGTGGTCCTGCTCCCCTTAAACCAGAACTAGGAAATACCAAACTGCCATTCCCATACAAGAATCCCGCCCTAATTTTAAACACCCCTACATGGTCTCAACTATGTTCAAATCTCTCCCAAAACCATTGTTTCCAGGGAGTATATATTCAAATATATTCAATTTTTGGGGGGAGAGAGTATTACTGGCTATGTCCAAATGTAGGTTGTTTCAAAAATGGCTCCTTTTGGTGATAAGATGGGGAAGTCGATTTCCTGGGCTGAACGCAGGAACGGACCGCAAGACAATGGGTAAGTTGGTGGACATAATTAACTCCAATAGCTTGGAATTATGGTGGATATATCATGATATATCTATAGTCAATTATTAGCTGGTTGGTGGTTGAGCCACCCCCTGAAAAATGATGGACTTCGTCAGATTGGATCATCATCCCCAATCTGGTTGGGGAAAAGTTGAAAGCCATGCTCTAAACTACCTGATGGAATCCTTTGGAGAATGCTGGCTGCATTGGCTGGCAGCCTGGATAGCAAATGCCAAGTGGCTGGTTGCGCCAGGAATGGAATGGGAATAGGAAAATGGAAGAGAAGAGAATCATCGAAGAGGATAGTAGAAGAGAAGAGTAGAATAGAATTGGAATTGGAATAGAAGAGAATAGACTAGGATAGACTAGATAGAATAGATTGGTCAGATACATAGACAGGCAGACAGACAGACAGACAGAAAGAAAGATAGATAGATAGACAGATAGACAAATAGACAAACAGATAGACAGATTCAATCAGATTCATAGGTAGATAGATGGATGGATAGATAGATAGATAGAACATCCAATCTATGTACCCTCTGGTAATTTAACATAGCTATTGAAAATCACCATTTATAGTGGATTTTCCCATTGAAAATGGTGATTTTCCATAGCTATGTTAAATTACCAGAGGGTATATACTACGTTTAGATCATCCTTTATCCAGCAAAGCATAGGCCTTCTGGACTGAAATCGCCATCCCTGGGATTCCAATCTGGCTCGGGAAAGCTCTCATTGACCTGCCAGGGACCCGAGCCACCGCCCTGGTGGGGCTCGGCTAAGGGATCATCTTCTACTCAACTATTAGGAGTCAATGATCTTGATATAGCCATATATAGCATATATATTATATAGACAAACAGTCCGTAAACCATCAGTTGGGGGATGTTGGGGGATGTTGGGGGACTCAGAAAGCAAAAATCAACCAGTGACTCCAATGATGGACCGTACTCATCGTCGAGTGGGGACTCGCTACGTCCAGCTTTCGTGATCATTACTCTGCTACCACTTAGACATGGTGCCTGAGTGGAAGCCGACATAAAATCAAAGAAACAACTGAATTTAAGGTACGGCTGGATAAATTCAAAATTCCTCCAGAGTATCTTCAACATATTGATAATATCGGTATATAGTATATGGTACCCTATTATGATTAGGATAAATTCCTCTGGATGAAATCCTATTATTATATCAGATCCCAACATTAGGTATATCTGAATAAATTATGATACCCTCTGGTAAACTAACATAGCTATTAAAAATTGTGATTTATAGTGGATTTTCCCATGAAACATGATGATTTTTCCATGAAACATAGGATCATTTCCTCTGGATTCCCCATCTTCAACAGCCCCAAGATATCCCAAGAGGTTTCGTGTTGCCTCCAGCGAATCCACAGCGGCTGAGGCCTAAAGAGCAGGAAATTGTTACAACGCAAGGCCACACTTCAGACTGAAAATGTGGAGAGCCTATAAGAAATAACTTGTTGGTGGTTTCAACCAACAACTCTGAAAAATGATGGAGTTCGTCAGTTGGGATGATGATACTCCCAACTGAATGGAAAATGATCCAAATGTTCCAAACCACCAATCAGAATAAATACTAGCAACATGGAAAACGATATGTCTCAACATCATCCAAAAATCTCCAGGACTTTCCCCCACTTCCTCTGATTCGTCACGCCTCAATCTGTTCGTGAAGCTGCTTCAGCAACTTGACAGAGCTCGGCTTGAAGTCCTGGCTGCAGAAATCCACCAAGAGGGATATGACAACGAAGTGAATCCCAGGGCTGGCAAGGAAAAAAGGTTTAATGTGTACTGCAGCCTTGAACAAGTAGAATGTGTACCAAAAGGCAGTGATGCAAAAGTAGTTGTTCCTGCTGCACCAGTCTGAGGCTTTACTCTCACATGCTCCCTGTGCACGCTTCAGCCACTCTCTGATCTAAGTGCAGAATTCCGTGCAGTACCCACAAATACCGTCATTGAGCAAATATGTGGTTTAATATTCTTAATATATGGTGATAAATAAAAAATGATAAGATTGAACCATTGGATTGCCGTTTTCACCATTCGATTGCCAATTCCCTCCTCTGGCATCTTATCTGGGTGAAGCGACGCCAACCTCAGCTGCGGTTGGCCAATTTCTATGTCAGGCCGTGTCACTCCATCAGGGTCTAGTCTAGAAATAGGCGAAAGTATGGAGATATGTAGCCAAAGAATATCTGGGAGAGCAGCTAAGAAATGGTTTCTGGCTTCAACTCATGCTCAAAACATGAGTCAACTCAACTTACACTATATACTCATCTGGAAATTCAAACAACCTTTGAAGACAATTCAATGTCATCAACCGACGAATTAATCTTGGAGCTCCCCGAAAAAAAAAAAAAACATGCCACCCCCGGTTGTTTCGCGCACCTTTCACCAGGCCGTATGTGTGCATTGGATCAAAACCTATTTTCCCAAGCCAATGATCCAACGTTCAACATCTTTAGTAAACTTGGACATACTTGGACGGTTTAATGAGTTGCTCCTCAACTTTGACTAAGAAACCGGACCAAAAGTAAAAGAACTTATTTTCCCAAACTGGAAAGCATACCCAAAGACCCCCTCTCTCTAAACCATCTTCTGTAAAAAAACACATGGGTTTGTCTGAAAATAGGGTACCTCTAAATCCATTAGCTAATCCTCATTTCCCCATTAAAACGTATCATAACTGAGGGGTATAGACCATGACACACCTGGCCTGCTCCCAAGCCACTTATTGGCCAACTGCGGCATGTCTTGCTGCAGAAAGCGCATGACATGTTCCGCCTCAGCTGAGGCGGAATTGGACCAGGGGATCCATGCGAAAATCATGGGTCCCATGCGGAAAAGTATGGAGAAAAATCATGGGAAAACTCAGATCTTAATCTGTAGTTTCGAGTATGTTTGAGCTCATGTTTAGATGAAACTTGTTGGTTTAGGATTGATGAAAGGTCATTAATATAAACCACGGCGCGCAAGGTACAATCCACATCAATGTAGTCTATAAGCCATGTCCGGCTTAGGCTTAAACACTTATGACGTTCAAAAAGGCAAGAAAAGGGATTACCAGTTAATTCATGCAAGGCACAAAAATCATCAAAAATCCGTTACCCTCTGGTAAACTAACATAACTATGGAAAATCACCATTTTTAATGGGAAAATCCACTATTAATGGCCATTTTCAATAGCTATGTTAAATTACCAGAGGGTACACATGTTTTCATTCAGTTGCTTGATTCGAGCGCCGAGCGCTGGCCGTATTTTGTCAGACCCCATCGAAACAATTGAGCCATGAAAAACATCCCTTGTTGTACCGATTGTACTGGCCGGTCAACAGATATTTCCCTTACCCATAGGATCCATGTATGCTATATATATATATGGTGACATTTACCATCAATATACCCCAAATGTTAGCATATATACCATACATGGATCCTATGGGTTATGAGTTTCAATGTTAAAATCATTCTGCTCTAAGAATCTAATTAAGGCGTTAATACATGTTAATACTGTAACTTGTAATATCTTGCGACTGTATAACCCACTAGAATCACCCACTAGTCCGCGCTTCTGTATCAATAATCCCCCTGCCATGCCCTGCCAGGCCCCCTACTGTGAGCGTCTTTCGCAGAACCTTAGACGGAGTGGATCCAGAGCTTCAGTCAACATCTAACCAACAACATATGGCGTTATATAACTATAGCGTATAGCTAAATCTAATCATATATATATAAGATTCATCAACATGTTTTTTTCCATCTAACTAACAAGTTCAAGAGTCCATTTTGTTCAGGTGGCTTGATTATGGTCGATTTCTACAACCTCCAAGGAGAGCCGAGGATTTCCCCCCTGTCATATTCTGGTTGGTGAAGCCACGCATATGAACGGACCAGATATCATTGGCATGATCTTAAACGAACAACTGTTCAGTAGTAGCGTGAGCAACAAAGTGTCGATTTCAGTGACAAGCATGAGCTACGAGTCCAATGTTGAAATAGGAGCCTTCCGCAAACCATCAGTGAAGGCCAGGATTTGTTGCGAGGCAACCAGCCAATCAACAAATAATCAATAAATCAATGATTCATCAAAAAATCATGGATTCTTCAATATCAATGACTTGTTGCTTTGCAAAATGAGCATCAGTGAATCACACACTTCTATTCCAACGAATGGGCTTTTCGGTCATCCTGGGGATTTCCCAGTGACTTGGGATGCAAAATCCCAAAATCTGGTGACTTGGGGATGGTTTATTGATGGGTTTACCACATTAAGATGAAGCCAACTTTTTCCGGGATGACCATCGACGTTTCTTAGTTGGAGGGTTCACAACTTCAGCTGCATGGATTACCAGGAATCTTCCGGTGGCTTCTGAGTCCAGAAAATCGAATCCCCTTTCTCAGCATCATTTCTGATCAAGCTCGATGATCCCGGATGCCCTTGGCGCCAGGACAGGCGCGTTCTTGGAGCCTTTCTTTCCCTGAGCCACGATTCGTGATTTGAGAATTCTCAACCGATATAGAAAGGTATTGAAAAGGTTCAAATTGTCAGGATTTTTAGAGGGACTTTACTTTTCTAAGGGGGTGACTATTGTACTTATAGTTATTATAGAATTATACTTATTATGTACATTCAAAGGGCATGGGACTGCAACTGTGGAAAATGGCTTCCACAATGCCGATTGGCTTGACCATAGAATCAATCGCGTCCCGCCGTCCCGCCTTTTTCTTGAGTGTTGTTGATTCACCCATTGGTTTCATCCCCAATGAATGGTTCATCTCCATTCGAAGATCATTTCCTCATTTTGAGACACACAAAAATTGATCGTCGTTGATTCACCACCCGAAGGACCCGAAGAACCCTCCCCTTTTTTCCTCCCGGTCTTTACTGAAGCTGCGATCGAAAACGCCGTGCGCCTTAGAGGTCTGCTCTCTCTTCAACTGGCGTCTCACGAGGTTTCAATGGATTGGTGGGAAAAGTTACGGTTGACACCTCCACAAAAAACATAGGAAAAACATACCGAAAAACCCTGGCTTGGCCTCTTGGTTTTCCATGGTTTTCCCTTGAACCGAGCCAAAGAACCATGATTTTTCCATGATATTTTTGCCACTTAGATTCATTAAAACCCATGGTTTGAGATGGTTTGTCTAAAATATTCCCGTAGAAAAAGGTAGCGCACATCCGAAAACACATCCGAAAACGCCGCTCGTACACAACGGGGGCTTTTCTTACGATGGGACTCTGCACACTATGCCTCTGGTAATTTGACTATGGTAGCTATGGCCCTCTCAAAATGGTGATTCTTCTGTAGCTATGTTAAATTGCCAAAGATTTAAAAAATAAAAGGTGATTATAAAAGGTTATTATTTATATATATTTATATGATTTCATCATGGTATGAATGGATACGACTCATGAAGCTCACAACCCGGAACCCCAATAGATCTGACAGTCCTACAGTAGCTCGTTTGTAGTGGAACATGTGGAACATGTGGAACATGCCCTACAACATACCCTCTGGTAATTTAACGTAGCTATTGAAAATGGCCATTTATAGTGGATTTTCCCATTAAAAATTGTGATTTTCCATAGTTATGTTAGTTGACCAGAGGGTAGTGCCCTGAAATGCTCGGGTTAATGATCAGTAAATTAACATAGACCCTGCCAGATAGGGGTTGGAAGATTAGTTTCCATGACAAATTGGTGATTTTCAGGGTCTATGTTTATTTACCGGAGGGTCATCATCAGTGTCCCTATTCTTCAATGATTTAAGATGATTTAACATTGCCATTTGGTGGGTATACCCCATGTTGAGAGAAACCCATATGACTGGCATATCCAACGACCAAAAGTTACGATATCCAAAAATGAGGGCAAAAAAAGGTCGTCAGGCGAGGACCCACACTCCACCATCAACTCATGTATTTGAGCATTCATGTTTAGACATAATATGTATAATTACATGACCATATCATATAATATCATATAAAATCATGTCATATAATATGATATTATAATATATTATACATACATGTAATGCTGTTAGTCATGTCAACATCCCTCTACGCACTGGTTGTAGTCACCTCTCCACTGTACGTTCCATACACCATTTTTTCGCTCTCCAAAGATGTATCGTATCATCTCCAACCTACGGTAAATCCTCTTCCAAACGCCAGTAATAAGCATCATCACAAATAGTGGCACACAAACATAGTAAACAGTGGTTGACACACAAAGCACTAATATAACCATAAGATATACCTCGATAAAATGAACATGAGTTTCTATGTCTGTACCATTCTATACCAGTATCTCATATATTACGACATTATATGATGGACATACGATGGTTACCACATCATTCTACCAGGAATTGACCGCTGTTTACCATCGATGGCCCGTCACATTCCCTTTCGGCCTCATGGAGTGACCGATCTGTCACATAGCAGGCGAAGGCCTGCGCCAGTCGATTCATGCCTGGACGAAGTTTTTCGCGATGCGATTGGTGGTCAGATGTTGATGGATTTTCTACAAATTGGGAAAAATGATGTAGGATGATGTAGGAAATCAAGCTCCTGACTTAATATCCAGAACACAAAATGTTCAACAATTAATACGATTGGATACAATTGGTGGATTTTGTTGGGGAGAAAAGTGAGAGACAGGAAGTCAAGAAGCCCAAGTTTGGACCAGCGCCTTTTGCGATTTTTTGGGCCATGGGTTCTGGAAAGGAAACCATATTGTGATTGGAGAGATACCCAATGACTTAAGCTAGATTCCTTTTCTAGGTTTGTCAACTTGTATTATCAATTATCTTTTAGTTTGTTTAAAATCACGTTATAATATATATATATATATATTATGTATGTGTAGATACAGTATATATATATTATATTATATACGATATATTATATATTATATATATCATATATATTATATATATTATATATTATATATATATAATATATATAATATATATTATATATATTATATATTTTTTATATATAATATATATAATATATATTATATATATTATATATATTATATATATATTATATACATTATATATTATATATATTATATATAATATAATATATATATATATATTATATTACATATATTATATTATATATATAATATAATGTATATAATATATAATATATATATATTATTTATTTCCTTATATGTTGTGCATTCTGCACTGCCAGTGTTCATTCATTGGTAGCTCAACTCAAACCCTAACAAATTCAGATCGGTCGCTTCCAGATGAAAATTGTAAAGCATCTAATGAATCTAACGTGGTCAGCCTTACAAAATACCAGATGAAAATTGTAGCACATCTAATGAATCTAATGTGGTCAGCCTTACAAAATACCAGATGAAAATTGTAGCACATCTCATGAATCTAATGTGGTCAGCCTTACAACATATTATATTTATATATAGACATGTATTAAAACCATCCCCAAACATAACAAGCATAAATGGCTGGGATCTTATTACCATCCCCAAATGGCTTCCGTCGCGAAAAAAAGTCTGCCCGCCCGCACCATCCGCACCTTTGAAGACATCCTTCTCAAAGCGATACTTAGGAACAGTGCTCCTGCACCAAGCATCACAGGGCCATTTGGAGTGCTGGTGATGTGAAGATCTTTCCAGAGGTTTTTGCAGGAGAACGTTTTCAAGTTGAGAATAGCTGATAGCGTCTGGCAACGTGGGGTTCCAACGTTTTAGTTCTGTTCTGGTTTTCGGGGCTGACAGGAAAAACCCAGACGCTGACCACAGATTCTTTCTCGCGCGCGGACCGAAGGGCTGGTTGGGATTCACCGAAAATTTATGGTAAACCCATGATGGCTTTGCCTGAAAATAGGGCACCCCAAAAATCCACACCACTTCATCACTTTTCCAATAGAAATCACAAATTTGGGGGTTATGCCCCATTTTCTGACCTACCCTGATGTTGTTGTTCCGCTCAATCGTCATCGTCGTCCATGTTGGTCATCGCCGGCTTCTCTTCATCATCGTCATCATCCTGGCGGCGATGCAACTTGGAGGATGTGCGATGCGCTGCTAGGGCTGCTAGGGCGGCAGCCAATGCCCATGGAAGCCCTCCATAGTTCACAATGAGCCATAGCTGGATATGGGATGATCATCCCAAAAAATCCCAAAAATATCCCGCGAATACTGGGATTATATACGTTATATATATATATGGGTTTTGGCCCACTGCCGTTTGATTTTGATATGTCATTGATATGTCCACCTGATCAAAAATATCGCGACTACTCATAGACCTGCCATTTTCCTGAGATACACTACCTATGCGTACCTCACATTTCTGTTGTCAAATTCAATATTAGGCTTGGTTTGATTTGGAGAAAATCTTACTCTAACCGGAAACCATGGGATTATCCCATTGTTCCAATTGTTCCATCAAATATCATGATAACCCCCCGAGATTTTCCCAAAGCAAGCAATTGATTAGGATCTCTTGTGTGTTTCAACATAGACTTACTATCAGCTAAATGACTTAAAGTACACCCCCAAACAAATAGAAAAGTAAACCATTACTATTTTAGTAGGATTTGTTTGTTCTATCTTTAAAAACAGTTTAGTTTAAAAGTAAGTCGCGACTCTTCCCACAAGTACCTTGAAGCCTTGGATGATCCATCAATTCCAACGGATGCCTATCATGTTTGTCTCATGAACGTGGTACATAACGAGAATGAGAACGCTTCAATGGCAAATGAATTAAAATCTATAGCAGATGTTTTCTCTATCAGTTATCATTCCTCACATGCGTGATGTATAGACTGTATAGAATGTATAGAATGTCAAATAAATAAATCCACGTACAGACAGGAATGCCCGATGTTCCGTTCAAAGTATTTTGGACAACTCCTGGGGATAAGCCAAGTTCCTCTCCCTCAGGTTGGGTGTATGAACCCAACGTCCCAACCTTATTGATGGTGGTGAATGAGTCCAACAATATCCAAAAATATCCAACAATATCCAACAATATCCAACAATATCCAACAATATCCAACAATAATACAGTCGTACAACTTACATGAATTTCTTATTCTTGGATCCTGGATATGTAATTATATGTACGTAATTATCCCATTCATATGATCCTATTAATGTAATGAACATCCCATGAACAAACCCAAGTCCCCAGCGGCGCCTTTGCTTTCTCCCTCTTTCGCTTGCCCTGCTTCGCCTTGGCCTTGGCCTTGGCTTCCTTGGTCAAGTGGTAGAAATCTATGGGATGTCTTCCAAAAAAGATGAAAAACACATGGACACCTATAAGTCATCATTAAAATATCATGAACATATCATCAAAGTATCATCGGAATTGTAGTTTTCATATGTTTTCATCACATTAATCTATAGATTTTCAGGATTAGATGGTCTACTTTTCAATGGGGAAATACATCGGAAACGGCAGGGGCTTTTACATTAAATGGTCCCAAATAAGTGTAAAACCCCCCCCTTCTAAACCATGGTTTCGATTGGGGGTGTTTCATATGAACGGGAGAAGGGATTAGCAATATTGATTAGCAGTTAGAATTTGCTTCCCCTGAGACTTGGGTACCTCTTCTTCCATCAAACATACGGGATATGTGGGGCTGCTAGTGCTGATAAGGATTAACCTCTGCATCAAATCAAATCAAATCCATCTTAGGCTGCCCAAACTGGATTTGCTCAGAAACCGTCTATGAACCGTGGAGATTTCCCATGGATTTCGGGCAGTTCAGAACTGAAACATCTTCCCAAGAGGGTTTTTGCCGTGTCTGGTGGATGAACCCCCCATTTTTGCCATGATTTTTCTTGGTGAAATCCTTCTGCTTCTTGATCAGATCCGACATGTTTGTTGATGAAACCCCATCAAACGGTTCTAATCTTTGCCGGATCAGCTGAAGCTAACTCCGCAGACTCGCCAGACTTGCCAGACTCGGCAGCCATGTCTCCAGCCGAGCATTGCGTTCCTTGAGCTTTTGACGCTGTCGTGCGCGTTCTTGGAGCACCTGAAACCCCAATGGCTTTCTGGGGGATTCCGAAGAGACGCCCGGGCTTTCGAGGCCAGGCCCGGGCGTGGGTATTCAAGCAGTGGAAGCATGTCAAAGTTGACATCATCCATTCAAACATGTAAAATAGTATATTTTTAAAAAAGTGTAAAAGAATGTAAAAGATCAACCCCCCCAAAATGGTGCTATTTGGTTTTTAAAAAAAACTGTGGACCTAGAGTCAGAGCCAACAATTTGTGTATTTCCCTTTCCCAACGTTGGGACTCAAAGTTTGGCGAGGTAAACTACCGCCGGACTCAGTGGATTCTAGGACTCCGTAGCGAGATGAGCTTCCCGTCATGGCTTTTGATCCATGGCCATCTATCATAGTTCAGTGAATCGACATGAAGTGATGCATTCACTTACTGGTGCTTAGCAGGGAATGAGGGAATGATCGACAATAACTATCTTCCCATCCATTCCCTACGTTTAGCACCAGTAAGTCAATCACCCAGAAATGGATTTGCACCGACCTGTCCCGTAGATTTTGAATGCGGCTACTCCAAAGCCCCTTGGATATCAAGGTCATCTGGGTCATCTGCCAATCTGCCCATCTGTCCAGCGAATGAGCAAAAAATAGCAGGGTGATGCCCCGGATCAATAGACCCCAAGGATGCTTGTATTATGTTGTATTGCTGGGGGCTTGGTGGCTTAGTTAATCATACGCATAACTATTAACTAACCCTAGTATTCATAGTGTTTCCCTGCAGGTCTTCCTCTGTCCGACGGCCACAAACACCGGCGCTTTGGGCGCACGCCTGCTGTTGCGAGGGAGTCTTCGTCAGGAAGCGGTGGTACATCACACCTGAGTCGCGGGACAACGAGCTACTTGGGGCCCACTTTGGGCATCCCACTTAGAAAGCGCTTGAGATCCCATATGCAGAAGAACCCATTGATAAGCCATTTATAGAAGAAATAGAATAGATAAGCCATCTATCATATAACCCATATAGAACCATATAGAACCCACAGATGACAGATGACCATTCAATAACCCAAATGTACTACAACTGAGTGAACTAACATGGCTGTTACCCACTTCTGAACTGGATTCAGCCTTTTCCCCCTTCAAACAAGAAGAGATGAATCACCAGCCGCATGGGCTTGGCCAGGAGTGAAGCATCCAGAACATGGTCCATGTCACCAACTGTCAAGCAAGAATCAATGCTTTTCATGAGGGTACTGAAGAACGTCATCTGGAAATTAATTATATATATATATGATAAAAAGCGGTTGTTGTTGTTTTTCGAAAAGGAAATTCCAGCTATTCATCTTGAAACTTGATCAAAAAGGCAGGGCATGCCCTGCGTGGCCACACTTTGCATTCCAGATGAGGATGGTGTTGTTTCAACTCACTTCTAAGGGTCATCCCTGGCCTCAATGTCACTCTAGTTACTCTAGTGACCCAGGGTGCAAAGGCACAAACTTCATACGATTACATGGATGAAGAGCCCTCATTGGGGGCATGATGAAGCCTGACGGCATAAAAGGCAAACTGCGCGTCTGTAGGAAACAGCGTACATAGCAGTCTCCTCCTTTTTTGTCGTACACTTGAAAACTTGAGATGCCAACCCATCCCCAAAATCCCAAAGTACTAGTCAATTGTCATACTTCAGTTCATCATCTGGGGAGATGCTGAGGATGGAAGAGTCATAGCATCCAAAGACAGAGGGCGCACAGAGTCGGTTGCTTCAAACCCGCACGGGAACTCGGCGATTAGGGATAATGATCCCATAGCTGATATGTTGAAATAAAGCAATTTTGCACACTTGTGGCTGGACTCTGTTTTGTAGGATTGATAATAAGTCATACGTAATAATCAAATATATATATATACATATATTCATACTTGAAACCCAGGTGGTATTGATTGTTCATCATTATTTTTTTCTTTGTACCCCCCTGGCTCATCAAATTGCACCAAGCTTCCACCAGTGCATACCCCCTCTTCTGCCTGACCATGGATGGGAAGTCTTGAGGCCAACCGCCCAAGGTGACCATCCCCAAAACGATCCATCAGCTGAATCATGAAGTCCACGGACAGCATGGTTTGGGGCCAAAATCACCCTAGAGTGTACCCATCATTTCTTGGCTTTATATCTTCACTTTAGTTGATTAAAACTCCCTAGTTTTTTCAGACTATATCATTCTATTCACCTCATATATTGTTTATACCTCCACTTCTGTTGCTGAAATTCATCCCAATTCGCTCGTTGTATGCCCCAAAGAATGGACTAGATTACGCTAAGCATTAGGTTCTATCAGTTTCCTTTCCTTTAACAGTTGGTCTACCCGAATATCCTACATATCTGTAATTTACATTGGTTGGCAACACCATTTTTTGACGGTTAATCTACGATATGTTGTTGTTTAAACCGTAATTTCAAGAGGCCCCCTGGTTGGCTAATTTGGTTTTATAACTGCAATAACTAGGCTTTATGGTAGCTATAGTGACCGTGAGATGCGATGACAACCAAAGCTAAAACTAGAGTCCACCCCATTATTATCCCATACATTTCCACACATAACCCTAAAATGATCCCATCATTTTCCAGAAACCCATTTAGATATCCCATTACTATACCATGTCGCCTATTAAAAAGAAAAATGATTGTACCCATTGATCACCATCAATATCCCAAAAAAATATTGGTTAATCAATGGTTGGTCGCCACTTTTGACAGTTTCCCCCATGTTTTGTGGTTCGGTCTCGGCCTTGATCAACAGCAAGCGCAGTCGAGGACCAGCTTCTGAGAGGCGCACCGCCACGCGGCCACTTCTCAAAGACCCAGGGATCTGCGGCACGGCGGGCCCCTGGAGGGCCCCTCGGGAGGATTGCAGGGTCCTCGTGGTAACTGGGATGGGAACTTACTGCAATAAAAGAGGAACCCTTCAATATATGGAAGTTTCCTGAAATGGGGGTAGGCCCCTAAATCATCAATTTTATATCATAGATTCATAATAGGACTTTCCACTGTAAACCAAGCATTTTCGGGATCCCCCATTTATGGAAATCCCGAAATCCCCATATACCTTAGGATTCTCCACAGAATTCTGATCAATCTGGTGCTTTTTTAAGTGTTCCGCGTTTGAAAAATACCTCTCAGAAAATGAGCCACTGACCATCACTGACCATCACTGACCTATCAGAGGTTGAGGTTTAGGTCAGCTCCATGGGATCCCAAATCAGCTGGTTCTTCATGATTTTTCCATATTTTTCCTATTCAAAATTGGATATTTATGGATATTTGGGGCTATCCCTCAGACAAGAGAAAATGGGAGAAGATGATTCTGCCATTCTTGCGGATACAAGCTCGCGCATCATCAAGTTTACTCTCAGAGCTTTGACGAACACCCTGTGAATCTGCCGTTCCCTCATGATAACCTGGAGAAAACCATAACGAAGCACAATTCACAATGGCTTGCGCAGGCTTTTTGCATCCCAAAGTGCGTTCAGCCAATGTTCAACTGTTACACGTGCAGGTCATCTGGTTCCTTTGAGACGACATTCAGCATGACTCGACTGGAGCAAACTGAGCTAATCGCTCACGATGTTTAATTCGCTCGCACAATGCCTGCACTCACCGCAAGCTTCTCACCTTGGAAACGAGATTCAACTTACGCCTATCCCATCCGATTATGTAGATCCTTCTAGGTTATTCATCAACCAAGTATAATGTTGTAGCATTTATATATTACAATGTTGAATAGTATCAGTATGATAATCCACATGGGTGTTCATTGAAATGGGGGATCCCCAAAACCATGGGTTTCAATACTCAGTCATGGTCATCCATGACGACTGGATGAAATACTGGGGTAATCTGGGGTACCTCCGTTTTCGGAAACCTATACAGATTAACCATTTGGGTGATTAAAACGTATCCTTATTCTGGGTTACAATATTCCCAGTAAACCTGGTAGTTTTTGACGCACAACTGGTGGACACACTCCACTGTGGAGCTCCTGTTTTCGGCATAGCTTTCCGAACCAAGGGTGCTGTTCCAGTGCCTCAACAAAAACAATATAGGAAACCACCATATCCCATGATATGAATCCGTAGATATCCATAGATATGATTCCACAGATCTCCATAGATCTCCATAGATCCGAAGCTGACAAGGGACTCATCAAGACGATCGATGCTTTCGTCCTCGTCGTCGCACATGGAGGTTGACTCCTTGAGAGTCAGTCGGAAGATCCATGCGCAACGTCGAATTCCGTGCTTCTTCTCCTGGGAATGGAACTTGGGATTCCCAAAGCACCTCCGGCAGATCATCAACCGTAGTATACCGTTGCTTTGATCCAATGATATCCTCATGGATCGTTTCCCAGATTCTTTGGGTCCAACTCCCTCAACTTAGACCTGAATCACTGAATCCCCCGTTTGAAAAATGGGTGATATTGGGTGTAATTCCACCACAGTTTTGGTCTAAATCCCTGTTTAAGTGTTTGGGTTATATCACGCTAACCCTCTGGCAATTTAACATAACTATGGAAAATCATTACTTTCATAGGTAAACCATCATTTTTATCATCTACAAACGCGCCATTGTCCATAGCAAACTGTTAAGTAACCGGAGGTAACCACTATATAATTATATAAACCATCATAAACCATTCTTAGCCAGGATTTGTCCCTATTCAAAGCTTATCAAACCATTATGAAGCACCATTCAACAGCTCCAATACGAACCCTATCAGACCATCACGAATCACCATACATGAACCACATTAATCCATTGTGACATATTGTAACCATATATACCATCTGGTTATTTAACATAGCCATGGAAAATGCCCCATTTATAGATGGTTTACCTATTAATAGCATGGTGATTTTCGATTTTCCATGGCTATGTTAAATAACCAGATAGTAAACTATATAAACATACAGTAGGTATGGTTTTGATATTGTTTGATCTTGTCTTTTTTTTCACGCCGAAACGTCCCCCAAACGCGTCCTCGCCCTTCACCACGTAGCCGTGCTTTTGTAGCATCTCCGTCGCAGCGGTCACCTCGGAGGGAGTTCAGCTTTCACCGACAAGACATCCATGGGTGAATCTACATCAATGGTAAATAGTCCAGTCCAGTGGCAAGTGAGTCTGTTCCAAATGGGAGTCCATTTAATAGTCCAGTTACAAGTGGACAAGACTTTTAATATTGATTCATCATTGATAAACCATCAGTAGATTAGTCATTGATTAGCAAAAATATACCTGATTACCTGATAGTTTTTCTCACATCTTGGTTGACCATGGTTGACATTAACATTTGTTTATCTGATGGTTAACCACGATATTGACTAATATTATATAATCTACTAATGGTTCATATTAGTTAATATGTTGATTAATATATCTGATGGTTGATGTCTTGATGGGATTCTCCTTGATGGTAAAGACATCAATGGGTTAGTATATCCCATTCACATCAGTACTTCAATGTCATAAACCACCTATGTAAAGTGGTGGTTTGTAAAGTTTATACCACCCATGAAATTTGTAAGGCTTGGGGATGGTGGATCCTATTGCTTTACTAACATTCATCACCGTTATGAACCATGAATCACCCAGTAATGGTCATTATTAACACGCTCATCACCCAGTATATAGCCATTATTGTATATGATATATGGCTGAATTCCAATAATTCACTCACTTGAAAATATCTTAAAATGACGCCAGAAAAATAACGTCAAGGTGAGGTCATGAAAGAAATCATCCAGATCAACTGGTTTTGAGAAAATGCCTTATCTTATATATATATATATTAATGATATCAACCACAAATTAATCTCAGAAAACTCGTTCTGACCACGTTCGACCGGAACAAGAGATCAACCACAAAGTGCTGTCAGTAGATTGATCTATTAAAATGCCTGAATTTGGGATTGACCCCAAGTATTTGCGGAAAATGATGAAAAAAATCCAAGTATCACTTCAACACCGAAGGGATTTACCAGGAGAGTTTTTGAACAGCCTGGATTTACCAAACAGATTTGAAAGCATACCCGGGTATTTGGAAGGAAAAATGCTGCTATTTAACCCCAACGGGCCCAACCAAACATAACTAGTTGGTGGTTTCAACCCCTCTGAAAAATATGAAAGTCAGCTGGGATGATGAAATTCCCAATATATGGAAAAATAAAAACCATGTTCCAAACCACCAACCAAACATCAATGATGCATACGTTGGAAATTGCCAAGAAAAAAGAAACAAATCTTGTCCCAGCAACAGCAACATCGAACCAGTTGTCAGGGATCCACCGACAAAAGCGACAAGGAAAACTTGCGGGTAGAGTTGAGGTTATTAATGGCTACGCTACTACGATCATGTGACGACTTACAACTGTGTTTCTGCACCCCCACTTGGGGGAATCGGGAATCATATATATTTATGAACCCACGCCAGAATTGATGGAGTCTGGGGAAGCCAACTCGTTATTTTTTTCTTGGATTCGTTTTTAAGGGCTCCAGCAAGTCACAACTGCTTCCATTTTGGTGTCATGGAAGAGCCCGTTCTTGTCATCGAAGAGATTGTCAATGCCTGGGCAACTCTCGAAGATAGCTAAGTTGGTTTATAAGTGGCTTAACAATGGTTTATGGTAGATATAACTATAGCTAATGGGGTTTATAATGGTTTGATTCTCTGGTAAATTAACAGTTCGACCCTGGCAGTTGTCGGGGTTGGAAGACGAATGTTTCCATTAAAAATTGGTGATTTTCAGGGTCTATGTTTATTTACCACAGGGTAAATCCCCCAATGGTGATAGATTTTACATCTATCTCGGTGTCAGTTCCCTCTTCAGAGGCTTGTTCCAAACGGCCACCCGATACCTTTGGGTGGCCAAAATCGGTAGATGGCTATCGGTAACACGTTCCCTCTGTGGCTATCATGTACCTACAATAGACCTGGAGCACCCCAGTTTGATTGGTTTTAACACATCCTTGGATGTTTGGGAATGAGTTTCCTATAGTAATGATGATGGTTTTAGGGATAAGTCACCCTAAGTCTTGGGGATGTCATATACAACTGTCAATATCCCATATTTGAATCATGATCATAGCGAAGTTGATCAAGGACTAAAGTTAACTGTGTACTTCATGTTTCAGTTTCATATATCCACAGTTGGATGATTATAACTGGATTGGACTCATAACTTTCTAATTCATATTGAGGTCATAAGCCGTGTTCGTCCAGTGTTCGTCATGTATTGTACTGGTTGATAGGGATCCCCCCCATGGATGATCATCGGCCAACAGAGGTTTTGTAGCCAACATAATCCACACAGAACCCTCACATAATCTACATCGACCTACATAATAAATCATGAGAGGACTGTTATAATCACCAACACATAATTAGTTGAGATTTAGTTCATAACTCACATAATCCCTATGATTTTTTTTTCTTGAATGATATAGCTTGCATCATGCAAATATAACCACTGCTAGTAGAATCCCATTCGTCGAAATGTTTTTTCAATTACCATCTGGTCATTTAACATAGCCATGGAAAGATCCACCATGCTATTAACAGGTAAACCGGTAAACCATCTATTTCTATGGGCCATCTATACCATGGCCATGTTAGTCATAACCAGAGGGTACATCCCATATATGTTTCCCACTGAATCACTATAAAATCCCATCAAAATTTCCCATTAAATCCCATGTAGATATCCCATTTATAGATGCTTTACCTATATGTTTCATGGTTAAACCATGCTGAAACCACCTTAAAACATCCACATCGAACTGCGACCGGTGACCGCGGGGATGTCTTTTGGTGCTGGTCAACCGAGCGGCGAAGCACGACGTCTTCGTTGCCCTTCGCCAAGGCCTTTTTTCGGAGGGCGGAAACAAAATGTGCTGTTCGAAACAGATTGGAAACCAGTTTTGGAACCCAACTTAGAAAGATATATGTATATATATATATATATATATCGAATATGGAATAGAAATCTAGAAACTCAGATTTGGACACCTGTAATATGGGGTTGAATTAGAAACATGTAGGCATATCAGAATAGATATGGACTGTAAAAAACTATAATCACTATTATTCACAGAAGCTGTTAGAGACCAACCTATGGTTATTGTGAATGGGAATATTGACTATACTTGAATGGAGTGGGGTATAGTTACTATATAGTATAGGTATGTATAGGTTATAAATGGTTATAAGATGTATATAACTGATACAGTAAAAAGGCGGCTCTATTTGTTTTTTTCGAGGACCTCCAGTGGATTGCCCAACAATGGGGCGTGGCGCATTTGGCGTCTGACAAATTTATATGTGTATACACATAGTATATTATATATACATATCATGTACATATATATATGTATATATATATATGGGGGTGTCTGAAAATAGGATACCCCGAAACCATCCAAGACCCAACGCTTCATGATGATCATGGTTGATAAAATCATTGTCCCGCTTCATCCCACATTCTCAAAGCCCAAATGGCAGGATCATCCTCCGAGGGACCAAGGACTCTTGCATCTTTTGCAGGAGTTCTTGCACCAGCGTCATGGCTGCCACCTGGTTTTCGAGTTATGAACTCGACTTTTTGGGGAGATCATGGGAAAAAAGAATGGAAAAAAGAATGGTTATTATATAATTACTGGTATATAATTACCAGTAATTATTAAGTATGTATATATATATATTAATAATGCTTCTTCTCAAGGGGATTATCTATTGGATTTCTAATATATAATTGGGACATCTCTATAGCGATGATTTGAGCTGTGTCTCTCGTCGGGTTTGTCCCAGGTTTTTTTGCTTACTAGGCAGTGATGAATCGGGGGATATGTGGGATGATGTCCCAAAATTGGAAGTTGATTCAAATGAACCATGATGCTCGAAAATTTTCACACCTCCATTTTGCTTGATAGGGCCATTTCCTAATTTCCCAATTGCCATGTCAGATTGGGAATCTGCAGAATCCCAGTGCTTGTTGTCCTTATCATCCCAATATCCAGTCTCCCTGCTAGCCTTAAAGGTCAGTTTTTCACGGCGACCCGCCTCGTTCTGAGCCGATTGCTGCCGTTCAACACACTCCTGGTCCATTGGGAAGTGAGATGTGATCCCCCTGGTGGTCAAACGTGGCTAGGGAAAATCCATGGGAAATATGGGAACATATGGGGATGGGTCAAAACCCTGGTACCTAGTGAACCCCAAAATAGCTGGTAAATGGATGTTCATCCCACTAAAAATGGTATGTATAGGTATTGATCCATAGCCATATTGGAAAAAATCATCTAGCAATAGGGAATTTTCAACTGCCACGTTTCATAGGGTATAAGATCTTCCTACAAGTACGAGACATCGCGACATCGCAGGAAAAAAAACCAGTTCCTCTCCCAGAAATGTGTTGAGTACGCCGAGCAAATCAGGTGATTTCTGTAGCTGCTGCTGGTCATGGGACTGCACTTCCCAGTAATCTTCGGAGCGATCAGCGATCAAGTCCCTCTCGAGGGACTTCCATGTCTTTGGGGATTGATGGTAAATTTTTGTAGCCCCAAGTCATCGATAAAAATGATTTAAAAAAAAAAAACATTGCAAAGCTGGAACTATAGGTAAATGTCATCTATCCCGAGAAACACCCAGGTTCCGGCATTTTTTGGGGCTGCTGGCTGCACTTTTTTCATGGACCATGGGAACCCGAGCCAAGCATACCCGTGGGCCCATAGGGTTTCATGGAGAAATGCCGCTGATTTAAGATGTTGCTATGGAAAAAAAATGAACATCAATGAACATCAATGAAAATCAATAAACATCAATGAACATCAATGAACATAGTATATAGGTAAAACATGAAAATAGATGGGCCATGGCAGCCATGGCTTCCATAGCGAGCCTAAATTGCCAAAGGGTAAAGCCCATCTAAGCCAAGCCATTCATGATGACATGTGGCCAAAGAATGAAAGAAACACCTGTCCTGTTTGATGTCTTTCAAGGTCCTGTAGAATCCTCAGTAGGCATTTATTCGGACATTCGTGGGTTCCCTGGGTGTAAGTCAAGGAGGACCTTGTGACCTTGTGTTTATATACATGGTAATCCTGGAATAGATAGAATGGGAAATGAAACCACCTCACTACGAAGGGACGAATTTGGACATGTTGCATTGGGGGTGATAAATGTTGACCCAGATCGAAATAGTCACATACCCGAATCATATTACACAGCCCCATTTTATGGTCCCAGTCATATGTGATTTCATCCGCTACTAAACCATTGTTTCTGGGGGGTGTTTAACATTGAGATGGGATTAATGACTATATTTATATTACCGACTGTACAGCAATACAAATGAGGTTTCTACATGTTCCAGCTCTGCTTTCTACAAATGAGCGTCCTGAATTCAGAATACTTCGCTGGGTATTCTATTCCCGTGTGCACAGGAATCTACCCAACCAAAATACCAAAAATTATACCTAGATCATCTTAATCTGGGGCTTTCTTGAAATGGGCAATCCTCCTTGGTTCCCATGGCTTTCAATACTAAAATGGTCTAATGATTTGGGTGAAAGGCACTTTAGGAAACCCCCTTTTTTATCAATCCTCCTTTTGCCCACCTTGCCAACACTGTAAGCACACTGGCTCACCAGAGCACCAAGAAATGCTGGTATTTGAATACTGTCATGACTGGTGCGATGGAAACGGAAGAGACTGCACAATTTAGGTCGATAACGAAACTGGTTGGTGGTTGAGCCACCCCTCTGAAAAATGATGGAATGAGTTCGTCAGTTGGGAGGATGACATTCCCAATATGATGGGAAAGTATGGGAAAGTCATAAAAGCGTATAAAAGCCATGTTCCAAAGCACCAGGAAACATAAAGAAACTGACGAATGTGGGCAACCCTGGCTGCCATAAACCGACCACTGGGGATGGTTTCTTAACCCATCAAAATGGCGATGATTTGATGATGGTTGATGACATTGGGTGTGCCACAGCAGCAAGCTCTGCAAGCAGTTTTTTTTTGTTGCGCTTAATCATAGGTAATAGCTCCTCCCAACATGGATGTTCATTAGCTTGAACGACCTGGAGTCTCAACTGATGAACCATGTTTTTCTTGCCAACCGGAACAAGCACAACCCGAGTTCAGTCGAGAAGCGGTTCGCGCAACATAAACTTTCCATCAGCGTGGGTTGTTCACGTTGGATGGGTAGATCGTCTGGCAGCTGGAAGAAAGCACCTGTCATCATGGTCATCTTCTGTGATCTTTCAACTTGAAAGAGGCTGGCCATCACTAAGTGACTAATTTCCAACAACGAATAGTTAGGTCTACAGTAACTATTTCATGACCTTTTTTCCTTACATGACTGTGTCTGAACGTGCGGGATTTATGGTTTTTTAATCTAACCTGCCCAAAATTGCCATTCGGACGGAGACATGTTGAATTTTCAGACACATCCACACGTTCCCTTTCACACATCCTTCGGAAAAAAAAACAAAAACGCAAAACAGGTTCGTTCTGCGGAACAATCTATGGCGTGCATTTTTCCTGACCAAGACCATGACTCATATTTCATACTCCCATGACTTTGGACCGGGTGGTGCTAACTGGCGAAGTTGAACTACACCTCCACATAGAGCCACTGGAAAGCATGATATGTATGATGATTTCATCCTGCAATCAAACAACCACGTGAACTTCCCATTTTCAGAGGTAAATCAGGTAATTTTAGGTAACAATAAGCGTGAATTGGCCATTGCCAGTGCAGCCAGTGCACCCGATTCATGCACCAGTGATATCCAAGTAACTGTTTTATTGTTGGTTGGTTGTTTTACATATATATATATGTATATATATATATATATGGATTCATCCCCCATGAAATATCCCCATCGTATCCCCATAATGATTGGTTTTCTACGACAGTCATGTCGGCCTTTAAGATGTTCAAATGGTTGACTCCCAGTTTGTTGCGCTAATCCCGTTATGCTAACGTGACTATAATTGTTGCTTATTTTTTTCTAAAAAAACATATATCATGGATCCCAGCTCAGAATTTCAACTCCAATGAACTGCAAAAAAACAGTTAAGCTGACCATGAAAGCCCTAAAAAGGACTGACACATCCACCATTTTTGTTGGAACGTTCCCCGCTTTTACCACGAGGCGCAGTCCCGTCGCATCTCAGCGAGGCTGATGCTGTGCGGCAGCAGGATGGAGCCATAGCGATACCTTGCCGAGGGATGATGGGAGATATATGGGATATCAATGGGATATATGGGATATACCCGGCCTGGTAAACATACAAAAAGCTATTGAACATGGCCATAGAAATAGTTGATTTGCCCATTAAAAATGGTGATTTTATTGGTGATTTTCCATAGTTATATATATGGGATATCAATGGGATATATAGATGGGATATATATGGATATATGGGATACAATGGGCTTGTGGTTGAACATGTCTAAACTTAAAAATTGGGTACAAAAACACCCCAAAAACATGATGTAAATCTCAATTGCTCCTCAGGGTCCTACCAAGAGAATCAGGACTTATGCTCTCCATTGTGCCAGTAACATCCAGCATTTGGGTCCCCAATCCCATTGAGTCATTAAGCCTATCACACCATGTTGATGGCTAATCTGCGATCATTTTCCAACAAACAATTCTAAGCTGGGTATGATGTTCCTCAGTTTCAAGACAAATGGGATAAATGGGATGATCCTTAAAATCCTGTGGTGTATCTGCAACTGATCCATGTCAGGTTCGCCACTTCGACTTCATGTTCGACCACTGGCCCTTGTCTGCAATGCTTGGCTCAGGAGGGGCCCCTTTTCTTTGATAGATTAGACCCAGCCTCGACCTATGGGCTGCTGACTTTGGACTCTGCGTCCAACCGGTGAAAACAGAGCTGAGCGCTCTTTTACATTTGGTGTTTGAGTTGAGCCTGATACGTAGCCACTGTGTGTCTGCTGCATTGGTAGCGGAGCACCTACGCTCCGGGACCTTGACTATTTGCTGCGACCCGACCTAGCCTTTGTGACCTTGGCCGGTGTCTTGCAGCGGTGGACCTTTTGCCGAACGGCAACCCTGGATTCTTTTTGCACGAGCTTTCATTTTCATTTTAGCGCTTTTTCCTTGAGTTTGACTTCGTGAAGGCGAAGTGGAGACTGACTTGATCCTGACGATCAACTTTTGCCTCAAAGCCTGCATTTTGCAGCAATGGCGACTCGCAGTGATGAGAGTGTTCCTTCATGGGATGGACAGGCGAAAAATTGGCGTAGATACACAAAAGAGGTTGCATGGTTTGTTGCATCGACCCCCACCAAAAAACGTAGATATGTGGCCTCCAAATTGATTTCAAGACTATCTGGTCCTGCTCGTCTTCTAGCTATGTCATGGTCAAGAACAGAATTTGATTCTCCGGACGGTACCCTGAATCTTTTGAAGAAGTTAGCTGGTTCTCCACTGGTTCGAAAGACATTACCAAATACAGCTGCAATTCTTCAACAATACCTGGGATTTAGGCGACAGTCTGGTGAGTCAATGGCAAATTTCTTGGTCCGTGAAACCCTGGGATATGAAGAGTTTTCTGAAGCTCTCATTCGGCTATGGGAAGAACAGACCGGTATTGATCCTGCTGAAAGAAATTTTGGTTCGCCACCTATTTCTGAATGGGATTGGTGGGATGATGACTATGAGTATGGCTATATGGGGGGCATGGATGTCACTACTGGTGATGCGGAACATCAGCATGATCCTGCGGCTACTGCGGCAGCTGCAGCCTCTCCTGAGCAAGGCGCTGAACCTCCTGTAAGTGCGGCTCCAGGCTCCTCACCGAGTCATCGAGTTGGTGCGGCCTCTGAGCATTCTGCGCCAGGACCTGTAAGTGATCCGGGAAAGCCCAAAATACCCCAAGATGTTTCAGAAGTTTCTTTGGCAGACTCCTTCATCATGGGTGTTTTACGTGGTTGGCGTTTGTTGAAGGCTGCAAGCCTCACACCAGAAGAAACTAGGGACATTTTGTCCACCACCCAAAACAAGTTAGATTTCGAAGCCATCAGTCAAGCTCTGTCGGCACTCTGGGATGAACAATTGCTTGGCCACCGTTATTCACAACATGCTGGACGTCATGGAAGTTCTAACAATGCTCTATGGCATGAATGGCATGATGATGGATGGGATGATGGCTATGAGATTAACTATGATGAGATGTGGACCTGGGGAAACGATGACGGTTGGTGGAATGATGGTCAATATCATGATGAATGGCATGAACATGAATGGCCCGACGAAACCTCCTCTGCCAAGGAAGTTCAGACTACCTTGTCACCCGACGAGGAAGAGCGACTTCAAGATGCTCTTCAAGCTGAACAGGTTGCTGAGCAGTTAGCTGCTGAAGCAAGGCGCACTTGGCAAGAGGCCCAGAAAACAACCCAACAATTGAAACGTGATCGAGGTTTTGGACAAGTCAACACTGTCAACAATGGTCGTTGTTTCAATTGTGGTGGTAACCATTTGGTTAGGGATTGTCCTGATAGACGTCATGGGAACTACCCCAAGGGCAAGTTTTCTGGGAAGGGCAAGGGCATGCACTACATGATTGACCCCATCGACACGTTCTTCCAAAACAAAGGCAAAGGCAAGAAAGGTAAGTCAAAGTTTTCCCACATGTCTGAACAGGAGATGTTTTGGAGCTCGAAGGGCAAGAGTCCTTACCATTCGAAAGATGGCAATGGCAAGGGCTTTAGCAAGAACCCCGTGAATGCCTACGCACTCTCTCAGCAGTCATGTTCCTCTTCCTCTACTACATCTTCTCCTCTCAAGCATGATCGTGAAGAACTGTTGCGAAAACTTTTTCGATGTGGCCGAAACATGGCTGGAAAAGATCACCGCGGAGGAGAAGCTGAACAACAAAGTTCAGTACCTGCTGGAAAAGCCCAACGTCGAGAACTCCTTGAAGGTTCCAAAGTCCAAGGCAGCCTCAAAGAATGTGGAGAAGAAGATGGTTGTCACCATGGGCTACATGGACCAGAGCTCACCGATGACAAGTCCTTCCGACAGCAGCTGGGATCCGATTTTGGATTCACCAGATCGTCGCAACCTGGAGGACTTCCTGACCGAACAGGAAAGGATCGACTTGCGCAACCTGTTGCTTGCAAGAAAGGGGATGACACCACCCGACGAAGTCATCCTCACCGAGGAAAGCCAATGACTTCCTCGAGCCTACCATTGACCACTACGATGGGCTCCAAGGTCATGAAGATGGTGACGAGGATGACAGCAACCATGAGTCACCTCGCCTTGCAGATCGCCATGGATGGACGTGAATGTCTATGGGAGATTGCATGTGCTGACAACAGTTGGCTGACTCAAGCGGCTCTCAACCATGGTCTACCTGCCCGAAGGATCAACTATAAGCAAGGTTTTGACCTCTACAAGAAGTCTGCATGGATGGAGATGGAACGCCTACGAAAGATCAAGCGTCCCAAGAAACTTTGGCTCTCACTACCGTGCACTCATTGGTGTCAATGGACCAATGTCAACTACAACACTGATGAGCGCAAGGCGGTCCTCGAAGATCTTCGTCGACGAGACCGTCGAATGATGCACTATGCCAAGGACTTCATCCTCAATGCTGTTGATGACGACCCAGGCATTGATGTGTACTGGGAGTGGACTTTTCCATGTTCTGGATGGTCTCAGCCTCCTATGGTCTCGCTGCAGCATGGACTTTTGCAACGTGGCCAATCATGGGAGCGCTGCAGAATCGATGGATGCAACTATGGGATGCGAAACTCTGATGATTCAGCGTTTATCCGCAAGCGCTGGGAGATTCGCACCAATGATGAGCTCTTCCATCGCAACTTCAAGTGCAAGGTTTGCCCTCGAAATCATCAACATGCTCTCATACAGGGGATTGAAACAGCTCGCTCTGCATACTATCCAGTGCGGATGGTGGAAGCAATTGTGCGGCATTGGAAGAACCAACTTGCTCCTCAACGTCATGTACAAGCTTTGACTTCTCCTGACGCTGTGGTGAACTCCAAGCATGCAGAGTGTGATGTGAAGTGGACTCAACGTCTTCAAGCTCTACCTGCTGAAGAAGTTCTTCCTCCTGTACCTGATGATGGTGATTTGTCTGACGGCTATGAACCCTCTATACTTGAAGCTCCTCAACATGGCGATGTTGTCAATGAACAAGAACGACAAGAATGGCATGTCAAACTGCAGCACTATCACCGTGCAGCAGGACACCCTACGAACAAGAACTTGATTCACCTGTTCCGAGATGCTGGACTTCCCAAATGGAAGATTGAAATGGCCCGCGATCTTCGATGCGATGCTTGTGATCGACTTCTACATGGCAGCAAAAGCTCAGGTGAAGTACCAAGGGCGTCAACGCACCCTTTGTGCAAGGCATGGGAAATCGTTGGAGCTGATTCCAGCGAATGGCATGTTCCCGACCAGAAGATCAAGATCAAATTCATTTTGCTCATTGACTTTGCCACCAAACTACGTGCGGTGCATGTGGTGAAATCGTATGGACTTTCGCAATTGTTGTCCGAAAGTTCTGAAGATGTCATCAAGGCGATTGCTGAAAAGTGGCTGGCCGATAAGCCGAAACCTGGACTTATTGTGCCTGACAACTCCTCTGTCTTCACGGCCACCGACGTGAACGAGTTCCTCACCAATGTGGGCATCCAACTTAGCCTGCCGGCTGAGAAGGAATCATGGGCTCATGGACTTGTCGAATCAGCAATCAAAGATGTGAAGATGACGGCTTCTGCAATTCAACTTGGACAACCAACTCTTCCTCCTGGAGTTTCTCTTCAACTTGCGTGTGCGGCTCTCAACAGTACTGAGTATACCAAGGGCTATTCCTCTTTTCAGTGGTGCTATGGCAAGGACTACACCATAACCGATGAAGAGATCAGAACCTTTGACTCCTTGCCGGACACCACCAAGCACTTTGAGTATGAGGCCCTGGTTCGAGCTCGACAAGGTGCTGAAGAAGTTGCACGTCGTACCCGAGCTCTACGTGTGATGTCAAAGCTCAAGAACTCCAGCGTGAAGCAGCCTTTGCGCACCTTCGAACCTATGGACTTAGTCATGGTTTGGCGCAAACAATGGCCTGCACACCTACTTGCTCCTGGCCGACGTGGTGGTTTTCAACGAAGTATCAAGCCTCACTGGATTGGCCCAGGACGTGTTGTTTTCCATGAAGTTCTTCATCATCAAGAAGAAGGCGATGAGAGAAGACACATCCTATGGGTGTTGGTGGGATCGCAGCTGTTGCGCTGCAGTGCTCATTCGGTGAGACCTGTCACCGACACCGAGCGTGTTACCTTTGAAGTGTGTGACAAACAAGACGTCACCAAATGGAAATCCTTAGCTGATGTCCTACCTCAACGTGAATATCTTGACATCACTGATCAGGTTCCTGGTGAAGATGAACGTGAATCTCCAGATCTGCCAGATCAACCTGATGAATCAACGGCTGTGCCTGCAGCTGTTGCCAAGAAGGCCAAGAAGGTTTTTCAGAAAGGCGTCACTTTTTCTGATCCTGCACTTCAACCCCGCTCCAAGATCGTTGGCAAGAAATCCTTGACTCCAGATGACTGGAAGCCCAAAGCAGGTGATGATGATGTTGAACTATTACCTGAACCTGGCAGTGCTTCTCAACCTGCAGCACTGGAACCTGCGGCTTCTAACTCTCCTGACCTTGAAGAGCTGCTGGAGCGCGATGTCAACGACTATGATGTCTCTCCTCGACCTCTACCAGACCCGAAGAAGCAAAAGATCAACGATGACAAAGACATGAGAACCCTGCTGAGGGAACAACACTCCTCTCAGTATGACCTCAAATGGGTGGAGGAACTACATCAACCAGATGATGGACTTTTGGACTTTTACAATCTGGTTGTTGACAATGATTTGGACTGCCTCTCCATGCAGTTTGACTTGGACTTTGTGTCAAACCGGCAGTTCAAGAATTTCCTCAGAAGCCCTACTGCGTATCTGGTCAAAAAGATGCGTGACTCTGAAGTGGTTCTCAGCAAATTGTCTCCTCAACATCGTGAACTTTTTGCACGTGCCAAGGGGAAAGAAATTGACAGCTTCCTCAAGAATGAAGCAGTGAAAGCCTGCCACCGAAATGATGAAGTTCGAGAAGCCATGGGCAGTGGACGCATTGTCCGCGCTCGCTGGGTGTTAACCTGGAAACTTGTGCCTCCTGAAGATCAAGATGAAGCGCGACAAGATGCTTCAACGAATCCTTCCTCAACACATACTTCAGATGGTCTCAAGAAGGCGAAAGCACGAATTGTGCTACTAGGTTTTGAACATCCTGAGATTGGCAATGTGGACTACAAAACGTCCTCACCTGTGCAGTCTATGTTGGCTCGCAACTTGCTCTACCAGGCCACTTGTCAACACTCGTGGCAACTTGAAGGTTTGGATTTAGCAACTGCTTTTCTTCAGACGGCTCCTACGTCTGCAGATGCCAACTTGTGGACTTATGGTGTAGCTGAACTTCGATCAGCACTTGGACTTGACACCAATGGCATAATGAAAGTCATGCGAAACATCTACGGCAGCACTACTGCTCCCCGTGGACTATGGCTCGACCTGCACAAGACCCTCACTGGACTTGGCGGATATCCTGCCTTGGGTGAAAGATGTCTCTGGGTTTGGTATGATGAAGACCCTGAGACCAAGCAACCCTTCACCATTGGCATGATGGGCGGCCATGTGGATGACTTTCACCGAACTGGTGACTCAAACAATGCAAAGTGGAACGAAGTTTGCAGAAAAATAGATGCAGCGTACCGTTGGGGAACAGCCAAACACTCTGCATATCGTCATGCTGGCACTGATGTTCAGGTGAAACGTGACAACGATGGCGACCTTGTCATCACCGTCAACCAGCAGTACTATGTGGACTCCCTGCCGGACCTTGACATCTCTGCAGATAGATTACGACAAGAAGATGCACGAATGACCTCTCATGAGATTGCTGCTTGCCGTGGTGCTCTTGGCACACTACAATGGCTAGCAATACAAACTCAGCCACAACTTTGTGCTCGTTGTAATCTCCTCCTCACTGAAGTCATCAAGTTTGGAAAGATGAGCTATGCCATGGAAATCCAGCGTATGATTGGTGAAATTCGCCGTGAATCCTATGAGCTCAAGTTCTTCAAGCACAAAACTGCGAAGACCTGGCGCGATGTTTGCTTCATAACAATGGCTGACCAAGCGCATGCGAATCGAGACAAAGGTGATTCGACTGGTGGGATCATCACTTTGATGAGTGGTCCTGAAGCTCTGAAAGGAGAAGTTTGTCCTATGTCTCTTTTGGCTTGGCGAACCTGGAAGCTTCGTCGCAAAGCTCTTGGATCAAATGACGCAGAAGTTCAAGCAGTACTTGAAGGTGAAGATTGGAATTTCCGCGCCCGACTTCTTTGGTGCGAAATTCATGGTGCTGGACTTTCTCGTCCTCGCGATGCCAACAAAGTGGAATTCTCAGAAGAGATGGTGAAACAAGTAGAAGGACTTCTTTGCACTGACAGCAAAGGTGGTTTTGATGCAGTGCTCTACAACGAGAGTCCTCTCCTTGGCCTGAGCAACACTCGCTCTGCTCTCCAAGCTCTTCAACTTCGAGAATATCTTCAGCGTGCTGGCTCAAAGCTACGCTGGGTAGCCAGTGACTATGACTTGGGCGATAGTCTGACAAAGAAGCGTCCAGACTGTCGCGTGGGCCTCCAGAAGTTCCTCAAAACATGGCTGTGGGCTGTGAAATATGATCCGCAGTTCATTGCCTCAAAGAAGAACAAAAAGGAAGGAAAGACAGCGATCAACCAGATCGACGATTACCTGAGTGGCAAACCTGATCTTTCTTTCTATGCTGGTGCAACTGATCCATGTCAGGTTCGCCACTTCGACTTCATGTTCGACCACTGGCCCTTGTCTGCAATGCTTGGCTCAGGAGGGGCCCCTTTTCTTTGATAGATTAGACCCAGCCTCGACCTATGGGCTGCTGACTTTGGACTCTGCGTCCAACCGGTGAAAACAGAGCTGAGCGCTCTTTTACATTTGGTGTTTGAGTTGAGCCTGATACGTAGCCACTGTGTGTCTGCTGCAGTATCATCAGTTTCCCCATTAAAAAAACAGCTCTTTTTGTTGGGCTACAGCATTCCAGTCTTCCCCATCAGACTTCCATTTTTCCCCATCTCAGAGCGAGGAAATCCCCTTGGACGTTCTCGACACCCAGATGCCAGTCGAGGATGTATCGAAAGCGTTGCCTCCAGGGGATCCAGGGGATGGATCGATGAGGTCGGTTTCCATAGGGGAATTCCAATGGCTGGATGGTTAATTAATGGGGAAACTCCGAACATCAAATGGATGAGAACTGGGGGCAGCCCTATTTTGGGAAAGCCTCAAATTCTGAGATTTTATGAGATTTTACTCAATGATTGGCATCTTTGAACCTGAAAAATGCAAACACATGTGGCGGTATGCGCAAGTGCCATAACTGGGTAGTCATCCTCACCCCAAGTGCAGCATGCTCACGAGAACCACGGGTGACCCCACGATATGCGACACATCATCACAAAAAGATGTCTTTGGAAGCACATTTGGCCATGATTGTTCCATTCTTATCCATCTTCGGGTTCGATGATCTCGGAATGGGCAAAGATTGGATGACCCTCCTTTTGCATTTTTTGGGGCCAATACTCTACATATCCTATAAGTGTCTACAAGTTCTAGATATCCCACATACTCTACATCATCGGAGTGAAGTCCCCAACGACTGCAGCAACAACAACAACAACAACGACCTGGGTTTCATGGTTTATCATCATGTTCACCATCATATACCCTATTTTCAGACACATCAAAAAATCAGATTTGTGATGTTCCGGTTCTTATCCCTACCAGGCCCTACCATCATATTTGTTGCTTTGTACCACTAGATGGCAAAAAAACATCACCCCAGATTCAAGTTCCCCTTGAACTCACAATCCATTTGAAAAACAACTCCAAGTGGGTTAATCGGTGAATCTCCAATTTTGTCGCTTCTCCCCTTTAAAAAAAATGTGAACATCCACCACTCCAAGTCACAAAAGCGTGACTAAGGATCCCTCAAATGGTTGACCCCCCCCAACTATATAGTTTATTATAAATCTATGTTTATGTCATCTCATACCTACTGCTATGGCTCAAATTTGGGTACCCCCAAAACATGCTTAATACTAAACTCTAAACATATAGACTAAGCCATCATCGAAAATCCATGAAAATCCCCTAAGTCCCTGAGCTTTGAAACCACCCATCCCTCCAAGTTGCTTGTTCCCTTCCACGCAGATCTCCGGCATGGCATCGTGTTGCGGGTCATCCAGCAGCGTGGCCAACAACGTGTCGCCTTTGGCGCGGATCGTCTGTTCGAGCACTTCGAAGCGCTCACCTCATCGTGGACGTCCACGGACGTCCGAGTCGACGTCAGCGGTGGTGGATTCGAACTCGAAGGTGATGTTTGGAAAAAAACAACTCAATGATAGTGATATAATCTGATATACATATAATTATATGTATATTGTATATAATAATATATTGGTAATATATATATATACATCATATGTTAATATATATATATATATGATGATATAATAATATATATAATATATTATAATATGATATATAGTTGGTTGTTCCAACCCAACATATCACACATGTACTAAAAAGGTGATGTTTGGAAAGAGAACAATTGAGTCAATTGTGACATCAGAATAAATTAGATAATTAGAGGCATCATTAGTTGGGACAACTGACTTAGCTAACTCATGTGTTTTTTTGTAATTGGGGGGACTTTAATGATGATACAGTGATACAGATAAATACATCTTGGACAATTATCAGATCATCAAGGATATAACTTCATCATCAGTTTCACAAATGACCATTTTGCTTGATCCGACTTTCAGTTTGTGTATTTTCAGGTTTCAGCAGGGGTAATGCCTATTATCCCCAAATAGACTGATAAACCTAATGTGGGTAAACACAACCGCTAAGCTAGCGACTCGCGCCTTTTGTTCTGAGCCGCAATGCTGTAGTGAATGCTATTATCATACATGGGTTTAATGGTGGAGTGCAAATACACCCCCCTCAGGTGAGCCGGACACGGCAAGGCTGCCCATTTACCAGGGCGAGGCTTTTAAAGCCTGCCTTACCGATCCAACTCTTTGCACGACCTGAGGAAACCCAAAAGGCGGCTATGATACAAAAACCGATCGTCAATGCAAGCAGTGTCACAATTTATCCCTCTTCCCATTCGACACGGCCATGCCTGATAACCTTTTGGTACCAGCGCCCATGCCACTTCTGCCACTCATTGGTGAACTGTCGATCATCTTGGGAATGACTTTGCTGAGGGCGATTGAGCCACTGACTTGCAGACGTTGATGATGAGGCTACCTCTACGCTTGTGGATGTTCGGGCAACCGGTTTGGCGGTGCCTTTCTTGGAGGGACCTTGGCCGTACGCACCAGTCTGCTCAGCTTTGCGCTTGGCCTCGTTTTGTTCGCGGGCCCTGTCAGACTGTTTCTTCTTCTCTGCTGCGTTCTGCTTGTACAGCTCTTCATTTTGTCCCTTAATCCACCTCAAATGACGTTCGGCATCATGAACAGCAATGTTGTCAACACCAGTGCAAGACAACAAAAGATTATGTCCAGGATTCCTGTTGAGGTAGTCAATGTACTCTTCTTCGGAGTAAATCTCGGTTCGGTACATGTAGAACCATGGCTGGTCGATGTACCTGAAAGACTTTGGGACATCATAGCGACTGGCCAAATCCAAGTAAACCAGCCTCATTGCATTGTGCTCCAGCTGGGATTGCTCAGAAATACCCATCTTGACCTGAGCTTTGGTGCGACCAGGCTTTGGCAAATGAGCGGACTTGAGGAGGTCGTACCTTTCACAATCGTACTCGTTCTCCCCCTCGTTCAACACGCTCTCTGCGAATGTGGCGTCCTGGGCAAACCTGTCAGCCACAGACACATAGCCCAAACTCAAGGCACGGTCGAAGCGACTCTTGGCCCTTGCCAATAGACCGGCTTCCGGACTTGAGCTTCCTCTTGCCTGATCGTCCAACAAACCCAAATTTTCAAGTTGGCCATGTGTGATTTGCTGGAGGTATTCCCCACGGAAATCGTAGTATAGTCCCAGCTTGTGAAGGGCGGCCTTTCTTCTTTCTGCAATCTTGGTTCGGTCGGCCTTGTTGATCCCTTCAAGTATCAAACCACACACATCGCACTCAATCTGTCCCTTGAAAGTCTGTGCAAAACATCTTGAGCATTGCGTGACTTCGATCTTGACCGGCACCGGCTTCTTGTCCTCCTTCTTCACCTCTTTCTTCGAAGGTTGGTCATCGCCTTTAGGGCGAGACTTCTGCTTTGGCACCAGTGACTTTGATGTTGCTGCTGGCGTCTTTTTGGGCGACTCTGCAACTGGAGCTTTTGGATCTTTCTGCGCTGCCTTTGGTGGTGCAACTTTTGGGACAGGCTCCAAGAAGGCTGCAGCTGATGATGCTGCAGGCACAGCTGTTGGCACGCTTGTTAGGGCGGCCTTCTTCTTTGCAGGTTCGTCCTTTGCCGCTGCATCAACTTCTGAGGTCACAGCTTTTGGAACTTCTGGTGCATGATGTGCAGAAGTCCCTTCCTTCGGTGGTGTTTTTGGAGGTGTCTTTGGTCCTTCAACCTTTGGCGGTGTCTTCGGTCCTTCAACCTTTGCTGCAGGAGGTTTCGGAGCTTCACCCTTTGGAGGAGGGGGCAACAGTCTGCTGCTTGCATATCCAGGCATACCGGCAAGTTGGGCCACATTTGGTGGCGGAGGCTTCACCTTCCCTGGGAAAAATGTCTTTGCAGCGGGCGCGCCAGTTGAGGCGGCCGGAGATGTTGAACCTGTCCTTTTTGATGCCTTGGCCTCAAAGGTCTCGACAAGCTGTTGGACTCCAACTTCTCCCCCACTGCTTGCTGCAGACTGCGCAACCTCCTGTTGGCGACGATAAAGATTCACCTTCTTTGCCGTGTCGTCCACAGAGATGATGTATTGTGGCGGGACGACATCGCTTGTGAGAATGCCGTCAGAAGCCGTCCTGAAAAACACAATTCCAGCCTTGACAGCTTCTGCCATTGCAACCCTGATTTCAATGGGTCGCTCAGCACGCAAACCGCTCACATACTCTTTCTCATCAACACGAACGTCGCTAAAATAGGAGTGAGCTCTTCCTGACGAATTTCGTTCTCCTCCTCCAGCCACGAAGCCGTTCTCAATGATGCCCTTCCAATTGCCTTTTGTAGTCCTGTGATAAACTACGCCAGGGCACATCTGAGGAGTGGTAATCTTTTTACCTTTGGCGTTCATCTTCTGGATCGCTGCTGCACCAGACAGAGCGTAGATTTCCACTGCGTTGAACGTGTCCTCAGCTGAAGCGGCATCCATGGCACGTTTTGTATGCCCCTGCACTGCACGGATCCTGATGGGCCAGTAGGCTAACCCTTTACGGGTTGCCTTCTGGTACCCGGCAATGCACTGAAACTCAAAACGGCACTTGCTGTCCCAGTAGAGCAATGAGATGAGCTCTTCAACAGTCATTCTAGGCAACTTGGCTGGCAGCATCTGGTTGAACATGCGAAAGAAATCATCAAGGTCAAGCCACATGTTTTCATCAAATCCAGAGGTGTCCTGACCAGGCTGACCACGCGTCACCGCATTGACCTTAGTTTTGTGCCGGTCCATGCGGTCAGGAAATTTCAACGCCTCTGCCCCATCCATTTCCCAGCAGGTCTTGACAATCAATTCGTAAGGATGGGAATCGACGACACAGTGTTCCACAACTTCTGCATTGATGTTTTCTTCATAAGTGATACGGTACTTGTCAAGGTGTCCCAATGTGTGCTTTGGCACAATGGTCCCCTTGATCTCGTTTTCTTGCAGGGGCTCACCAGCTGAGGTGGCCTGAGTGGAATCCTCCTCCTGTGTCGCTGGAGCTTTCGCCTTGGGGTCAGGTGGAGCTGCGTGGCTTGCCTTGGCTTTGCCAACAGATGGGCCCTCATGCTCATCGGGATCCAGAGCATCCCATGGGTCGCCTTCTTCATCATCATCTTCGGCGACACCAGCATCAGTCGGGCGAGCCCTCAACTCCTCTGCAGTCAAGCTTTCTGGGGTCGAGACGCTCGGTGCAGGCTTGTTCACCTTCTCCCTGAGAGAGTTGAGGACCTGCACAAACCTGACTGGAAGGTGCTCCATCTTTGGCGGCACATCACGCATCGTGGCTTCACCTGCAGGGCGCCTGCGCTTGTACAAAGACAGGTTGTACTGAGGGATCAAAATGTCCGTCATGTGCAGCATGTGGAGAGTTGCCATGACATATCCGATCATCTCGCTTCGGTTGAGCTCGGTCTCGAATGCGTGAAAGTAGTCCCTGAGCTCAAGCCTCGGTGGAAGCATGTCATTTTTGATCCACCGAATCCGATCGTTGTCACTGGCAATCTCCTTGTGGAACCATTCCTTCAGACGTTCAATAAATGTCGTGAAGATGAGACTCAATCCATAAGTGAGCGGGTCGGGCTCGCCGATTAGGGCGGCCTGATCCACTCCCAACTCCTTGAGCTGATTGTTCCACCAAACAATGTTGCCTTTGACCCTGTCCATGATGGCATTCCAGTCACCCTGTGGTTCCCTCTGCCCCCAAATGGGAAGGGGTTCAACACCATATTCCCCGCAAATTTCGTTCCCAGACCAAACAATTACCGAAATAACTCTGATGGCTGATCCATGAGAAGAATATTTCGCCATCAGTTCCTTGATCATGGAAATATTTGCTTTGCAGAGCTGTTGTAAATCCTTACCCCAGAGCATGTCATGACCGATTTCGAGAACCATGTCTGATTTTCGCAACCCCAGATCCTCCTTCAAGGTGTACTTCTTCAAAGTCTTACCCTTTCCAGTGATCAGAGCCAAGGTTGAATCGGAAGTCACCACATAGATGGTGGGCACGACGTCTACCGCCGGCCTTGATGTCCCAGGGACGTACTCAGTAGGTAAGCTCAGATCCCACAGTGAGTCATGTTCGAGCTCGGACAGATGGCGGATCTCCTTTGCCCACGGCACGTTCGTCAGGGCGTCAGTTGACATGGACTGCGCGGTGAAACATTGCATGAATCCTGCAGCCAACTCAAGGTCCTCTGTTCTGTTGCCCTGCGCCAGGATGGTTGATGAAGCGAGGACCGTAGAAAAGATGTCCTCCCACCCTGCGTGCCTATCCCCCTGAACATCAAGGCACTTCCGAAAAGCAAGCCACTCCGACATGTTGCTTTGTTGGGGCACGGTCTTTAAACCGGCCGACTTGAGAGCCCGCACGTTCATCTTTTCAGCAATCGACAAATTTGAATCATCAGAACGTCGGCT